AATATTAGCATCATATCCACAATACTCATATTAAAGATTTAGCATGTTAAAATTATTACAAGTATTAGATACTATATATCCAGTGAAAATCTAGTTTTAGAGCTTTTAATTTTTTTTAATTTTTTTTTACATCAATGCTGCGGCTGTGTGATTCCACACACAGACACACACACGCTGAGAGAGAAAGAGAGAGAGATCTACGCCAGTGATATTAGTAGTTGGCTCAATGCGTTAATTGCACACCTTTAGTGACCACAGGGAATATCTAAAATGAGATGCTTATTGTAATTAAGTTTATTTTTTGTAAAAGAAAAGAAAAAAAGGGAAGGAAATGAAAGGGAAGAAGTGTATTTTCTTTGGACTAAGCCATCTTTAGGTCCTTTACTTTCAGTGGAATAATATTAAAGCTTAAAGTCCAAGAAAAAAACACAGAAAAAATGTTGTTTTGTAGCAGATGCTTATTGAATGCTTGGTCAATTTTTTACTTTCTTTCTTTTTCCCGAAACTTATTAGTAGCGCCATATACTACCTATGGTCTTTTATGTGCATGTGGGTGTGTACACAAACACACACGCACATGTACACAGCCGAAACACAAAAATATAGATACACAAATACGTATGTCTAGTTTTTTTCCGTATCCGTTGACCGTGCGTCAAAAAATTGCCTTTCTTTATACATTTGCTAGATTCCGCCACAACGCTTGAGCATTACTTCTCGTTGGCAAATGTACAAATATGGAAAACCTCCCAGAAAAAGCTAGAAGTTGCCGATCTCTTACAAGCCTAAAAGCAACAAACTTTTTCATGGTGCTTGCCAACTTTAAGGTCGTACCGATTCTCTGCATCAGAGAGATTTTAAGTAATCTTCGATCACAGTCCCCTCTCTCTCTTTTTTTGGGTTGCTTCTCTTATCCTTCTTCTTCCCATCCTTCCTCTACAGATCCTTCTTTTCAGTGGATTTATAACCAGTTTGACCAACTGTAGTTGGAATTATACACAAGGTAAAGAAGAAAAAATAGAAACCCTTGGTTAATATACATATATATCGAAAAAAATAGAGAGCATGTTATAGCAAATTATATAATAAACAATAGTTCTCGAGTTATTTTACTTTAATATAGCTGTTCAGGTATTGTTGTTATTGTTATTAAAAAATGAAGACATCTATATTTTCCTTGTAATAGAATAATCATGTGGAGTCAACACCTTGGCTAATAAAGGAATTGTGTAAAGTAGCTTATTTATTTCAATTTGTTACCATAGCAACAATTTGGAGACACCATGGCAACATATTGCTACTGCATGTTACATATGCTGATGTTGTTACCATGACAATTCTTAAAATAGTCAATCAAAAGAAGAAGAAGGAATATATAGCTTAAATGAATTCTGTATACCCATACATTAGAAATACACAGCATGCACACACACACACACACACACATGCTACATTCAAAAATAAATCAAAACACATAACACATTCCATAACAAGGAATTTCTTTTTCTACATTACAAGACTTCATTTTACTGCTGTGACCTAAAAATAAAGAAAAAGGAAAGAAAGAAAGAAAAAGGCATGCAGACAAAAGAAAATAAGCGGGAAACTTATGGTGAGGTCACCAGGTTAAGTGTTTTTTTTTAATCCTGACTCAAACTTCCTACAAGGTAATAATAGAATGTAAAGGCCCTTTGGTTGTAAAGAGTACAATAGTAATGATAATTATAACAATGACGATGACGATGACGATGCTGAGAAAAGTAGTAGCAGTAGTAGTAGCAGTAAAGTGAAGTATATTTTTTATGCATTCATAATATATTTAGGAGGTCAAGCTAGCTAATGCCCAGTAATGTTCTTATAAAAGCAGTAACTGAGCTAATATTCCCTAATATTATTAACATTTTTAGACCTGTCAATAGATTTTACCCTGGATATCTCCTTTTGAATACGGAATAATATATAGAGAAAGTAGCCGTTGACTTCATTCAAATTAAGTCATTAACTCCCTTTTTTTTTTCCCTATTCTAATAACCTAAAAACCTCTCGGCTAATAAAGAAATCCCCACCCCCTCCTCCTACGCTCTCTCTATCTAAATTAGCTCAGAATTTCACTACACCCTTACAGTGGTTTTTTTTTCTTAAAAAATAAAATAAAAATTAAAGAAAGCAAAGTAACCGTTTCTGAATTTTTCTCTATTTCCAAGAAGTAAATGTATATACATGCAACTTATTACTATTATTATTATTTATATTTATATTTATATTTATATTCCTTATTACCATTACCATTACCATTGCCTTTATAAATTATAATTATAATCATAATCATAATTACACTTTTCTCTCCCACAAGATTGAAAAAAGAAAGAAAAATAAAAAGATACAAGGCCCCTCGATCTTTAACGATTTACAGAAATTATTTTGTAATTTAGATACACAAGGGTTTTGATAAGAAGCCAAAAACAAAGAGAGATAGATATAGGTATCAAAGAAATGTATCTTAATTCTCGATCTCTGGAACTCGCTAGCAGTATGACCTAAAAGAAATATAAAATAAAACGAAATATTAAAATAATAAATTGATTTTATTTTTCAATTGTAAATGCTGACGCCAAATTCGACAAATAGAAAGAAAAAAAAAGATTGCAAGCCGTTTTCAAAAATGTGTGTTGTACAAGCAGAGTTTTCTTTTTATATACAAATCTCTCTTCACCGGGCTATTGTGTTACGCACGTTTTGTAATCAGATATTATATGATATACTATAAAAAATAAAAAATAAAAATAAAAGTTTAAGTGATTGTATATTTTGTTTTACATACATCTTTATTCCTATCAAATAGTCAAAGACATATTGCAGCTTGATCTTATTTTATTTTTATAGTATGAATTTGTAACATACAAAAAAGAGAATAACCCCGTATATATATTATATCTATATATTTTACTTTCGATTAAAGTATTTTTTATATTACAGATCGAGATTGTCGGTGTTTACATTCCACCACAGTCTAAAAGTTAGGAGAAAGCTCTCGAATTGTATTTTTTTTTAAAAATAATAATAATAATACTACTACTAATAATCATAGAGAGAAATCCTAATTATTGTCAAAATTTTTTTAAAAGAAATGCTTTCTAAATCATGCTAGTTGTTCAATAATGGAATTTGACAAGGGGTATTTTTCTCTCTCTCTCTCTCTCTCTATCTCTTTCTGTAAAAGAATTAAGAGCATAAATATCTTAGTGAGAAGAGTAAATCTTTAAGAAACAAAGTCTTTAATATGTGTATTATGGCTCTAGATTGTATCCAACTTATAAAATATTTACAAACTATAAGCAAGAATTTGTTTCTTGAGAAAATAGATAATAATAATAATAAGAATAATAATAAAATCGGGCCAATGATCTGGTCAGTTAACCGATTCTTCGGATTTAATTAAAAAATATATGTATAGAGATAATATTCTCAATACTGCGAGATGAATAAAACACACACACATACATAAATACATACATAATAATAATAATAGGAATAGTAATAAAGGGGACCCTACATTGGGCTGAATTGCAGTTTCTCTGTCCTCTACCAAAAACGTCAAAGCATCACGAGAGAGTGGATTAGACGAAAGGGGGAAGAAAATGTTAGTAAAAAAAAAGAGGATGCCTCGAGAATTTAGAGCACTAGAATTGGTTCGATTTGACAAAAGAGATTAAAATCTAGAGAGACTTATACATGGATCTATGTATCTATGGGTATATTTGTATTAAAGAATGATATCATACACTGGTCTGATTTCAGCAAAGAACATACAGTCTATACAAGAAAGGTATCTTTGATAATACAAGAGGTAATAAACCAATAATCGTGTATCCTGTTCACCTGTTAATTTTGGATGAACTCAAATGAGCCAAGGGCGATCATTAAGCATAATTGAAATAGTACCAAGATTCCTAATTAATGACTACTAGAGAAAAAGAGAGAGAGAGATAGAGAATATGTATGTGCATGTAGCTTTTGCCTTCTCTAATTACAAAAGAGCTTTAGAACCCATGCTTTTGGTGATTTGTGGTTGGTCGTGGTGGCCCAGTTGGAAGTAAATAAGCTACTAACAATAAGCTGATTCAAGCTAGAAGAATATTTTTTAGAAAAACAAGAAGAATATACCAAACTGCCTACATGTCAAGTATCCAGTATTTGAATTGAATTAATTTGCTTCTGACAAGAAAAACCAAAAAAAAAAAAACAAACAAACAAACAAACCAAAAAGAAAAAAAAAACAAGCTACAACACTATGCACAGACGTTTTTTTTTTAGTGAAATTAACATAGGCTTACTACTGGCAAGATAATGTAATATGGACTTCTTTTTTTGATATTTTCAAAAATAGTAAGCTTGCATTCGCTTACGCTTTTGATCTGTATTTACATATATAAACATATATAACTCAGGACCTCCTTTTAGTATAGTGAGCCAGAGATTAACATAGGAATAGTGTAGATATTTTTTATTTTAAAGAAAGAAAAAAAAAGCATAATTATCATTATAATTTCTTATTATATATATTTATATATGGTTTTGACTATAATTACCACTTGCTTGATCTATGGCTGCATTTCTGTAGTGCAATAAATACTACACAAGTGATTCTAATTGTAAAATGTACTATTTATTATTCACTGTAAAAGCTAAGCACTTCTCAAGCGTCGAATTGATTAGTTATAGAAAAACAGCATGTACCAAAAAAAAATACTGTTATTACTGGTAACACTAGCGGACTTTAAACAATTGATTCAGGGACGTATATATAGACACGTACAATTTGATGTTTCCACTTCTCTTTATCCACTGATTATACAGACATAACACACACACACACACACACACATATATATATATATATATACAAAATATATTATTATTACTATCATTACCAGTAATTATATTGCAAAATTAATACATACCCATACCCATACATATTCATCTTAAGAAAGCAAAGAAACATGCCATCAGACAAGAAAAAGACATCAAACTCTGGAAAATCCGCCCAACACACTATCAGCGATTTTATCGGTGCATTTGCCGTGACTCCATCTCACCCATTTGGTACATTTTTTTTCTGCTTGTATATTATTTGGATAATTATTTAGCGCTGAAAATTAAAGCTACATACATAATTCTTCACATTATTATCATTATAGTTTATTGATTAATATTAATATTATTCTTTTATTTACACAGGTATTTCATTTTCATCCAACATGTCACCAGTTGAAGAAAGGTAAATAGTAAGAATATTATGATTCAAATAAGGAGATCGACTATATTCTCTCTCTTTCTTTCTTTCTTTCTCTGTTGTATTGCTGCTATTAGCAAGTCTCCTTTTCTCACCATCAGATTACTATCATTCTTTTTCTTTTCGCTTTCAATCACAGTGACATTGCTAATAGCGATAAAAGATCTGCCCACAATGCTCTCGAACGTCAGCGTCGAGAAGGTCTCAATACAAAGTACCAGCAACTTGCGCATGCATTACCTTCTCTTCAGACCGTTCGTCGTCCCAGCAAAACCATGATTATCACAAGATCATTGGAATATGGTAAATAGCAAAACTAGAAAGCAATACCAGCTTATAGCAGCAGTAATAGTATTAATAATAATAAATCATCTTGTCTAGTTTCCACATCTGTTCAGCGTGAATCAACGTATCAGAAACAGCTGCGAATCTTGCGAGAAGAAAATGAAAAACTACGAAAACAAGCCCACAGATCAAGTGCGTTTTTGAAAAAGAAACTCCATCTAGATTCCTTCCAGACCAAGAAAAGCCCTGAAAACATAGCTACTACTAGTACTGTGAGTGGAAACAGCATCGGAGCAGGTAGCAAGAAAATCTCGTCGCCAGTGTCTCCTACTCCATCTGCTCGTGTGGTCAAGAAAAAGTCATCCAGATCATTCCTCAAGAAATTCACTTCAAAGCTCCACCCTCAGATGAGACCCAAACAGAAAGTCAAGTTTGAGCAGGAACAGAAACAGGAACGAGATCGGGAACAAACCAAGAGATCCCCAGGCACTCAACAGCAGGCTTTTCAGGAAGAAGGCTCAGGCTCAGGTTCAGTTCCAGTTCCAGTACCAATGCCAATTCCAGCCCCAGTGCCAGTGCCAGTGCCAGCGCAAATTAAAGCTCCAACGCCAATGCCAGTAGTCGACACAAACACAGTCGCTACCCTCTTGGCCACCCAGACCCCATTGTCCTCACCATCTTACTTATCTTCATCGACCATCTCTCCCCTACCACCTCACCCACTTCCTCCTCTGTTTAGTGCTCCTTATTTATCTGCTCATTCTCCATATCCTTTATCGGTCAATCCAGCACTGATGCCCCAATTAGACGACACTCTTTCTCCTCTTGAGCAAGTTTGGCTAACTGACAATTTGGCTGGACAAAGCGCGATGTACAGCTTTGATCAGACTAATATGAACACAACGGACTCTTATTTTATGGATTCACAGATGGTACAGATGCCACAAAACATGTGTGGAGCTGGTGGGTTACATCAGCCCACCCACACACCATTAAACCAAACACCATCGACTCAGTATCCTGAAGCAATCGATTACAACAATCTTGAATCTTATTATTATTTTGGTGTTCCATCCACAGACCCACTCTTCAACATGCCTTTACCTGTCACGAGTGCCGAGATGTCTCTCATTACATCTTACATTGAACAAGAAGATATGTCACCGATATTTATGCAAAATATGTCAAGCAATGGTAAGGTTTTACTATTTTATTTATTTTGAGTGTATTGAAATCCCAAGATAATTACGAAAAATACTAATATTATATACATTTATTACTTGATTATTTACCTATAGGCTATCCATACATCTAGATGATTGAAATGGACTTTCCTATTACTATTCTTTCCATTTTATTTTATTTTATTATTTTATTTTATTTTTGCATTTTTCTAAAAGCATCCTTTATCCTGTTTTTACCTTTCAACATCACAAGCAAAAACCATCATTTGGATTCAGCCGCAAATAACCAAGAAAGAAACTATACACGCACATACATACACAAACACAAACACAAAAGGCTGCTCTCAATCAACTCAATCAACTCTAATTCAATCCAACCTCGACCTCAACCTCAACCCAACCAAGAAATCAACCACTCACAAATGCTCAAACCCTAATCATATAACCCATTTTTTTTTCTCGATGAAAAAAAAAGTAAAGCAACTCACGAAATGATCAGCAAAGATCGAAAAAAAAATCTCGATTTTCCCTTGTATCGAAGACGAAAAAAAAAATCCAACAAAAAAAATCCAAAAAAAAAAATCACAAAATATCTAGTGAATTTCAAACAGTATGCAATATTTTTTTTATTACTATTTTTTCCCATTTTTTTTGTTTCTTGTTTTTCTCTCTCTTTTTCTATAATATGCTTCTTTTTTCTTCTTCATCTTCTTCTTATTTATTTCCTACTATTCTATTTTATTCCACTTCATTCTACTAAATTCTATTCTACTCTACTCTACTATATTCTGCTATCATTATTGTCTTCTTTATTTCTTTGGTTTTTTTGTTCCTACTGTCATTTATTATTACTATTACTTGGTTCTCTCATTTATCTCAACAGGATTGAATTAATGCATTTTAGACCACAATTATTTTACCATGTTCTACTATTGTATATATAATATAATATAATATAATATAATATAATATATATATATCTTGATGCTTTCCATTATAAAACTTTTAAACTATCAACTAGATCCACAGTATCTACTTTGATAGCCAACTTCTACTTGTTTCTATACTACTTTATACGATTTATGAAACTTTTCACAATATATATATATATACATACATATATGATATTATATGTATTTATAGATACAGTCATGTATTATATCCAAAATAATATAATTTGGTTTCAGGAGAAAGTTAAAAAAAAACAGAAAAAAAACAGATATTTAGATAAATAGATAGACGGCGAGATATTCAAAACCTCAATTGAAACAAGGGATAAGTGTACCACAAGGAGTAAATTCTAGATCGAGAAAGACATATATAGCACTCTCTAAAAAGTGGTTTCTTAATTCGCTTCTTTTTTTTTCTTTTTCTTTTGGCCATGTTATGGTAATAGTGTGTTCATCAAAATACACACACAAAAAATCAACCTTGTTGATCTCCATTTTTATTATTACTATTACTATTATTCAATTTGATGACATTGCACAAGCTACCCATCAAAGGTCTTATGACAATCCAGATCACAAATATATATAGTGGTTTACGATTCACGGTGTCTAACTGTTTATTTATATATCTACTAAAAGGTAACCAATATTCTTTTTAAAGAAAACAAATGTAAATTGGGGTATCAAGTACAACGTAAATATAATCATATTAGAATAATACAAAATAACACAAAAGCAACTGCAAAAAGAGAAATGGCTTGTCTTTATATGATGTGTAAAAATTACGCAAATAATATGTACATATATATATAAGTCCAACTACCATGACAACATACCTAGAACGCACCCATGACCACCACCTTAGCATGTATCCATAGAAACCGCTTTAACACGTATCCATAGAAACCGCTTTAGCACGTATCCATAGAAACCGCTTTAGCACGTATCCATAGAAACCACTTTAGCACGTATCCATAGAAACCACTTTAGCATTTATGAAAGTATTTTGTTATTATAGTACAAATTGGTAGTAATGGATCAGTTCTTCCTCAAGCCGAAGATTTATCGTGGGCTTCAAATCTTCATTTCTGGCTTTGGTATTTAAATAAAGTCTATTATTCAGGAGCTTGTGTAACTAGCACACTTTATTTTAAAGGTAAGGCCTAATTTTACAGTGTTTGAAAAGTTGAATAGGAACCTGAGTTCATAGGACATGGAACTCAGTAAAGAGAGCATCTAATGGTATCACTGTAAAAAGCCATGGATTGTTAAATCATTTGGGGCACAGGTAACAATTTTCCCTTTAATTTTTTGCCTCATTCTTCATATAACTAGAACACACACATATATATATGTGTGTGTCTGTCTGTCTGTCTATAGATTTCATGATATATGGGTAGACATATACTTGACTCTATCCATATTATCGACTTGCAAAAAAAACATATATACATGCATGCATACATACATACATACATACATATATATATATATGTCAAGTATCTATTTCCGAGTTTAGCTAACTCGGAGAATAATAACATTTTATCTTTGTTTTATTTTAGAGGCTCTGACATATCATGAAAGCCATTTTTTTTCTTATGATTATTAATAATAATCGTAGTAGTAGTAGTAGTACCATTCATCTTTCGCCAGTTATAATCTATCGATTAGTTTTTTTGAATACATATATATTTGCATTTTAGCTGACAGAAGCAGCTGTACGTGAGGACTCTATCAAAAAGGCATCCTAATTAATTTATTTAAGTTCAAGGTTAATCACACAGGGTGCTTTTGAAAATACCCAAAAAAGAAAGGATCAGGGATTATACGTGGTTTTTTATTTCTTTGTGTAACAACACTAGATATATATAATGTAGTAATTGGTACGCTCATTACAATATTAAACTAGACTAGAATAAACAAGTAAGTCAAAACAAGTTAATCCAAGACAAGTCTAAGCAGGATTTTGAAAAAGAAAGAAGAAGAAGAAAAGGGCGCCACCCCTACAGATCTGTGCACACAATTTTTTGCCAATTGTTCTTTCTTAGTAATTGATTGAATATCCAAATGGTCGTATACATTTTTTGAATCTATACACCAAAAGTTTCTTCTTCTTCTTATTGCCAAGAGGTTTTTTTTGTGTAATTCGATTAAAAAGAAAATAGAGTCCCTTTCATCTCTCTCTCTGTCTGTCAAATAATTACATAGATTCATGTGCTGGAGACAGAAACTTGTGATGCGTTTGCCTTTTTAAGTACAGCTCCAACTGCTTTAATATAATATAATGTAATATATAATATACACATATAGTGCGTGTGTGTACATGGTACATGTACATGCGAGCAAAGGATATTTTTTTTAAAAAAAAAATGTCACGGCACAACACAGTACAGTATATATCATTTCATTTCGAGTACTTTAATCGATTCAAGGTGATATCTTGAAAGTAATTTGGAAACACCTTAAATAAAGCTTGTATACCCTTTTTTCTCTCTCTCTTAAGATCTGCAAAAAAAAGCCACCAATTTAAACTTTTTCTTTTTGTTTCTCTATCTTTCTTAAAATAAGTAAAGAAATACTCGCACATACACGTGTGTGCATGTGTGCGCGCTGTAGTGAAAAGAACAGTCTGATGAGTAATTGACTATTCAGTCGAGCCCAATATATAAAAGAATAATAAGAAACTTGATCATCCTTAAATGTAGAGCCCCAGCGCTCGCATTTTTTGTCCGTATCTGGATATGGAAGTACTGTGAAATTGTGTACTTTTTTTTATTTTTTGGGAAATTAGTTTACAGACAAATTTATTATGGCTATAGTTATAAAGTGTAAAAGCCGAGAACTTATAGATGTATGTGTACAGTATATTGATATATCTATCTATCTATCTATTGAAAGATTTTCCCATGTATCTTGCTAACCAAAAATAAAAGAGAAATGGAATTAAAAATGTATTTAGAATATTATTGTCCCTGTGAACAGACCAATTTCCTCTCTCTTTTTTTTTTAAATCCCAGCCACCATATGTTACACTTACTGCCATTTTTCTGTAACTGTGTGTAGTCTTATTTTATTTTATTTTCGTATAACTTCCAATCAATGTGTTTTGTCAGGTGGCAAGCATGCTTATACACAGTATTTTAAACCTGTCGAGCTAATACTACAGCAATATTATCAATTGAGGTGAAATAAGGCTATTAAAATGATATTTTTTGACCCCAGTGTGAGTCTATTGAATTGAAATGAAAATGAAATATTCGTCTGTCAAGAAATAGGATATGATTGGACTGAACTGAACTGGACTGGACTATATAATATTATATTATACTATAATTTGAAGGAAAAGAGATAAAGGAAGAAAAGTAAAAATGTGGACTTATCAGTGAGTAAGATCGTTAGACTGAGTCACCCACGCGGTTCAATGATCACACAAAGGCGAAACATTTAAAGGGTAACATAAAATAAAATAATATTAAGCCGATGTACCTACTATATTTTTTTTTCGGTGTATGTATGTATGCGTGCGAGTGTGTGAGTGTGTGTGTGTGTGTGTGTGTAGCTATCAGAGAACTTTGGGATACACAGCGCGCACTTGGGAGTGATGCCCGTTCACTTACTTTGATGTCTATTTTCGATTATCTTGTCTTCAATAAAATAATAAAATAAAATAAAATAATCAAGCCGATAATAAAGTTTCCTTTTCTTTACTTGTTACCGCAATATCGAATCAATTAGTCATATTCTCTGATGTATTTTACATGGTATATAGTACAGCTAATAGCCAATCAATTGCTTTATTTGTTTCTTATTTTGTATTCTTGTATTCTTAAAGCAGGCATTATTGATCTTTGATATTTATGGTATTAATGTGGGTGTGAATGAATGTTTGTAAATCATGAAATCGGGTATGAGCTTAGATCTGTGAGATTTTTTTTAAAAAGATAAAAAAAAAATTACGATAAAAACAAGCTCGCAAGAGAACTCAAAAATATAATATAATAACGCTTTTTTTTCTCTTTAATAAAAAGATTAATGTTACACTTTTATCAGAAAATAGAAATGCATGGACCCCATATCATATATCTCACCGAACACATGAGACATAAAGTAAAACGTTGTAGTGGACCACTATTCTCTATAGACTCAATATCATCAAGTCATATATTCAAGTATCATAGCTATAGTATTGTCATTTCAGAATAAACGTATATACATAAATGTAGATTATTTGAGAAGTCTTGTCAAGATTACAGCATGTTTACAGATATAAGATAATTGATTTGATTTGATTTGGTTTGGTTTGGTTTGGTTTGGTTTGGTTTGGTTTAATTTGAGGATACCATCAAAGAACCGTATTCTTTACCAAAAGGAAAGAATGTCGTGTTATTGTTATTGTTATATCCATTCTTACTTTTTATGGGATATTGTATTGGTGATCTTACTTGTATTTGCCTTTAATATTGGTATTATTTGAAATGTATATTTTAGCTCTAGCACGCTTTTCTTTTATTTTTATAACTATTTACCTTTCTGCTTCAATTAACGCATATGTAGGTGCGTTGAAGGTTGTAGCTTACTATCCTGGCCATGCGAATATTCTACATGCAGACCACTGTATATTACGGGTCTTAAATATATCTATATATTGATAGAACATATAGACTTTGGGCTTACATATTGTACTATAGCGCTACTAACAAATCTATTAATCCGTCCTATATAAAATAAAACCAATAGTAATATGGCTAAATCAAGGAGAATATTGGCACTCTGAATGGTTGGCTCAGGGTTTGTACATGGTGCATGCTAAATAGAGAGCATCTAGTGCCATATATCTATAACTATATAAGAGTCTTTAGAGTGCATATACCTTAAAAAAGAAAGAAGAAGAAATTAAGGTTATTTATATGTGTATATTTTTTTTTAAAAAAAAAGATAATAATCACAAAGTCCCCTTTAGTTCTCATCAAACGCCTGGGATTTGTTTTGATTTGATTTGCTTTTTTATTTTATTTTATTTTATTTTTGCCTATCAATCGGCTAAACTCTTTCTCCTCCTCACCCGAAATTGCTTTCTAATTGTGATAATCATTATCCAATATATTTGTGTTTGTGTGTATGAAAGCGAGAGAGAGAGAATTTTCTTCTTAAATAACTAAAAAAAAAGCTTACATGATTTACGTTTCCAAATGTGCACTCTCAATCCTTTCAAAGTTATACTTACCCAAGTAGTACTAAGGAATAAAACAAGACAGGAAAGTACGTGCATAAAAAAAATCTATCGGCTTGACTATCCTCAATTTTAAATAACTTATAATTCATGTTTTTTTAATATACTTTTGACACGTTTAATGCCATGTATTCTATTATAATAACCCTTTTTTTTCTCGATTCAAGAGAGTTTTGTGTTGGGGTGAGAATTATAGCTATACACTTAAAATTGAACATGGCGTATTACATACATATACATATATATATATATAAATAAGACCCCACCCCCAGTTCCTTCAAAGAAAGACAAATCTTGACGTATATATGATACATTAGATCTAATGGTTTTTATAAAAACTGAAATTCTATATAATTTGATAATATTTTTTCAACAGATATTATGAATTCGATTGGGGGGAATACAGGTTGCATGTACACATATATAGTAATTAGATGACAAAAGCCTTTGAAAGAATCAAGGTATTATTTATTTATTTTTGTTGTTGGATAATAATAACCATTCTGTGGTATACAAGTACTTTAATTGGGCGTCATTTCACTATTCTTTATTCTACCCAATTACTTTCTTCGAATACTAGCCAGGGTAATTTGGCCCTTACAATTATCAATAGAGTTAGTATTAGCAGAGATACATATTCCAGAAATCGAACTTATTATGTTGAAAAGTTAATCTAAATATGAGTATTTTATGAGGATATATCGAATGAAGTATAATAGAGTGTGCAGTTTTTGATATTTTCAACAGTAATATTAATGATAGTAATTAATAGTCTGTAATACTATATTTCTTAGTTCTAGTAGTCAATATCTTATCGGAAAATCTCTAAAGCCTCAAACTCGATCAGTATGGCGTTGCAAGTGTCGATTATTTTGTCATGATCGAGATTTTGATGATATTCTTCCTTTCTTTCTTTCCGATATATTCGTATATTTTGGCTTTGAATTTATTTATTTTTACCCTTGTGTCAGGGAGCTGTAATGCTAATTGACTGACATATCAGCCACCATACTTACAGTCTGACATTTATTTCTTTCTTTTACTCCTGTAGTCCCCTTTTCAGTAATGTTGTACAAAGATCGATCCTCCAAAAATATACAGCTTTGCAAGACTAGCATGGAAAAATTAAAACGAACAACAAACACATATGTCTAAAGTGAAAAAGAAAAAAGAAAGGTCTGGCACATGAGTATAAGTGTCACAAACACTTTAAACGCAAACTACCCGATATATATATATATATATGTGCGTAGTGTATAAGTGGACTTGTCTAATCCTTTTCGGTGAGTAAAAAAAAAGATTCTTGATGGACACTTATATTGCTTTAGATACATGACAGTTCTTCCTTTCATAATCATCATTATAAATATATGTAAGTGGGAATATGTACTTAGACCGCATACATACATACAAAGATACATCGATCGAAAATTTTTTATGTATATTTTAAATTTGGTTACAAGGAATATTCCATGAAAAAAAAAGACACCTTTATTTGTGTTCGGTCAACCCGCTTGATCATTGTACAGACACCAATTACTCGTACTCAATGCCATTTTTAGGCCTGAATTCTAGAATAGAGCTTCATTATCCTTATCTTACAAAGCTTGTAACCAATTTCCCAGGCTCTGTTTTCTGGTATAGATAAAAATCAAGTTATCAACATACTTATTTTAAGTAGAAAAAAAAATACAAGCCTGGATTTCCTTGTGCTCAAGCAGAACCAGTTTATTATTCTACTCGAATTATTTTAACCTGTAACTTTCTATATTATAAAAGCATGGTAAAAGATGAGTATATAGAAAAAGTCTTGCATATATATTCTACCAAATCAATCAAGAGTAAAAAGCCTCTCTAAATCCCATTTTTTTTTTGGCTTATATACTTTCACTTGGTACCATCACTATCAAGAGCGTATTTAATTCAAGTAGATAACTATTATACCCTGAATGATTGTTTAATAATAAAAAGGATCAATTTGATCAAAATGACAAATTAAGGACATAAAATCAGCTATATCTCATAATAGCTTAAGAAAACATTCTCACCAAAAGTAAGTAATATGGTGGAAGCCATCACGATCCACCAGCTGAACGTTGTTTGACATTGATTGCTTAAACATTGATCAAATCATCCAATATTTTCACTCTAAACCCCCCCCCCCCCCAATGTCCATTGATAAAAATTGGGCTATTTAAGTATCCACCAATAAAAAGTGTGTGTCCCAAACATTATTCTCAGTATGAATATCAGGTTTTGTGAACTTTTAGCGTAGCGTTAGAGAATTTGCAGCAGCATCAGTAACATTTTCATTTTCAAGAAATCAAGTGCTGATAATTCATCATGGCATTTGAAAGCAGCCAAAAAAATGGAGAGAGAATTTTTTTTTTTAAAAAAAAGCAGATAAAGCGCAACAAGCAATGGTTTTTAAATGCTGCATGTATTTCCATGCTCAGAGTCATAAAAAGAACAGAGCAATGAAATACATGCTGCCTGAAATGCTACTGCTGCAGACGTTTTTTTTTAGCAACATCTCCAAAAAAGCATTTGAATAAAAAGAAACTGGATTTAAATACTACTGCTCCAGATGCTCTTAACAAGATAGTAGGATTTTATCAGAGTAAAGCATTATATATATATAGCTTTATATCTTTATGTTTTTCAACAAATTTTTTTAATATAAACATTAACGTTTTATCTAACTAGCAACAGCGACCATTATAATAATTCTGAAAAAAAGGGGATGCCTCTACAAACGAAATACATTACTATCAAAATGACAGAAGGATATTGACACCAAGTCTTTAAAGAGTGAAAAAACGCTACAAAGATAATAAATGAATTGAATTGATGCAATTTGATAAGAAATCAAATCAGACAAAAGTAACTCGTGGTATGGTGGGGGGTATGTAGGGTAAAAGAAAATGACTGCGATTAGGAATGTATTGCATAATTAGCAGACTATTTATGCTGTAATATGTAAAGTGGATAGTGTACATTAGCAAATTAATATTATTGCTCTATGCTATTTATGAATCGTAAGTATTTTAGTGTCATTAGAGTGTTAAATGAAGTATGGCAAACGTCTGAATTGTCTTTATATACTTCATAGTGTTTCTTTGTTGTTGCTGTTGTATTATCTATTGGATTGACCATTGCGTATAATACATGGCAAATAAAGAAATTTCAAAATTGTATTATATTACTGACAAAGCAAAGTGAAGATACAGAGTATAAAATAATAAAAGAGTGTTGGAAGGGTTAAATAAAAAATAAAATAAAAAAATAAAAGGTATATGAAAGCAGAAGACTAGAAGCTAGCGACTACAAACTAAAATGTAAAAAAAGAAAAGAAAAGAAAAAAAAGAGAGAGAGAACCCCTTTGGATTAATGATGCTGATTGCCCTGTTGGCCACAATCCTGCTTCATAGTAGTGTTTGATGGACTGTCTCAAAAGTAACATTTATTAGCCGTTTAGCTTTTATTTTGTAATGTGTTTATAATGAAGAGTAATTCATTTTTTTCTTACAGTAAACAAAAGATAAAAATAAAATAAAAACTCGAGAAAACAAGAGGGTAATTATTCGCGATAGAGTGCTTCAGGGTAAAGAAGTCTATTTCTCGCGTTCGAGTGATTGAATAAGTAAAACTCAAAGGATATGAGGGGAAAGTGTGTGTCCTGGTGGTATTCAAGTTTGAGCTCTAAAAATCGAACACAAGAGGGAGTATTAAAGGTATAAAGTCAAAGTTGTGTTACGCAACGTTTATTTGCACCACGGTGTAAACAGGGAGGTAGTATATATATATTTCCTCGGAAAGCATATTTCCTAAGGAAGAATGCTGTATATCTAGACATGTTTATTTGAAAATATTGCATCTCTAAACATACATATATATATATATTCAAAGATATGATTAAACAAATTCCGGTCTTTTTTTATTATTATTGTATTTATCAAAAAGTAAAAAATTTATATAGGTATCTGTGTAAAGAGGAATTTGACGGCTTCTTTTCGGTGATTGTATGCTGGTAGAGAGGTAAGAAAAAGTTTGGGCTAGTGTATAGTATAAATGAAAGTATACGCTGCTAAATAAGGTAAAAATCCAACTGAAAAGTGGTATTTCCATTTACTCTACAACCTCAAATAATTTCCTCTGCTTACAAATACAACCAAACGTAATATACCTATGTTTTTAGCTGACACTCTATTCATTTCTATTTACAATACCCGCTTCTGCCTCTTCTTTTTTTTTTTACATACTGATATATCTTGAATACTACTTTACCCAATATTAATTATAGCTTGTTTTTATGTATATATATATATAAGCCAAGTCATCTTTTGTATATATGACTTTATTTATTTATTTCAAAATTTAATCATATCTGACAAGAAATGTAACACTGAAAACCCTTCATTTGCTCCACTTGGCTCATTTAAGCTTTTTTTGTGTGTGTAATTAAAATACTCCAGAGCTCGGAACAGGAATAGGAGTCTGGTGTAACTACAGAAAGGTAGCAAATGAAGTCTGACTACGGAGAGGAAAAAAAATATGTATATACATATGCCTTGTTTTGCTTACTCATAATCGTACTCAAGACGGCAAATGGACAGATATGTTTCCGGGGTGAGAAGAGCACAAGAAGTAAAAAGGAAAGGAAAAAAAAAGGTCGATCATTCAGGATTTTAATTAATGTTAGGAACCAGTACGACTTGATTATGTACAGTCACCGTACAAAAGCTACTTTAACATGGTTAGCTTCAAGTATTTGATTTATTTTATTATTTTTGGTTGGTTCTACAAAATCAGAAATATATGTATGTATGTATGTATGCATATAAAAATAAAAATAATATTGTTTTCATTTCAAGTGACTTCTGTGTACTTAAAGTCTTTGACTAAAACACTTTTCCTAATATAGCAAAAACTTTTTAGAATTACTTCTTTTAGTCTATCTGTATCACAGGTATTTGATTTGAATATACAGCATTTTATATTGATTGCCTGTAGCAAGATGATTAGCCATTTGACATATATTCATCTTTATTTAGTAGACTGGCTAAATACAACTGACCCACTTGGTTTTTCTTTCACATTTTCGTGCTACTGAATCAGCCTTGACCCATAGTCTTATTGAGGATCTTTAACTTACTGTTACCTAATCTCAAATATACTTATTGTATATAGTTTTTTTTTTTAAGAAAAATGATCTCAGGAATCAGATTGTTGATCTCTGTACAACTTTTCCAAAGAATTTATTGACGTTATTGTCATTATTTTAATATATATCTGTGTATATTGCCGTAAAACCAAGCTGTCTTCTTTTAAATTAATAAGCTAAGCAGTTAAATGTGAAGGATTAATAATACATGTGTTTTGAGTTGATATTCAACTTCCCGGATCTCTTTATAGAAAAAAAAATACAGGTATATAAATACATGGCATTCATACATTTTTTTAAAAATCACTACCAATACACTTCTCTTTTTCTCTCAAAAAAAACAATGACTCTTAACTCTCAAGTTATCTACACAAAGCCTCCTACAGAATTTCCAGTGGTTGGCGAAACTGTCAAGATATCCAAATCCACAATTGACCTTGATGCTCCTCTACCCGAAGGCGACATTCTCTTGAAAAATCTTGTGCTTTCTGTTGATCCTTATATGCGTGGACGCATGCGTGACCCTGCAATCGATTCCTATGCTCCAGCATTTGAGTATGACAGTGTCCTGACTGGCGATACTGTTGGCCTTGTAATCAAATCCAACAATCCCAAATTCAGTCAAGGTGATCTGGTCTATGGCAGAACAAGTCTGGGATACTTTGAAGAGTATTCGCACGTCAAGGGATCTTATGCGGATGAAAGCTATGTCGTGCGCAATGACCCCAAGACTAATGGTCTTCCACTGTCTTATTATGTCGGAGTCTTGGGCATGCCCGGTCTTTCAGCCTATGTTGGGTAAGTCTTTAACTATCTGTGACAAGAATATATATATATATATATATTTATGACTCTTAATTAACATATTTGATCTCTCTCTCTCTTTTTTTTAAAAAAAACAATAGTCTTAAGAAATATGGAAGACCAAAAAGTGGTGAAACACTCTATATATCGGCAGCTTCGGGAGCAGTTGGACAGATCGTTGGACAGATCGGCAAGGCATTGGGACTGTATGTTGTTGGATCAGCCGGGTCGGACGACAAGGTCGAGTACCTCAAGGAACTTGGATTCGACGGTGCCTTTAATTACAAGACTGAGAACATTGACGCAAAGCTCACAGAACTTTGTCCCAAGGGTATCGACATATACTTTGAGAGTGTGGGTGGCTCTATGCTCGAGCATGTTCTTAATCATGCCAACAATTTTGGTCGTATTATTGCATGTGGCATGATCTCCCAATACAATACCCAGAATCCATATGGAGTACGCAACCTTCTTTACATTGTAACCAAGCGCCTGGCATTCGATGGATTTATTATTATGGACAAAGAGAACATGGTTTATGAAGAAGAATTCATAAAGACGTGTACCCAGTGGCTGTTGGAGGGAAAAATCAAGTATAGAGAGACAATTGTGGATGGAATCGAAAACACTCCTCAGGCCTTACTTGATGTTCTCAAGGGTAGAAACTTTGGTAAACAAGTAGTCCAGGTTACGAGTTTTTAAGGAATCCGATAATTTAAATAATTCAATAAACGAATAAATCAATAGATAAATATGTCTGTATGCGTGTATTTACACTTGAGCTATATCATGTTATTGGTCAAGCTATGTGTGTTTCTTCTTATGATTATGATTGCTCTCAAGGGTGTCTGATATAATTTTACATGCATAATAACCATAGTAGTAAACCAAAAAAATATAAGCTTATTTAAACCAGTTCAATTTACCTTTTTACTTAAATATTACTTACTTGAGATTGTAAAAAAAATAAAATAAAGATGATGATAACGATAAAGATATGTTTTATTGTTGCTTCTTTTGAAGATTTTTATGTCATTCGAATATATACCGCTGTGTTATAGACTTTGCATAAGACAGCAAGGGATGAAAGGTTATGCACAAGGGTATAAGCCTTGTGCAAGGGATTGAGAAGAAATCCCGCAAAGAAGTATGACGCTCTTGCAAGATAGTATTAGGGAGGTTTGTGCAATTTTGTTTTACCAATCTCTTTTCCAATGTACTAATATGGACAGAAATGTCTTACCAATTTTCTGAAGTTTCATTTCCATATTGAGGTCCACGTCACGGTCGGGAAATAGAATACAGCTAAACTAACGAACATTAACTTGTATTAATGGTTAAGTTGATAGTCTGGTAATGCTTGGTCAATCAATTGACATAAACTATATTGTTAATTGCAGAATCGGTAATAGAGTGCGTAATATATATAATCCAAATATATAGTTTTTAAAGAATGACATAAAAGAAGTCATGTTAATATAATATCTACATTGTTAAAAGTATATTTTTTAACATATTTTCTACATCTTCCTTTGAATATATCGTTAGTTTAGCAGTTAAAAATAACCTTCAATTATTGGCTGAAGACACTTTGTAAAGCCCAAATTGGGCTTACAAAATTTTTGGAAGTATGAAACAAACTATTCTTTTTTAGGCAGGCAATTTCCTTTTTAATTTTGTTAAGAAAATTGCACAAACCTCCCTATTGTCTGAGCGGAACCAAGGCAACACACGCCATGTAAATAACGATATGTGCTCGGATTTTTAACTTTAGCAAAAAAGAAAAAACTACCTCCAAATACATCTTTATGAAATAATTGATATGAGGCATATTTGTTTCAGATCATCATTACCATGAAAATTACAAGATATATACAGACACACACATATATTATATTTTACCGAAAATTAGGATCGACTAACTCTAAAAAGGTATAGTGGTTTGTACAGGGCTGATCTATAACGCATCTTTGTAGATAATCGAGCAAGATATTATATGCCAAACCCATGTTGATGTTTGCCAAAAAAAAAGAGAGTCAAGTAAGAAACAAGACGAATTGGATCTTGGCGGTTTTTGTAGCTGCCCTGCACTGTACTTTAATAATAATAATAATAATAATAATAATAGAAAAGACAAGTTTCTGACATCTTTACCAAAGATTGTCTTTTTTAATTTTTAATTTTTAATTTTTTTTATAAGCAAGAAAAGATATGATTGGAGTTTATACTGTGGCTCTATTCTCGGTCATCCTCTTTGGCCTTCTTGAAAGCATAAGTTGTCTTGGTCTTACGCTTGATCAATGTGATTGTGGATTCAAAGACGAAAACGACCGTATCTGGACAAACATGTGGTTTGAGGACTATACCAAGGACATTGCAAGCCCTCATGAAGATCATGACTACCTTGTCATGAATTACACTGTAAAGTCGATACGACCCACTACTCTTGACCGCCTATTCGATCCTAACAACGTTCAATTGACCGATGGAGGGATTGATATGACTGTAAAATCAGATGACAGTGGGACATTTACATCGGCTTCATTTGGTTCAAGAAGGTACTTCAAAGATGTTAGAACTATCTTTTTAAAAAAAAAGAAGAGGTTGAGCTTATGATTATTTCCATAGAACCGATATTTTGTATGGAACTTACCGAATTAATGTCAAGACTTCTGATGTACCGGGAACAATCGCAGCAATGTTTATTCGCAACGACAATACCGAAATTGATATTGAGCTGTTGAGTCAGTACAAGGACCCAGCCAAAGTACACTATGCCGTTCATCCTCAGATCTATGAGTCAAATGGATCGCCGTCTCCACTCACATTTGGGCTCAAAGATCTTTCATTTGATCCTACAGAGGTTTGAATAATATATATATATATATTTAATTTGTAGATAAAAAAAAACCAACATAATTATTAAATATGTATTTTTATTTTATTTTTTTAAAAAAAATGTAGGAATTTCATGAGTATCGACTTGATTGGCTACCAGAAATAGTAGAATATTTTACGGATGGCGTACCAACCCACCAGCTTTCCAAAAACATACCCGAGAAACCTGGAAGGGTTGTGATTAACCACTGGACAGATGGAAACCCAAACTTTGGTGGAGCACTTCCAACAGAACCTGCCGTCCTCTCGGTATCAAAGTTTGTTATGATGTTTAATGTAACCGGCAATACCGAGCCTCTTGCTTGTCAGAAATCGGCCAATGCTTGTTCAATTCATGGTGAGTGTTATAAGATTGTCTTCTTTTCCTCTTCTCCTTTCACTCCTCTAAGGAAATGTTAATGATAATATTTATTATGGCTTGATAATTAATATTCCTTTGTTGTTGTTGTTGTTGTTATTATCTACTGTAGATGTAACAGAAGAACAAATTTTGCCTGAGAATATCGCAATGCCATCATCGAGTATGCCTTCAAAACGTTCCCCAACAAACTCAACCTCACTACCTTTATCTACTTCTCTTGGCAGAAAACCTTTAGATAATCAAGTAAACGTTTCCTTTGCCCTACAAAACAAGGCTTCTAAACTATTTATAATCCTTTTACTAGGATTGAGTTTTGGGCCCTTGATTTGATTCAATTGTCATCTCCCCTCCCCTCCTCTTCTCCTTCTCCCTGTCCTAACCCTAACCCTAACCCTTGCCCTTGTCCTTGTCCTTGTCCTTGTCCTTGTCCTTGTCCTTATTCTCTCTCTTATACATGTATAGTATAGCCATAAAGAGCGTGCACACATAAATATATATAAATATAATTATAGATATAGATACATTTGCGAATATGCGTATGCGTGTGTTGACATCAATATCATCCCATATTTTCTTTATTTTCTTTGTGTCTAAATATACTCTCTTCTTTATCTTCTTCTTCTTCTTATTCTTTGTTTTTTTTTTCTTTATTCCTTTCTATTTATTTATTTATTTTTAAAAAAAGGATCTACTTGTCAAAAAGGTAATTGGGCGTTGTCTTTCTATTCTTCTTTTTACTGGTATTATTATCGCTATCGCTATCGCTATCTTTTAACATTAATATCATTTTTTTGTTATTGTGCCTTTTATACTATCAAGACAAAACGTTTAATGCCCAAGAGATTATAAAGGGATAATTATGTTTATTCTATAGGTTCAAAAAAAATTAATTAATTAATTATTCATCCATTTCAACTACCATTGGTGCATCTTCATCTTCTTCGTCCTCTTCTGTTGGTAATTCCCATTTGAATCGAGATACAAGGAATTTCTTTAGTTGCAAGAATCGTTTTCCTAATTCAAATTCATGAAGTGGGATGTTTTTACGGAATTCCTAATATGAACCAAGAAATTAAATTCATTATGCAAGAAACACACACACACAGAGAGAGAGATATCATTAATAATCTCAAAACTCTATGTAAAGATGTATATATATATTTACCTGTAACATGCTTGATATAAAGTTGTTTTCAGACAAGATGTCACGGAAAAAGTCTTCAGGACACTCTTCAAGCTGATGCTCAAATGTATCTACCAAAATAATGATTCTAAGCTTTCTTTTCTTATTTTCTTTTTGCTAAAGAAAAAGGTGATGGATCCTGTCAAAGTTTGAGGCAATTGACTAGCTGACTGACTGATTTCTCTTGTTTGTCTTCTTTTTTTCTTTTTTCTTAAGATTTGATTGACTTACCAATAAAATCAATAAACACACCCGGACTTTCTTCCATCCACTCTTGACACGAACAGAATAAGCGGACCATTTGTTTCCATTGATGAAATCCAGAAAAGTTTTGTGCCATTAAAAGACAAACGAAGGACAATTGCATTTCACCCAACATAACCAAATGATCTAATATGATGGCAATATTTTCAGTATAATAATATTAATAATAAAAAAAGCCCCACACTAAATTTCTTCTCCCCCTTTATATATATATGCATTTACCGTCATGATAGACTCGACGAAGTAAATCACGGGCAAGCCAGGATTTGTCAATGCTCCACTTTGTGATTTCATAGGCCGTTGCATTTTTTGGAAATGATTGTCTTAGATCAAATGGTGTGAACTCCATGCCTTCTTCTTTTTCGACTTCTTTGCCGACCCGTTTGTCTTTGACAGAAAGAACATCGTCGTCGAGTGGTTCGGGCGATTTTCTTGGCAGATGGGATACCTTTCCGTCGTTTGGTAAGATACGTCGTACTAGTCCAGGCGTGATGTGTTCGGTCAGGGTTCTCCAACGTTGGTAGTATGTAGGAGGGTCGAGTGGATAAGGACCCATATTCCGATCAAAATCTCGAATATCTTTATTTATTATCATTATAATCATAATTAGTATAATAAATAAAAGGTTATTTGGTTATTGAGAAATATACTCTAATTTTCTTATTTCTTATTTCTTTCTATAAACATTTTTAGAATTACTCTTTTTGTATCGTTCTACTTGTTCTGGATCGAGCTCTCTTTCTTCTCGTAAATCTTCTGTGTGTGTATTCCATTCACGTACCGCGACCTTGCGATAATTTGAATGGTTTTAAATTTTCAATATATATATATATAATGTATAGACTTTGTAATTCTCATTCTAACCTCTTTGGATTCAAAGTACTTGAAAAAACCAGTCCGTATTCCTTGAAGACCTTCATTACTTGTGGCTCTAAAAATATAAATAATATAAATAACCATAATAACGGTAGCAGTAATACTAATGATTAATTTCTTTCTTTCTTTTTGTGTGTGTGTGTGTGTGTTTGTCTCTCAGTTGTATATATATATATATATATATAACAACCTTTGGGCTATAAATGCTTACGAAAAGTAAATAAAGTGTAATCCTGGAGGAATCATCTTGACACCTTTGAATAATGGACCGATTGTCCAAGCATGGTAATCGATTCCAAATTCTAGATTTGGAGGTGCATCTAGGAACAAAAGAAACGCGCCATGGTCGAATAATGCATTGGCTGTTTGTTGGTCCATTATTATTATTAGAATTAATCAAATGTGTGTTGTCTTTTTTTTTTTCTTTTCTTTATAAAGAAATAATATGTATATTGTATATAAGGTAACCAAAAAAAAATAAAATAAAATAAAATAAAAATTAAAATATTAATGCAAACTTGTGACTTTACAACACCAACCTGATATATATATATATATATATAATTTATATATATTGGTTAGAATCTTTTAATGATAGTGTAAGAAAATTAGCATAGAAAGTTTAGTTGGTATCAACAAGGTCTCGATTATTATCATTGCTTTTTAAGAATAAGAATGATAATGATAAAATAAAGAACTCTTCATTCATTCATTCATTAATTCATTAATTAATTCGTTTGTTCTTTCGGTTGTTCATTTTTTTTTCTTAGTTGTCTCGGTTGCTCATTCATTTATTGTGGTAAAGAAGTAAGGGCAGAAAGAAGGGGGAAAAAAGGGGAGGGAGAAGGGGTGGAGATGGGGACCTTTATATATGTGTTATATGAATATTTTGGATTTGGATTTCATTATTTTCATTTTCATTTTCATTTGTACCAATTGATCTATGTGTCTATGTATGTGGTAGAAGAAATTTTGGATTGTTGTGTTTGGAATTGAATAAAATGATTTGGTAGGTAGTAAAATAATTTATTTTTTGGGTGTTATTTTTATTATATTATATTTTGCTTTGCTTTGCTTTATTCTTGTAATTTGGCAAGGTATTTTGGTATTTTGGTATTCAAGGCGTGAGTGTAAAAGATACAAGATGAAGAAATAATGATTGTAATGAGTATGCTAATAATACAGTCTATGAATGTATCTATAAAAATTGGTAGTCAAAATAATCCAAAGAAGAAAAAAAAAGGACTAATGTAAGGAAAGTTATATTGAAAATTGGTGTCAAACCAAAATTTTGAATACATATAAAATAAGTCAAGATAAAATTGTGGGTGGCGCGGTTGTGATAAAGGGAGTACAGAGTCTACTGGATTTGGAAACAATCTTTATTTGTAAAGATTGCGGGTGAGAGAGAACCGGTCTCTTCAAGGTACTTGATACCATTGGCATCAAGGTTGATTTTGTGCTGTGCCGTATCCAAAACTGGAGACTCGAGACCAGAACTTGCTGATGATGCAACCGACTCTGAAGGTGTATCAAGGCAAGGTAATGGTCTGGTGGTAGTAAGTGGGGAGAGCAAGACACCTCTTCGGCGAGAGAGGGAGGGAGGGTATCTTGGCTGAGGACGAGGTATGGGTATGATCTCGCTTGATAGATAAGCATTATTTTCTTCTTCTTGTTCGAAAGTGTCTTTGGATCGAATTGGTTGAATATGTAGGGTTAGTGGAATGTCTTTGATTGGTTGATGGTTTAATTGAGTTGCTCGAATTTGACGAGTGTGGCGTGGTGATGCTGATGCTGATGATGATGATGAAGAAGATGTTTTGATCATACGCAAAAAGGTGTCGAAAGGTCGTTGTCTTGGTCTTGATTGGGCTGGAGAAACTGGTACTCTGATGACTGATAGACGGGCGAGTCTGTACTGGATCACATCTACCCAGGCTCCTTGATCGAATGCTGAATTGCACTCTATGGTCCATGGTGGCAGAGATGAGTCTTTGTCTTGGATGGGAGCGTTTAGATTTGGTTCGAGACGGAAACAGTATGGGTGGTTGGGGAATGAACAGGCAACTACTCTAGAAACATCGCGTAGACTGAGAGTAGATGATGCACTATCAGTGTGCTAAATAAATATATAAAAAAAAGAGTATTAGATTTAATTGAATGGTTCTATGATGAGATTGATGCCATATTAACTAACCTCGTCTTTATAATAGCGTAATTCGGAATCCAACAAGACGAAATATCGGGAACGCCACCGACTTCTTCCAAAGGAGCCTGAGCTGAGTTTTGCTAACCAGTCTGATTTGGGTACGATAAAAGACATGATGATTTTTGTTATTTTGTGGTGGTGTGAATAGGACGTAAAGGATAAAGGATAAAAGATAAAGAAGTAGAGAAAGAGAGAAAGATGAATAGCAGAGTGAATCCAGTACAGAGACTACTTCTATTTATACGTTCTTTCCATTGTATTACCCACCCCCTTCCTTCCATATATAATAATAATAATAATAATAATAATAATACCAAATTCTAATTCTAATTCTATTGTACGGCCCCCCCCCCCCCCCCCTTTCTTTTTTTTCTTTTTCTCACGTCACAGACTATTGTGTATGTATACATGCATATATTATCCTATACTAAAGCCTTTTTTTTTGTGCTTTTTGGACACTTTGCCTTTGACACCGCCATTTTCAATTTCAATTTCAATTTTTTTTTTGGTACTTGATTACAAGTGATCATCACTCCTCAAACCAGTCCCACCCCTCCTCTATCTCTACCTCTACCTCATCTTATTCTTCCGCCTCCCCCTTTTCTAACCTTTTTTCTAAATCAAGTAAAAAAAATAAAATAAAAAGAGATAAAAATTAGTTGATATCTTGGGTATAATAGAATGATAATAATTTTTAATATAGGTATATAGTAGGACTGTTTCTAAATCCCTCACTTTCAAGTACTACATGCATTTGATAAGTAATATATGTATATGTATATGTATATGTATATGTATATGTATTGGTGTAGGTGTAGGTGTAGGTGTTGGTGTTGGTGTCGATGTGTCTATTGATTGGAGTTAATATGCGTCTGTAATATATGTGTGTACTGCGGGCCAGAACTAATCATTAACATGAAATTACCATAAAAGGCGAAGAGTATTAGGCGTGGTATCAAGCGAAGATGAAAGCCAAAAAGCAAAAGCAAAAGCAAAAGCAAAATAATAATAATATTATTTTATTTTACTTTATCTTGTAACGAATGTTAATATACCGCTTCTTTAAAGGTGCATATGGTTCTCATTGACTTTTTGTCGATGTGTCTCAGCTAAAAATCTCATTAAGGATGAAATACCTAAAATTATTATTATTATTATTATTATTCTTTTACATACATATACATAAGAAATATTAGATAGACGTATATACTATATCGAATTGAATTGAATTGTTTTCTTTGGCTGATACAAAAGAATGTATATTATGTTACTGTCTGGTCTGGTCTGGTCTGGTGAGTACAAAATACGGCAAATGTGTATCCATTCGCCACAGTGCACTAAAATTGGGTTTGCTGAGTATCGCGACGGCGAATGAATAGTTTATTTTGTGTAGACACAAAGCACCATCCAAATCCAGTTTTGTGCTACTCATTACCACCAAAAGCTATTGTTATATTTTTATATATATATATATATATTTATTTATTTATTAAGGTCCAGACTTTTTTCTTCTTCTTCTTCTTTTACTTTTACTTTTACTACTTCTTTAATTAATAAGAGTATATTATAAAATATATGTATATCTAATCACTACTATTCTGGATCTGTTGCCATGTTACTTCTTGGCTAGTCACACTTATAATAGTAGACAGTTCCTTGTAGTTTGTAGACTAACCAATCAACCAATCAACAAAAGTCCAATACACTTTTGTCAATTGAAACCGTGATGAATTGCCATGAAATAATATCAAATCAAATCAAGCCATTGCCTATTTCTACTTTTATTTTTTAAATATATAATATATATAAATGTCTGGTTACCGTTCAAGCCATGTCCAACCTTCCCAGACAAGATTGATCACTTTTCTTTCTTTTCTTTAGTTTTGTGCTTCAGAATGGTCCCAGAAAAAAAGAGACATTAATAAGGATCCTGAGTCGGTGTCTCATTTGACCAACTCGAAACCGAGCAAGAATATATATATATATATATACCGTTTCTCGGCCTTTAATTACAATTTGGAAGAGGTACCTTTTGGTTTCCAGTTTGATTCTTTTTCTTTTTTGACACACACAAACGTACATATACTCGCACGGTTTGAATGATCAAACTTTGTAACTTTAGCCTGTCCATTTAGTTCAAGCCGCCATTTTTCCCATTATATTATTATTATTCTACTTTCCTCTTCCCTTTTTTGTGATTGTCTGTGTCTGTGTCTGGGTGTGTGTACGATTGTGTAGATTCAAGGTTTTGGTTACCAGTTCTCTCATTGTTGACATTCTAATATATATATATATATACATCTTAGTTGGTAATGTGATCTAACTACATCAAAACCCTATCACTACTGTCTTCTTCTTTCTTAATTTTTGATCGATCTGTTCTAAAGAGAGAGAGAGAGAGAGAAAGTTCATAGAAGAATTCGTTATCTTTATATATATAAATTAAAATAAAATAAAATAAAAGTTCCATTTTTGGTGGATCTGTACAAGGTTCTTTGTGATGTTACTAAGTATTGATGATTTTTACCTTAAAGAAGACGAAATAATGTAGATTGATCTTTAAAAGACTTTTGCATTAAAAGTACAAGTGCTTATTTTTTTTTTCTTTCTTTCTCTTTCTCTTCATACCTCTTTATGGTATTTTTGTGTATTTGTTTGTGAAAACAAGGTTTCTAAGCATCTTATAAACCACTCTTTCTATATATACTTTGTACAACTTGTTCTTGAGTCCAATGCAGTGTACGTTGCTGTACTGTGCTGTTCTGTGGTTTGTGTGGGATTTAAGCTTTTGTTTCTTTCTTACTTTTTTTGGCTATGACTAAAGACGTTTACATATATGGTTATTTTCTAAGCTTTTTTATAGTATGTACTAAGCTCCCTTATCATTCTGTCTAGATCTTATGAAGAAGCCCATTTACTCTTAAAAGAACAAACAAACAAACAAGCAAGCAAGTAAAGGTGATGTTTGCTTTGCTTTGCTTTGTTTTTTTTTAGTGTGACATGTACTCTGCTTAGATGGTGTATTTTTTTTGCTGCTGTTGCTGCTGTTGCTGCTGCTGCTGCTGCTGCTGCTGTTGTTGTTGTTGTTGTTGTTGTTGTTGTTGTTGTTATATTATTACTATCTAAAAAGATACTAAAATAAAGAAATAAAACGTACTGAATTAATTAAGAAAAACTCTAGTTTACTGCGGATCTGGTACTTAAACTACTGCTGCTGCTGCTGGTAATGCTGGTGCTGCTCCTCTTCCTCTCTTCTTCTTCTTTGTCCTCCTTATTCTTCTTGCACACTGCACACAATTCTCATTAAAAAAGGATAATATCGGCTTATTTGGTAACTTTAATAAAATAGAATAAAAATAACAGAAAAGTTGTATTTGGAGTGCCAAGGAAACTGTAAATATATAAAAAAATACTATATATATATATAAATACTTGATGAGAAACTCTTGGCTCTGTAAATGATCTACACAAGCCAAGACAGTTAATAAACCTATTGATCAAGATTGTATGTGTTTTTTTTTGTGGACAAATATGCCGCAGCACACCCGCTCAAGATAATAAAGAAAGAAAAAAAGAAAAATGTGTGACACCAATGCAAGACCTTTTTTTTGTATGCTGTATGTGTACTGATGAGTTCTATAATCCACACTTTCAGAACCCATATACTGCATCTGTACATTGGGACCATTAGAATTCTTGCTAGCAAATTTTGAAACCAAAAAAAAAAAAGAATTCAGTTCTGTCAACAGTACAGACATTTACATACTCTTTATATATCTTTATATATTGAGATTATTCAGTTGCATGGTTTATAGAAAGAAAGAAAAATTGATCGTCATTAAAAGTACAACAACTGCAGCAATACCGATAGTAGCCCCAATAGCAAGCCAAATGAGCCCAAACTTTTATTTATTTATTTTTTGGTTTATCATTTTTGAATAGTCGGCATACCTTATACATATACTGGCTACTGATTAGGAAATATTACAAATAAATCAAGTGCCACTCATCCAAAAAAAAAAAAAAAAAGTACGATATTCTAACATCACAACTTTTGATGATTGGTTCAATTAGATGAAATAAATCTTGGTTATTCATTTACTTGATGCTGTAAAAGTAGATTTTACGTGTGTATGTATTGGTTTACTATTACTATGGCATTTTTATTGGATTGTTACAATAGGCAATTTCACCAATAATTGTTCTTCTTTGATTTACATCAAGAGATTATGTAATGATTAGAAATGCAATAACGACATCATTGGCAATAGAACAAGCACTGCACTGTACTGCACTGCACTTCTCCCCTCTCTTTTCTTCTCCCTTCTTATTATCTCTCTTTATTTCCATTTCTAGTTTCCTCTGTGTATGTAAAAGTATTGATCCTACAAATCCACGTGGAGGCTGCTCTTTCGCACATATGTATATACGCACATACATACACACACACACACACATATATATATATATATATGTAGAGAGAGAGAGAGAATACTTTATATGAAAATACACCAATAAATAGTATAAACATGTCAAAATAAAAATAAAGAACCCACAAGAGACAAGCAAATAGTGTTTGTTTTTTGTGATTCTATTGTAATTGGCCAAAATCCTCAATCAAAATATACTTATTTCAACAACAAAAAAGCGTAGATTTTATTCAATTGACAATCTCAACATTCAAAAATGACTAAACTGCGATTAACCAAAAAAAAAACCCCCAAAGAATTCCCTCCCTCTCATTATCTTTCTTTATCCCCTTGTTTTGTTTTGTTTCCCCTACTTGCTCACTTACTTGGTTAGTTACCTCTCTCTCTCTCTCTGTTTGTCTTTACTCCTGCCCTTGCGTCAATATTTCTGCAGACAAGAGTAATTGAAAGTGATAAAGAAAGAAAGAAAGAAAGGGGGTGGTTGAACAAGACTGTGCTTGTGCATACATGCATGCAGACAAAAAAAGAGAGAGAGGGAGGGAAAGCGAACCAAAGTACAAAAATCTGGTTTAAATAGACATTTTACATATATTTATATATTGGCGTCTTTACATGTTTGCAAAGGCCCTAACCCAAACCCAAAACAGCACCTATAGACTATGCATAGATGCATAGATACATAGATGTATTTGCCACCAAAACTCCTTGTGTGTAACGATGTCCATGCACAATTTAGGGACATTCAGGAGGTGTAAACACTTGGAACAGATTATATATGTTCTTATATTCCTATGTATTGCTTATCGTCTAATTTATTGACTTTCTTTACCATCTAACCACACCACACTGTACCGTTTGATTTCTTTTCTTTTTCTCTCTTGTCTTTCATCTTATTTATCAGCATCAATATCGACGCTTTTTCTTTTCTTATTGTTTCTATCTATTGTACTTCATTATAAATAAATAATACAGCTGTAACATATATAAAAAGAAAAAGAAAAAACAAGGTAAAGAACAGTATCATTTTATCTTCCTCTTTTATATTCTCTTTATTTTCTAGGCAAGTTTTTTTTTTTTTTTTTTACTTTAAAAATGTCTCTTGGTTAATAAGTTTCCCAGCTTAGTATCAATGCACAAAATGCACAAAATGCACGCCCATATATTATTGCCAAGTTTGGTTCAAATGTTAAAATCAGTAAACCATTAAATAAATGAATGAATAAATTAAATTTTACCCCAAAAATAACCATAATCCAAAACAGAAAAATACAAAATAAAATCTTGGATTTTTGATCTATTATTGTTACCATTAATAATAATAATAATGGGTAATATAATATATATACATTATTCATAATAATTGTAGTAGTAGTAGTAGTAGTAGTAGTAGTATATATTTGTGGGGTGCGGTCTACAAAGATGGTTGATCAAGAATATTATGTACAAGATTTAAACATACTTTTTATGATTAAGATTATTATTGTTTCAAAAAGAAAAGGGTAGTTGAATAAATCAAACGAATAGATTATAATATATATATATATATATTTGGTTACCAGCGACTGTATTTTGCATGATTGAATTTTGGAGCATCGCGCTCATAGTGACTTAGATGGTCATTGTACTTTAGTTTTTCTTTCTTGGATAAAGGTGTGTAATTTACACTGGTATTATTTCTATTTTAATTGAAAATCAAATCAAATCAAATAAAATTTATTATCATTATATACATATTAGTATAATGCTTTTTCTTCTTCTTACTTGTTGAGTTTTCTGGTGAGATCTGTGAGGTTCAGGTGAAGAGCTTGGGCCATGAAATGTCCAATATCAATATTTTCATGACTGCCGCGTAGAGAATCAGTGCCTTGTCCGTACGCATAGAGATTAACATCAACTCCACTATGACCAAGAGTAGCCCACTGTTTTTTTTTTGTTTGTTAAAAAATATATATGTAAAAATAAAAAGAAACTTACTCCTAACTGAGCTCTTAGGGAAACCATTTCTGCAAGGTAAAAGTCCATCAAGTTTGTTTTTTTTATCTTGGCCAAGCCTTGCTCTTCTTCTTTGGTCACATCTTCAATCCCGAGATACTTATTGACAAGAGGCACGATCTTATCGACCTTGCCGAACAATCTGTTGTCCTTGATATAGTGAGCCACCGATACGGTTGACTTTCTAACCTTGGTCAATACGTCCGGGTACCTTTTATGTAAATTTATATAAAAGTTATTCAAATATATATATATATATACATATCTTTGTCTGTCTATCTTTGCTTTACCATAGATACTCGGGGTAAATAGGAGAGACCTGGCGTGCTAATGATAGTCCACCTGTCTCATGGTCACTGGTTGATATCATGATTGTTCCGGGATTCTGGTCAACGAATCTCTTTACATAGGCGATCGTTTTCTGGTACTCCAGAATGTCATGCACATGGGTAGCTGGATCGTTTCTGATTTGGCACATATAATTAATCAATTAAATCATTATTATATATATATATAATTGACATACGAATGAGCGGCCATATCAATTCTGCTGCCTTCGATCATCAAAAAGAAACCATTTTCGGTAGACTTGGTTGAATGTAAGAGGATGTCTAGAGCCTTTGCAGACATTTCGGTCAGACTGGGTTCTCTTGTAGGATCTCTGTCAATCGAATAGTCCATATGCTTATTCACAAATATGTTAATAAGAAATAATAATAATAATAAAATTTGAATATCAATTAACTTCATTTTTTTTTTGCCAAGACTAAATACTATATTATAATATAGGTAATATTTACATCTTCATTGAATAAAAGAAGGACCGGTAAGACACCAGGATCAATTGAGGAAAGGTTATCAAATACCGATCTGTTGTTGTACTCCACAGTGTTCCAATCATTTTGCTTTGCTTCTTTAAATAGCTCACGCTCGTCCCCACGGCAGCTCTGTGGATTTGATTTGGGCAAGAAATGACAATAGCCTCCGCCCATCATCAGATCCACATTGCGGCCCAGAGGATTGTCGCCTATCTGCTGCACCGCAATATGGTTCTCGTCGTCTCGGTCCTGTACGTGGGCCGAGAACGAGGCGGGTGTGGCATGTGTGATTCTAGAGGTGACAACCAAGCCTGTCTTCATTCCATGCTGTTGTTTTGCAGCCTCAAGAACAGTAGCGCATGGGTTTCCACTAGGATCGACTTTTTTTTTTTTTTGTGATTAACAAACCAATTCTTTACAGATATATATATATATATATATATATATATCTTACCTCCTATTGCTCCGTTGTAGGTTTTAAGCCCACAACTGAATGCAGTGGCTCCGGCTGCACTATCTGTGACAAGTGTTGACGAACTACGGGTTCGAGACTGACCCACGTGGATTGTGTCCAAGGGCATTTGGTAATCAAAGGGTTCCCCCTGAGTGTATTGATAATATGTCCTGGTGAATGCTACAGATGCTGGGCCCATGCCGTCACTTATCATCATAACAATGTTACGAATAGGAGGTCGGTCCGCTGTGCTGTTATTCTCTTGTTGGACTTGTTGGTCCTGTTGGACTTGCTCTGATGTGGTCGGTGATTCGAACGAAGAGCCCAAGAAACCAGCTAAAAGTAGACCACCTATCATTAATGCAATAGCACTACTAATCACAAGGAATGTACTCTTTCGCGACTATATATATATATGTGTGTGTGTGTGTGTTTATTGTATACAACAACAATATGAAAAATGAATATTATTATCAATATTATATTTGTGGTAGACGTACAGATGTACGGTTGTTGTAGTCATGGGATTTTTCGATTATTGAATTTTCAGAGCTTGCTTCTAGCCTGTGAATGTTATCTAAAAGAGGTTCATTCATTGTGAACCTTCTTGGTTGAATAAAAGAAAGAAGGAAAGAAGGAAAGAAGGAAAGGAAAGGAATGACTGACTGACTGAGTGAGTGAGTGAGTGAGTGAGTGAGTGATTAAGAGTTAGGTTAATTAAAAGTCAGTGAAGATCCCATCAAATTCTGTCATACATGAGCCTTCTTTATTTCTTTCTTTCTATGATTTCTTTTCTTTTCTTATAGGGGTAAGCGTATAGTCTATAGTACATAGAGTGGTAAGTATGTTAGTGTAGTGTAGTGTAGTAGCATATATGACATCACAGAATAATATAATATTTTATAAGAATATGCCTGTAACCTCTTTTTTTTCTTTTTTTTTTGAAACAAGGATCTATTTTATATATATACCATATAAAATAGTAACGAAAATTATAGTGTTTTAAGAACAGGCAAGGAGAAGGGCAAAATGAAAATGAAAATTAACCAAGAAGCAATAGATGAATAAGAGGAAAGGTGACAAACACAAATAATGTTAATATAAATAAAATAAAAGAAATATTCACTATTTTTTTTTTCTCTCTCTCTCTCTTACAATCACACCTGGGGGTTATAATCACATCACAGTTACAAACTTTTTGCTTTGCTTTCAATTTTTACCAAACCTAGATTCTCATACTAATGAAACCCTTCCCGAACCAACTCATGGTCCGGGTAGACAGACTAAAAAAAAAAAAAAAGAAAAAGAATTCTAGACCAAAATAAAATGTACTATTTTTTTTTCTTTTTTCTTTATTTATTTTTATTATATTTTATATATGGTTTATAGTATTTAGTCTGTGTGTAATCGATATATAAATAAATGAGATTTCTAAGCGCTTAAATATTAATGTCCACCCCACAAAATAATGAGATTTTATTGGTTTATAGTATATTCATTTATCCCCCACCACCCACCCTCCTTTTATATATATCTACTCAATTACCGTATATTTGACTAGTAACAATAATACCAATAATAATATCAGCTCCAAGAAAGAAAGTAAAAGAAAAAAATATATATATAAAAAAAAAAGCGGAGTATGATTTATCTACTTATTTACTATCTATGATTGGCTAATTATGTTGGTACGCCAACGCGTCTGCCGGAGTTTGGTTTTTTGTATTTCTCTCACTCTCTTTGTCTCTGTTTGATTTTTTTTTCTGTCTCAATAAGATTTCTGTGACTTGCTTTTTTGTCTGGGCATTGACAATCTGTTTTAGGATCTACAGTAATGTGTTTTGATTGGCGTAAAACAACCATGACTACCAACCGCAAAGAACAACAACAATAACAATAACAAATAACAAGATCGAGGTTGATTACCGCGCCTCTTTTTATACATAAATAAATAACTAAATAAACATCAATATTAATATTAATATTAATATTAATATTAATTTTAATGTACATAATGATTTCTTGGTCATGTTGACTAGAAATTGTGACTTGTGAGTTATTATATAATCCATGCATGTATGAATGATTTATTAGACAAGATACCCTTTTGGACCTATCAAATAGATTCATAATTGTTGAAGTAGTAGTAGTAAAAAGGTAGATTTCTTTAATAAGTTTCTTTTATTTTAATTCAATCTATATACACTATTGTACATATCATTAAATTATTCTTTTTTATATATATATAATGTGATTCTGTTTATTAGAATAATACCAGTAATTCTAGTCTTATGAAAATAATAGAAAAAAGGGAGAAATACGTGACATTTTGTAAATGACTATGGACACAATATTACACCTCCACTACCTCACTATACATTCTATATATATATATAAAGATTGAACGCGGATTGAGGCTATACTGCCCGAAACCTAACATATATCAGAGCCATGATTGGCAATTAGATCACCCATTTCTTTTTAGGAGAGATATTGTTATAGGATGTGAATTGTCAAGAATAATAAAATGAGACAATTTGAATGAGTGAATAAGAGAGAGCAAGAGAGAGAGAGAGAGAGATATGAGATCTATTTAAAAGACCGACATATAATACAAAAAAATAAAATAAAATAAAAAAATTAAGTAGCGTCGGTTTGTTTTTTATTTTATTTTATTTTTTGTATTATTTAAGCAATGGCCTCGGCTTAGCTATGAAAGACAGTCAAAACCAATTCAAGGATAATAAGAAATACAAAAGTGAACCCCATGTCAAAGAGACAATTGAAGCCAAGTCGAGGTTAAAGCAAACCAAAAACTAAATCAGATCAAATCAAATCAAGTCAGTCTTTTTTTAATTTTTTTTTTTTTGATTTTTTTTTTTTTTTTTTTGGTTATAAAAAGGGAGGCGTCAAATAACCTTGTGTTTTTTTTTTTAATTTTTATTTTTCTTATTTCTACTTTGAAAAAATAAAAATAAAAAATCCAATCTTTCTGAAATTTTAATTTTTATATCAAAAATATTTATTTAAAACAGAAAAGATAAAGAGATTACCTTATTCTTAAAATACAACAGAATGGCATACGAATTCAACAGCCGTAAGTATCAATTACATGAATCAAACAATGTATACAGATGAATTGAATTGAATTGAATTGAATTGAATTGATTTTAATGCAATGCACTCTTTATCTTTATTGTGCTGTGCTGTGCTGTGCTGTTGATTTCAATTGAATGAATGATGCATTTTATTGATATTCCATTCTTGTTTTCTGTAATAGTCTCCTATCCTACACAAACCACACACCAGCCAAAGAGACGCCATGAAGACGATGAAGATGAATCACAAGTAGAAGAGGTAAATCATATATCAATATATTTAGGATTGACATTTATCTTTATTTTATTTTTATTAACAAAAACATTAAATCAATCAACCAATCAATAGTATAACTCTAAACGATTCAATGATACTCGAGAGACTTCATTTGGTGACGAGCAGCCACGAGCAGCATCGCCTCTTCCCTCAATCACTTATGCATCTCCAGACTTTAGACCACCACCTCGCCAGGATGCCCTGTGGCTCCAACCAGTCCAGACAACTGACGACTCTGAGGATGACAATAACTCTACGGTCTACCAAGACGAAGACTGCGCAATGTATTAAAAAAAATATATAGAGATATTGTCTCTCTTTATTACACACACAAACAATTATTTACATGTATATATATTATATATATTTTATTTTATTCTATTCTATTCTATTCTATTCTGTTTCTTTCTTTCTACCTTGTTCATTATCATCATCATCATCAATAATAATAATAATAATAATAATAATAAAAACAATCTCTTTGTATTTTATTATTAAATGACTATGAATATAAAAATACACACGGCATGTGCGTACAGATTTTGTATAAAAATATGTTATGTACATGTGTAAATTCTTTATATATAGATTGTGTGTGTTTTGTGTTATTTTGAATCAAAATCAAAATCAAATTGAACCAAATTTGAATTTAGGTGGGGTATAAAATGGATTGAATTTGGGTCAAATCAGTGAAATTGGATGGATAAATGGATGGATGGGGAGGGATGATGATGCAAAATGATAAAAAAATATCATCTTGACTGGCTTTCAATCTCTTACATACTACATTTAAAATACATAATATAAATTAATAATTAATATTTTCAAATTAATATTTTATTTCTATTATTCTTATTCTTATTATTTGTTCATATTAATCCCATACATAACATATATACATATACATATACATATATATATATATACATATATATATATATATATGTGTGTGTGTTTATATATTTATATACATACTGCCACACTTTACTACACTATACCTTTTTATTATATATATATAATATAATATAATATAATATAATATATATCTCTCTATGTATATATAAAAGTATATAGACTTATCTACATACATACATACACACTCACTCACTCACTCACTCACTCACATACATAAATACATATACATACTTATATCTACTGTATATATCTATATACATATACAAACACAAAACTAAAACTAAAACTAAAAAAAAACAAAAAAAAAAAAACAAAAAAAAAGAATAAGCATCACCTATGTTTGGTTGTATTCTGCCGTTGATATTCTTACTATTGCCACTGCTGGCAACATGCAGTGAGAAACTTGTTCCATTCACAGACAACAACATCAAGTACTTTGGACGTTGGCGCATCACCACAACCGACATCCAAAGTGGCTGGCCCGGTGCCTACCTCAAGACGAATGTGAATGGTCCGACCATCAAACTGCGACTCAACCAGCCCACGACCGTCTATGTCCAGCTCGGTCAAGAGCCGATGCGTAAACTAGATGCTGTCTACAAAGACCAGCTTCCAATCGAGCTTGTGGTCGCAACTGATCTCAGCCAGGGTCCGCATCAGCTCATGGTAGTCTCGACTGCAAACACTTCAATCTGCCTTGAATCCCTTGTCCTGGCCGTCGCTGCCACCACTGCGCCTCCAAGACTGTCCTTTGATCTGGTCGAGTTTGTCGGCCACGACCTGACCCTGGGCACCTCGACCTCCCAGTCTCTGCTGACCAGCTTCCCTTGGCTGGTATCGACCATGATGGAAATCGAAAAGGTCCAGATCGCCTATCCGGGCGCATGGCTGCTCGACCACCCCCAGGCTCTAGGAATGGAGTCCCAGTACTTTCGCTGGACGCCCTCCCTAGACGAAACCGAACGAAACCAGTGGGACTTTTCGAGCTACCTGCCCTCTGCCGTCGTCATCCTACTCGGCCAGAACGACCCCGAAACAGACCTCTACAGCCACGGCCTCCAGGGGTTCCTGCTCCGGCTGCGCAAACACTATGCCCACTGCGCTATCCTCGTTCTATCCGAACCACGCGGTCACAGGGTCCGCCAATCCCAGGCTGCCGTACACGCCCTCAACGATGCCGGAGACCAAGACATCTATTACATCGACACAACAGACTGGGTACAAGACGGCTCTGATTTCCTAGACCCTGTAAGTAAATTTTTTTTTCATTATTTTATTTAAAACCCATAAATACCATTATCCATGTCAGTTTAGTCAAGTAAATCATAATAATATTATTATTATCTTTCTTTTGAGGAGGACAAAGGAGAGAGATAAATAGATAGATAGTTAAAGGAGGTGTGTGTGTGTATAAAGGCGGGGGGTTAATGAGTACAAGGAGTTGAATTAATCAATCAATCAATCAATCAAGATTAATTGTGTTGTGAGTTGGATAGTATATACATTTCAACTCTCATCTTCACTTTATTACTTCTTTATATGTTGAGAATATTATTATTAATGTTTTTTTTTTTTTTTTTTTTTAAAAAAAAAGGTTCATCTTAGTGACCAGGGCCATGAACGGTTTGCAAGGAGACTTAGCCCCTGGTTGCACACCAAACTCATCTGGCCTCGGCAACCCTTCCCAGACCCCTTCCCCAATCCAAATCTACCCCGCGACTGGCACACGATGGACGTCGGACAGGAGCAGTCGATCGGCCTGCCTGGCTCGGTCTCGTTTGACTCGGGCAACACCTTCACACTCTGGGGCTCAGGCACGGACATCAAAGACAACCAGGACGCCTTTAGGTATGTCTTCCAGGCTCTGTCGGGCGACGGGTCGATCCAGGCCACGATCGGCTCCCACTCGGCCTTTGCATCCTGCGCAAAGGCCGGCCTCATGATACGTGAACATCTGTCGCTTGGATCGCCTCACGTGATGCTTGGAATCTCACCCGCCGAAGGACTCTTTCTCCAGACACGTCACACAAACCTGTCGCCCAGCCACCTGGTCCGGAAGACGCGCGGCTCACCCCCATACCACTTCCGTGTCACACGTAAAGCGAATCTCATCCTGGCCCAGATCAGCCAGACCACGACAACCCAATGGGACACCTTTGCAAACCTTACCCTGCCGCTAGCCAGAGATGTCTATGTTGGCCTGGCAGTCACCAGCTGCGACCCATCGGTAGTGAGCGTGGCCAAGTTTGGTGATGTGGTCCTGCAAGGAGGAGTAGGCAGTGGAACCTATCGATCATCTTCAACAACAACAACAGCAACAATAACTGCTGCTGGCAAACTCACCGGTAATTTTGATAGCAAGTATAATTCTTATTATGGAAACAAGGCCATCATTCCATCCATAAACCCAACCAAACCAAAAGCAAAAGCAAAAGAAGACGAAGAGAAACCAATTGGTGGTGGTAACGATAATGATAATGCGGATACCAATGGCCGATTTATCTACCAGGTTTGAAAACATATATATATATATATAAGATTATTCAGTCAGTCAGTCAGTCAGTCAGTCAGTCAGTCAGTTAGGTTGGTTGGTCAATTGGTCGGTCCAATAGAATAACCCACATTCCGCCTGTTATCTCTCTCTCTCTCTCTATATATATATATTTCATACCCTTGTCTTTATCCTCGCTTCTTTCGGGCCGACATATATATTTTTTTTTCTCTCTCTCTATATCCCAATTCACATACCCCGATGTACTCCTTTTTTTTCAAACCTTTTCTCTCTCTGTGTTTGTGACTTTTTCTTTTTTCTATCTTTTCTTTTCTTGTGGATAGTGTACACTTTACTACACTTTACTTGACTACATTCATATAACATCTATATATATATATATATATATCATTCATTCATTCATTTCATTCATTTATTCACTTCATCAGCTAATATAATATATATAAAAGAAAAGAAGAAGAAAAAAACAAGGACACACATTATATATGTTACAATCTAAAATAAAAATAAAAATAAAAAAATATCATATAAATCGGTTTCATTATTATCCTTTTCATAACCTTTTTTTATTATTATTATTATTATTCACAGGACGGATAAATGAATTTTAATCAACGCAAACCAAGGAAACCAAAGAAACCCACCCATATTTCAGTTAATGTTGTTATTATTTGTTTGTTTTGAAGGTAAAAAAATAAATAAAAATAAAAATAAAAATAAAAAATTAAATACAAAAGAAGTGAATACAAAAAGGAAAAACTAAAAGCCAAACAATAGTAATAAAGAAAGATATATAAAATGGGAGGATATATATATATATATGAGAATGGGGGTGGTGGAGTAAATGAATGAATGATAAAAAAAAAAAAATACAAATAGAATACAAAAAAATAAAATTACATTACATTATAAAATCAAGAGGAAGAAGAAGAGGAATTCATGTTATGTGCCCATTGGACTAAACTAGAAGGATTTGAAAGAGATAGATTGTAGTTGAGGAAATGAAGAAACTCAAATTCCATTCTGAATACACCATATCCTCGATCTTTGACTGATGGGTTCTTGTCAAGTAAGGGTGGAAGGTTGTTTGAGTCTGAGGTCTGATGTTGTTGAGAGGTGATGATTGGAGATGATTCCCGAGAAGAAGAATATGACAGAGAAGGAGATGATGAAGGCGAAGAAACATTAGAATCTGAAGAGTTTGAAGAAGATATTGATATTGATGATATTGATGATTTGGTATGGGTCTGGATTTGTTGGGCTGGAGTGTTTGGAGAAGGAAAGTAGTGGTAGGCCGAGAGAGACTTTGGAGATGTTGGAGGCGAGATTGGTTGCAGGAGTGGGGAAGGTTGGGTGAGAGGTGGGAGGGTGATGCGTTCATCAGAAGACATTGCTGATGAAATAGAGCCTTCGGATGACCGACGAGAAGGCGAGATAGGGTTAAGGTTAGGCTCGGTTGGTGGAGGAGATGGGTTGGGGTTGGGATTGGTGTTGTGATTAGTGTCGACAATTAGACGTAGATTGGCGTGCAAGAACTTTGCGGCCATCATATAGGCCACCATTACCAAGCGTTGGCTACATCCCGAAGTGCCCTTGATATTGTTATATTTCTATAATACAATTAATTTAATTTGATTTGATTTGATTTGATTTGATTTACCTGTTTTAATCTTTCGATATAACCAATGGCTACCAACAAGGTGACGCTGGGACAGACAGTAGGAGTCGCAATAGAGTTGCGGCAAAACTTTACTAGGGCATCGTCAAGAGAACTAGCTTCTACGGCAGTCGAATCTAAAAGGTTGTTGATCACCTTTGTGAGTTGCTGGGTCTTGTCGTCCGTATTGGCTTCCCATGCATGAGTAACATAACCAGCAAGATGTTCTAATATAATAATAATAAATATTAATTTAATTTAATTTAATTTAATTTAATTTAATTTAATTTAATTTAATTTATTTATTTTTACCTATACAGCCAGGTGATAATCGTCGAAGGTTATTGAGTCTGATGGCTTGTAAGAGTAAATTGGCCTGAATGTAATTTGGACTATAGGCTGTTTGAGGTCTGACATTATTGTTTGACTGTTGTTGTTGTTGTCGTTGCTGGGTTGGTCGGTTATAAGGTGAATTGACACGAAAGGTGTCTATTCTGCTGCCTTTGATTTGATGGAGGTTGATTTTTGCTTTCATTTAATAGCAATAGCAATACTAATATTATTATTTTTTTAAATAGAAAAAGAGTAAAATAGTAATAAAAAGGTAAAACATAAAATTCAAATTCTTTATTTATATTTTCATCTTTAGATTTTTTTTTATTTATTATTTGCATGATTTGTATTTGTTCCCATTTTTTCTTTCTTTGCTGGTTCGGTTAATCGTATGATCCGATTTAATATTTTTTTTTTTCATTATAATTTAAACGTGGCGTGAGTGAATCGGAATAAAGTAAAATATAATTCTTGTTATTTTATATTCTCTCTCTCTGATTTTTTTTATTATTCATTTGATATGAGATATATTTCTATGTAAAACTAAAGCAGGCCAATAATAGAGGGGGGTCATATATATTTTTTTTTTTTTACTTTGGAGAACTATAGAGCAAAATCAAAAAAAAAAAAGGAATTATAGGGTGACTTTTTTTTTTTTTTTTTCACTAGTAAGAAAATAAAATAGTATAGAAAATGTACTTTTTGTTATGTTATATCGGACGATCAATTTTTTAAAAAAGGGAAAAATATTTTGAGCGGATAAAGTGAACCCTAAAACTTATAATTCATTTTTATACATATATTTGATAGATAGATAGATAGATAGATAGGGTAGATGGGCAGATCAGTCCACTATAGATTTTACTCCTACGCACACTCCCTATTTCCACTACCCACTTTATTTTATATCACTTGAACTTCTTTCTTTCTTTCTTGTAGTGGAATGACCCTAAGCTAGATATTGTAAACTGTACTGTAAATTGTGATTTGGATAGGATTAAACGGGTGAATACGGAACAAATCCCAATTATCAAATATCAAATACAGCCCCTTTTTCCTTTCTTACCTTACCTTACCCTGTGTCTTATTCTTTCTATATCTCCTTTGGCTAATGCACCTTTCTTATATTAAAATGCTCATATTCATTATCCGGATGGTCAAAGCGTCCATAACCTACCCTCGGTATTTACATGCCTTCATTAACAAACAAGTAATTGCTTAATTGCTTAATTGCTTAATTGCTTAATTATGTAATTTCGATTTGTGTATGTGTATGTGTTATCCAGAGTGACAGACAGACAGACAGACAGGATGACAGAGCACCAAATAAAAAAATAAAAAAAAAAAAGTAATTATATAATTAACAATTTTGATTTTTGGTTTTTGATTTGTCACCCCACAATTAATAAATAAATAAATAAATAAATTATCCATCATCCAATTCTATAAACCTTCTTTTTTTCTTTCTTATTTAGAATCAAGGGAAATGTCATTTATTTGTAATGAATAAATCTATACAAAATAAACCACATCCATTTCCATTTTCCACACCTATATTTTTATCTCATAAAATATATATATTTCTTTTTTAAACAAATATTTATCTATCCAACTCTTGCACTTGAAACCCCCCTCCTCCTCCTTTTTATTATCATCATTATTTTTTCAAGTCGAATGTTTTTTTCTCTCTCTCTCTCTTTGTATTTTACAGGTAACTTTAATAGTAAATCAAACAAAGAAAATAAATAATAATAAAAAAAAAAAGCGGATCTATCCGATGGAGCCGGTCCACCGTTGATTTCCGGTCCACCGTTGATATTTGATTTCTTTGTGAGACTAAATAAATAAATAAATAAATTTTATTTTAATACTTGACCCGTCATCTTACGATTACACAATTTTAACCTGTGTATCATTTCACTTTCCTCACACATTGCTATTTTACCTATTTATTGACTGTCCCTAGAGATTGACTCTAAATCACACTCACAACTATGATGATTATCGGTACATTGAAGCCGATATTTAAGATTACATTACCAATTGTCTGTATTTGCTATAAGTCTAGTGAATAATATAAGCTCTCTTTATTATTATCATTATCATTAACAAGGTTGTACAGCCTGGTCTTTTTCTTTCTATATTGTTATCATATTTTTACCCACAATTAATAAATAAAATAAAATAAAATAAAATAACATGGTAATATCATTGGCAATTCGGATGATCTTTTATTATATTTATATTTTTAAAAATAGGACAACAATAACCATAACCATAACCATAACCATAACAATAACAATAACACTATTGTAATAATTATATGATCTACACAATATATATATATCAATCTCTTCTGTCATCCCACTTGTTTCCATGGATTTCATTGATCTAGTTGGTTACCAATTGAACCGTGCTCTTCTATCTATAGAAGAGCACGGTTCAATTTGTATGCATTTCAGAACAATAATAAAACAAAATAAAAAAAAAGGCACAAGGTTATCTCGTGTTAACATCCACACACTTTATAAAGAAGAATCTATAGAGAACAAATTGGCGTGTGAATTCTGCACATCATCATCCCTCAATATTCACTGCTAAAATAATGATATAAGAAACAGCCAATATAATTAAGCACAATAAGATATCTTGTGATAACCAACTACTTTCTATGGCATTATATTAAAATCACAATCTAGATACGCACGAACACTCACACATTAAAAGTAAAGAAACCTTGCACCCTACAAACACTACAACCACAAGTAACCACCCCATATTTCACCACATTTCATCACGTCATACAACAACCACAAAGAAGGGCAAGAATATATATATATATATAGATAAAGAAAGGGTTAAACCCTTTCAGATCCTCTTTATTCATTACTGCATTAATAAATTCATATACACTACAGGAGTTTCCTACTTTTTTTCTTTAATTTATTTATTTAAAGTTTCTGTTTCAATCCACACACACACACAGAACAGAACAGCACACTTACAAGCCTCTAGATTACAAATAATAATCAAAAAAAAATTTAGGTCAAAGCTTGAATTAATATTAGTATCATCAGTCTCATGTTGGTGGTAAAAATTGATCCTCAAATAACAACCTTCTTCTTTTATAAATTATATAAAATGTCTAAATTTTGTCGATACTTTCTTTTCTTTCTCTTTTTTTTTTTGCCTTTCGGATAATATAAATTCCATTTGTCCTTACAAGTATCATTTTAAGTTCAAGTTAATACAGATACCTACAATATATATATATATATATTACTCACTTTAAAACCAATCAAACCAATCTAATCTATCTAATACATTTATTCCATCTCTTATAGATAACAATGATACAATTACAATCACAATTTTTTTTAAAAAAAATAAATTATTAAAGCTTGGATTTTGCAATGGCTGCGGCCTGCTTCATGGCCTGTCTGACTCCAAGATCCAACATGATTTCTTCAGATCCACCAGGAATAGCATAGGCTCTGACTTCTCTATAAAGACGTTCAACCTTTTCACCCTGACCACCTATTTTTTATATATTTTTTTTAAAAAATAAATAAATAAATGTCACATGAAAATCATACACATAAATTATGATTGATAATCTTTACCTCTGGTGTAGGCAAGTCCACCAAAGATCTGTGCAGCCTCACGAGCACAGAACTCGAATGTTTGTGTGGATTGTGCCTTGAGTAAAGCAATTGGACCAGCCAAAAGTTCGGGTTGTTCCTTGACTGGCAAGGTCTTGATCTGATAAAGAACACTCTCGAGCCATGCGTGGGTGGCCTCAACCTGGCGAATCATGTGGCCAAACTTGTTACGGATCACGGCATGTTCAACCAAGGTTTGGCCAAAAGTCTTTCTCTTTAGGGAATACTAAAAATAATAATAATTATTATATATATATATATATGAAAGAAAGTATATTTACCTTGAAGGCTTCTTCAATACAAACACGAGAAAATCTATTGGCTTGCATAACAATACCAATACGCTCATGGTTGAAGTTGTGCATAATGTACTTGAATCCATAGTTCAATTTACCAATAATGTTGGTCTTTGGTACCTTGACCTAAAAAATATATATATATATAAATATATTAATAAATCAACACAATAAAATAAAATAAATAAATAAAACTTACGTCTTCAAAAGTAATGTAAGAGGTTCCTGAACCCCACATACCCTGGGCATCCATTGCACGTGCTTCAACACCTGGCATTGTACGCTCGATCAACAACAAAGACACGCCAGCCATACCTGGGCCACCCGTGCGACAGGCAACAGTGTAATAGTCGGCATAGGCACCCTGTGTGATCCACTTCTTTTCACCATTGACCAAGAAATGGTCGCCCATGTCCTTTGCGGTCGTCTGAAGGTTGGCAACGTCAGATCCACCAGAAGGCTCAGTAATGGCCAGCGAAATAATCTTGTCTCCCGAAAGACAGCCTGGCACAACTCTTTCCTTCATTTCCTTGGATCCAAAGTTGATCACAGGAGGAAGACCTAAACATCGACATTGTTTTATATATATTGATTACATCAAATAATTATATTAACGATAGTGCTAATATGAACAAGAAAAAAAGAAGAAGAAAAAAAACTTACCGATACTAAGACCACCCATAAGAGCCCAAAGGAATCCACCAGATCCACAGCGGGCAACTTCATCAACACAGATAAACTCATGGAAGATGTCAAATTCTTCGGCTGAAACACCAGATGGCAGAGGATAAGGCATGAGTCCCTTGGCAGCAGGGTTTGTGGCCGCACCAGAACCAGCATTCAGGAGACCTAGTTCGGCAGCACGCTTGATAATAGATCGGGGAATGGACTTGGCTTCACTCCACTCGTGGCAGAAAGGAGTGACTTCCTTATCAACAAATGCACGAACGTCCTTTCTCAAACGAATGTGGGATTCATTATAAAAAGGGCTATTGTTGTTGTTATTAGTATTATTTGTTAGTCAAATAATAACAATAAAAATATTTATTAAACTTTGTTTTTGTTTACCTGTTCCAGTCTTGGTACCAGGTAGGATCACTGTAAGGAAGACCCTCCCCAAATTTAGCTTGTGGTGCAGACACAAGATTAGAAACAGTGGTAGCAGTAGCAACTGATCCCGATGATACAGATGCAGCAGGTTTGGCAACAGATGCAGGTACAGGTGCAACAGGGGTTGTGACAGGTGCTACTGCTTCACCAGTGCCAACAACACCAATCTGCATAGGAAGACCGACACGCTGCATAATCGCATCATTGTGGAAGGACTTGAATTGTTTTGAGGCGTCCTTGCCAGCCATCTTCAGCAGAACTTTCTTTCCTCCGGGATGCTCATTGAGAAACTTTGTGACATCGAACACCATTCCATTCACAATCACCCAACAGTCGGACGCACTGTTATGTTGGGCAACTTCTTCTGGACTAAAGCTTTTCATTCTTTTATTATTATTATTTTATTATTATTGTAAGTTTGTAGGTGTTGTATAGAAATAAGTAAAGGGGTTTTTTTTTTTTTTTTTTTTTTTAAAAAAATAAAATAAAAAAAGAACTGGTAAATAAGATTATATATACATATATATATATGTGTGTGTTTGTTATCTCGTAATTAAGATGAGTAAGTCTGTTTAAAAGCCAGAGTCACATTTTGATTGGATTTCCCCGCTTCTTTCAGAAACCCATAAATGGAAAACACATATATTCTTATATATATAAAAAAACAGATAAAGCAAGCGAGTGAGTAAGCAAGCAACAAAGACACACACATTAATGTACCTGTTGCATGTGAAAAATAAAAAAAAAGCAAAGATTTGCATGTACACATATTCAGTGCTTTCACCAAATGATGGAATCGGCCAATCAAAATCAATCTTCATATATATATATATTTTTCTTCAGAAATAAAATCCACTCGTCGTTTTACTTGGAAATCAGATACGTGATTCTTGTCACCCGAAAAAAAAAAACACATAAGAGTCCAAGTATTTCTTTCATTTCATTTTTTCAATACTTTACAACCTTAACAGGTCTACAGTGTTTCTATATGAATATGGGCACGGGAAGTTTTATTGATAGAAATGGTGGTCCTGAGCCCATAGACCACATTGTTGATCAGAATGAATTCATTGTTGAGAATATTGCTACTCATACAGTTACTTAAGAAATGGAGTCCCCTGTGAATCTTCTCTGACTTTAATATATATTTTTGTTTTTTATCAAAAAAAAAAGAAGAAAAAAAAAAGAATGACAATGTTCATATCAAAGAGTGTCTCGTTCTCTGAATCTGTCTAAAAATTCTCCTCTGACTGTGTTGTCGACCGAGGCGGTACTTTTGGCAAATGAGTCTGATGGTTAAATGTTGTTAATCTTAAGATAGATAGATATCCTGCAGAACAGAAAGATGAAAAGCTAACAAAGTCTCAATCGATATGTATTAAGAGAACAGATTGCTTACATGTATCTGTTAATATAACAAAGTATGTTTAATGAAGATCTTATTGACATAGGTATTTTCATGTCATAATTTTACGACTGCAGCTTTATTTATCTTTTTTTTTTGTTTTTTTTGGTAAACAACATAGTAGCAAGTCTAATCTTCTTGATCTTCAACTTTGCTTCCCCTGGCAGCAGCATCATTGCAGGTATCCTTGCAAACCTTTTTTTCTTTCTTTCTCATCTTTCTTAAGCTCAAATCTCTGCTCTATAGACTAGTTGCCTAAACTAGCCTCTTGCTTCAAACTCATCCTCCAGATTCATTACAGCTTTCACATTTGGCTAGGAGGTTAATTTTTGCGTGGATATACTGATGACATATCATAAGGACCAAACATTCTTTTGTTTAGGACGACAGCAGATTTTGTAGCCTCAGATCCGGTCTCACCACTAAATGAATTAATGAATAAATGAATGAATGAAAGAAGATCAATATTGGAGGTGAGACGCGCGGGATAGTAATGCCTTTACTCAACAAATTTGATATCAGTGTACGTGAAAATACGATCGAACAAGATAACCAAGCGACGATAATAGGTTGCTTCCGATCCATCGTTTAGGACGCAAACAATATATTGTGGTTTTTTCAGGACACGGCATTTTGTCCTTAAGGATTAAAGAAAGACACCAGCCCGGACATGTAGCTATAATTGATTAGTCCGGCCAGATAGAGGCGTCGTTCCCGTAAGATTACTATATATTTTTCGGGTACCAAGAACCACGACCTGATTTCCAAGTAAAACGACGAGTGGATTTTATTTCTGAAGAAAAAAAATATATATGTATGAAGATTGATTTTGATTGGCCGATTCCATCATTTGGTGAAAGCACTGAATGAATGAATGAATAAATAAATAAATTAAACTAAACAAGGTGACACAAGTCACACGTCTACCGAGCGAATCGGTTTTGCTGACGAAGACGATGAAACACAGGCTTCTGAAAATGAATTTTGATGATTATTGTAGTCTTGATGTTCTTCTTGGTGTTGATATTGATGATAGCTTCCCTTTCCTTTTTCGTCCTGATGTTGGTCTTCATCATGGTCTACCTCAAATACGATCTCTCTTTGGGTTGTAGGGCCGTTTCTATTGGCATGATAGGCACTTATGGCGTGAGCACTAGATGTCAGCACACGTCTCGCAATTCCACCCGCATCAAAGTAGACTAGTGTGTCTGCAATATCGGCTGCCGAGCCCATCGTTCGTTGAGCAACGTATCCGGCATCTTCGCCATATTTTCGATGGACAATATGAACAATGCCGTCCCTGGACGAGCCAATGACAGCACTTGCCGCGGTTGCCACTCCACCCAATACAGTCGCAGCTGCCCTGAGAGCAGATATCCCAAAGCTACGCCCAGCCTGAGCCACAGGGTCTCTTGACCTTTGTTGCTGTTCTGTGCTCTCACAAAGATTGCTGATCCCATTTACGGTTGCCGAGACTGCCTTGTCCATTAGACTAACACCAGCTACAACAAAAAAATAAAAATAAAAATAAAAAATATATATATATAGTAAACCAAAGTTTAATTAGATTTTACTTTACTTTATTTTATTTACTTGTTCGTACTTACTTTTACAGACCAAATTTGTAGTGTCGGCAATAGAATCAAGAACCTGTCGTTCTCCTTCTGATAATCGCACAGGGTTTTGAGAAGGCTCCACACGTTTTTCGATCATCTCACTTCCACTAATAAAATTACATACAAATTTATATAGAGCCTAATTTTAGCCTTTGAGATTAAACAACAGCAAAAACAAAGGACGTTGATGTTGCGTCAAACCACTGATGCTAGTAATAATAATAATAAAAAAAAAACATTACCTTTGGATACCCTTGGCTAATGTGTTGCCTGCAAATACGAGTGCACTTGCTAGCCACCCAGACCCAGTTACAATGGCACTACTTGATTGATGTAATAATTTCACCTTTTGAATTTTTGCAGGATCATGGTCTCCCTACAAAAGACAGACACAGACACAGACACGCACAAAGAGAGAGAGAGAGAGAGAGAGAGAGAAAATTAATAAATATATAATACTTTTAATAATAATAGTAATAGTAATAAATTTGCTTACCTGAATATCAAATCTATCTACTGTAACAGGTAACTTTTGGCCGATTTTTGCTTCTTCTGCTGCTACAGGATCTTCTAGAGTACCGGCATTCTGGTCATTAGCATCGAGATGTATATCGTTTGCTACCACTTGAGTGACTTGACATGAGACTGGGCTCATCATTGCCAATGTGTTGCGCATATTGTGTCTGTTTTCGTATTTGATAAAGTATGTGAGGACGTCTTGGAGGGCCGCAAATGCTGTAGGATCAGACTGTCTGCAGTCCAGCCGCCAGAGCCCGCCGCCCTGTTCACGAGGAAAGACAAGGATCCGATCTTCTTGGAGCCATGCTCTGGTGTTCGAAAGCAGGACGATTGTTGCGGTTTGGTGACTGTAGTTATCCCAGACTTGTAGGATTATTGCTTGTTGTGGTAGTGGCTGTGATGTGATGTAGGCCACAATTTGGCCCTCTGTAAATAGCGAAAGTTTGCCCTGTTCAAACACCTGGATAGATACTCCATTGACGGAACAGAGGTATGACAGGTTGTCTTGGGAAAGGTTGACTTGGGTTTCGGGGTTCATGTTTTGCTATGTTGAATTTTCTTGGTAGCTTTTGGTTTTCTAAGAAAATAATGGAGGTTTTTATATATATATATATATGTACGAAAGGGATGAAGAGATAGAGAGAGAGAGAGCAGTTTTTTTTTTAAAAAAAGAAAAATATTAATTTTTTCTTGGCAATTAAAAGAATAAAATTTATATCAACCATTTTTTTTTCCTAAAAAGAAAAAAAAAAAGAAATCTGGATCATGCAAATTGAAATACATATTAAAATCACGTGAGATTTCACCTACAAGTAAGCTTTATACAATAAAAAAAAACATTGAGGATACAAGCTCCTATTCATGAAAGAAATCTCCCCCTTCTATCCTTCTCTCTCTGCCTGGTCGCCTATCATACGAACATTAAATATTAAAGCGTGTAAAGTCTACTATTATAGACAACATCCGAAAACAATGGCAAAAGGCAAAGAGAGAGAAGCAGAAATAGAAGAAAAATAAGAAGAAGAAGAATAAGTCTCATTTGGATATATGATCTATTGCAAATTGAAACATAATTATTATACTACCATTGAGCAAGTATACTGTTGACACTGTCAAATATTAAACCCAAATATCTTATATATATATGCGTTTAAATGGAGGGTATTAAGGAGTACAGGTAAAGCATAATAGACCTTACATGTTCTTAAAACAATAGGCTAAAAGGGATTAAATATGTAAATGATTAAATAAGCAAGATGATGTATATATGTGTATGTTCATTGTGTTTATAATATAGAATTTTCTATCTATTTTTCTGTTTTATCAATGATATTTGAATACCCCCTTATTATCTTCCAATTTTTAATTTTTTTAGCTTTCCTTTTTATGCGGCTGGTGTTTATTGAGTTTTAAATACTCCTGATTATTGAACCCAGACCAATCATATTCTTATAAACATCAATAAGTAATAGGGGGTTTCAACAATCCTTTAAGCTTTTAAGCTTAAGCTTTGAGTTTTAAAGTAGTAACCAATGATACGTAATAGTTACTAAGTGTTTTTGAGTACCCTAAATGCTTCTCTCAATTATATTAGGCATTATGATAATAGAATTCAAGTTTAAAGTAGTATTGGAAGAGGCAAGAATATTTGCATCAAGGATTTATTAAATTTCCAAAAAATAATAACAATCAAATTTAAGCAAGGATGTATTAAAAGATTAAAACTCTCGAAACAAAATCGTTCAAGAGTTTTAATTTTTTTTTTATGGCTATAGATTCATTTCAGCCAACCATTTCTCAAATTTAAACTCAAAAGCTTAAGTTTAAAAGCTTGAATAACTGTTGAAATCCCCTAATAATAATATAAAATTTTTATATGTTATCGAAACCCCCCCTTTCATTTTTCTTGTTTTTTTTTTCTTTTCCTCGCCTTACCTTTCCAACACATTAGCTTCTCAAGTTATTTAGTATTTCAAGCTATTTTGGTATTACATGTACGTATAGATAGATATATATCTGTATGTACATTATTTAATAATATACTTTTTCTTTATTGTTGAATCATCATTTAATAGAACAAAACTACCTATTTTGGATTAACCCAAGACTTTTTACCTTTTAGCAAATTCCCACCAGTCTCAAAAATATATAGAAAATTGGTAATGAAGTCAACAGAACGAAAGCGTATTTCCAAGGCATCAATTGAGTCAAATAAAAAAAAAAATCCCAAAAAAAAAACGAATGGTATTTTTTTTTCTCGCATTTTTTTTTGGGGGGAAAATAAATTCAACAGATATAAAGAAATGTCAATATATGATCACCCAATTTATCTTCATAGTTACAGTCATATTCGTATTTTATATTTATTAATGATATACATATATATCTATATCCAATCAATTGATGACATACTCTTCAAGCTCAATTCTTTCTTTCTTTCTTTAAAAAAGAAATGGTAAAATACAGATATACAAATCTTTCAAAAATAATCAACATTTGGGTAAATCCCAATTTTGAGTACCTGCTTACAATTCATTTATTACCAAAAGTATTATGATCAATAGTAATAATTTGTTTGTTGTTTTAAGACTATAGGTGTATATAAATAAAAATAAAGACCACCTTTGATCCTGTTACAAATCTCCTCATTGTTATGGTATCATGTGTAAATACTTATATAAAGTAAAAATAAAAAATATACAAGATTTTCTTGGGGTAATTTTTTTTTACAAGATACATAATTGGTAGTATAAGAATCAAGTGAAATAGAAAATAAAGAAATAAAGATATAAAAATATAATGACCAGCAAAAACAGCAGTAACAACATACACATACTTTATATACATTCACACACTACACTCATTATACACGCCCACATTATATATATGTAATGTGTGTATGATTTTAGATATGAGATAGTACAAGTATGTGAGTATGTGAGTATGTGAATGTATATATGTGTAAATATACGTGGAATAATCTAGGGTTCAAGTTTACATTGACATATGCAATTACTCACTGGACATGTAGAGTGTTTTTGGAACCAGTCTTCCATATGTACCGCATGTCCTCCGTGCCGACAGGTCTGACACCATGTGAACCAGAGATCAAATCCAGCCGGATCAACTACACACCGTTTGTAACACACACACACACATACACGTACATATACATATACATATATACATTTATTGGGAAACATCAAAATTCCCCTCTCTAGTCACTTTACAAGAATATCTTACCTTTGTGAACATCATTTGCTGCAATCGCTTGGCGTAAAGAATCAATAGGAGTGCCCATATGGAGCAGGCACAAAGCACATCGAGGGAGTAATTTACGGCAACTGGGGCATACTGTAGACTATAAGCACACACAAATACAAATACATAAAAGCAATATATATATATATATATATGTATATTAGTTGGAATATACACCCATATATATATATATATAACAGTTAAAAGGGACCAATTAACATTCTTTAGGTACCTTTTGTTTTCCAGAAATACGTCCACCAGACGCAGGAGATACATTTGTCTGAACATTCATACGTTTTCCTTCCCGGTTCCGGACATTCTGGATTAGTAGACTGTGCCCCAACGACTGGGCACAGAATGTACAGCGGACATATATTTGAGGAGGCGCAATCTCACTTGAATTCATGTACTTTCCACGTTCAATATCAAACCTTGCGCGGGGGTGCCACAACTGCCATCGATCCAGCAATGTTCGGTAACTATCAAAAAGTAACATCTCCTCAATTAATATACATTATATATATATAATATTATCTCATACCTTTCCACCCAATCTTCAACTCTCTTGTCTTTAAACCTACGAGGGACCACAAAACTCATCACAAGACTTGCAGTCTGAACATCACCATAATGATCCAAAGCTTGTTCAAGTAGATCCACACCTCGGCTCGTAAGTCCGGTAACAACCACACCTTCCACATCACCATCTTGAACTAACTGCTCGACACTACGATTCAAATACAAAGTCATCTACAATATATAGAAGCAATTAGTAATAATAGTAAAAAAAGAAACATTAGGCATATTAATCATTTTGTATATATATATGTGTGTGTGCGTGTGTGAGCGTTGGATATTCTATCAATTTATCCTTTTTTTCTAATTTTTATTATTTATTTACCTGGTCATCATTTAATACTCTCAGGGCAATTGCCATACGCTCTCGAAGTGGTAACCCAGGATCATCAAGCACTTTGAACCAGTCGTTTGAAGCAATGTATGCAAAGATGGCTCGCAAGTAAGGGCGATCTAGCATGTCTCTGCTCAAAGATTCGCACAGTTCTCGCCATGTAGGGTTAATATTGGAAGCATTGGGTTGATATCCAGCCAAGACAGCAGAAATAAGTTTACGTTGCTGGTCTGTTTCTTATATATATATATATATAAAATACATACATAAACATAATCTTGTTAGGCTTTCTCTTTCTCTAATATAGAGGACCATCTTTGTTTCCTTACCATCTCTTTCAAGGCCTCTTTCACTTCGTAGAGCACGGATAGCTCTTTCAGGAATACCATGGAAAAGTGCCCACCCAGCTGCCTTGTCATATTCACCACGAGATTCAAGTCTATTGCAAAATACGAAAAAATATTAGCTTTTTTCTTAAAAAAATAATAATTCAAGAAAAAAACACAGACATACACACACATACTCTCTCTCTCTCTCTCTCTCTTTTCTCACCTCACCAACTGGCTTTCTAATTCAGCCGGATTGAACCCAAACCCACACACTTTTAAAGCAAGTCTTCTTTGAGCAAGTTTTGCTGTAGAAACCATTCCAAGGTCATTCTCATCTGGAACTGCCCCCGAATTAGCCTGGGTATCATTTTCGGGTGCCATTCCCCGATTTTGTTTTTGTGGAGGTTGGCGAGCTTGCATTTGTGAATTTCCTAGTCGAGGAGTTGATGCCGGAGACGCCTTGCGTCCCTGAGAGCCTAAGAAATACATACATACATACATAAATAAACTAAAATGACTAAATAAATGAGGTAAAACTAACCTGGTCCCATCCAAATTCCATAAACACCTTGGAAGCTATAATCGATATTTCCAATCTGTGCTGTACCCTTGGACATTCTCTCAGCCCCTAAAAGAACAGAAGAAGAAAAACAGTGAGCGAAATAGTATTTTGGCTATGAATTACTACTTACTATCGAGCCAGGTCCAGAGTTCATGTAGAGTGTCGTCAGTCTTTATGATCTCACTGTTCTTTGCGCACTATTATATATATATATATATATATATAAGCCATGTAAATTATCTTTACACACAATATAATGTAATATAAATGGAAATTAGAACATTTGAGTAACACTCTTCTTACATCCATGGAATAACCCAAGCCAACTCTTTTTCTCATCACTACAGAAATGTCCTTGGAAAGAACCTTTCTCATGTGCAATTCTTCTCCTATAGCCTGTTCCATCATTGGTCCTGATCTCATGTGCATTCGTTCACTATTTACCAAATAAGATAAAATAAAGTGTCAACCAATTGTTATTATATATATATATAAAGCTTACTTGTGAAGTTCACCAAAACCATGTAATCTTAATTTTGACATTTGTTGCGTTGTCTCTTCTACAGACGGTAAAGTTGCATCGTACGCTAACAAATCGTTTCCTTTGGATATCATCATCCCACCAGTTGGTTTCCATGTCATCTCAGCTGCCTCTTGTAAACGAATTGTCTCAAGGTGACCTTCTCTGTTCATGGCCAAAATTCTTTGAGATGTAGAGGATGGCATTCCAGGAACACTTGGAGGAATAAAAGTAAATGATGAAAGAGGTCTGGAAGATGTATTTGCTACAAAGTTATATATATATATATTAAAAAAAACAGTGTTTATTTGATCTACACACACACACACACACATATATATATATATATATATATATATTAAACTTACTTCTTCGACTTTTCCACAATACAGGTGTACTGATGGTGTCGTCTTTTTGAGAAACAAGACTTCGGATACCACGTGGAGTCTGGCTGCCTAATCTACTTGACCGAGATGCAGACATTCCAGAAGCATCAAATGCAGTCTGGATTGGACTGGAGCGAACATCCGAAGAGATCACAGATTGGAGGGAGCTTGTTTCTTGAATGTCCCAAAGCTGAACAGTGCTAGAGTCTTTGGATAGTATGGCAAGGGATCCCTGTCGCGAAGGAGAGAACTGAAGACGTGAGATTGTATTCTTGACTCCATTTTCCGGATTAAAAGTCAAGACGTAAAAAATATGATAATAGTAGAGAGTGAAGGAAATAATAATAATAAATAAATGGTATTAGTAGTGATAGTATTATCACCAAGTGTTGTATGTTAACATATGTGCTTATATATATAGACACAGATATAAAAGGATATAGAGTCGGTGGTCTTTCTTATGTCCCAAATCTTGACAACTCCTTCTTCAGTATGGGAAGCAATACGATAAGGATTAAAAGGATCCACGATAGTCCCGTGTACCGCTTTTGTGGAAAATTGCAAGGGATTTGCGCCCGAGTCCACTAGAAACCCAAAGAATATATATTTATACGTTTTTCAAATAACTTTATTATGAATGATCTGTTGCATGTATATGTGAAAAACTGCTGCTTTTCTTTTCTTTTTTTTTTTACCTCTAATATCATATACTCGAAGGTACCTGGAACCCATTCCAGCAATTAAGAGTGGTGAGTGAGAATGCACAGACCATGTACATGAAACAGTATTTTCTGCAGGACCGTATTGTTGAATGGGCGTTTGTTCTCGATTACTTTTTTTTTATTGGTTTTGGTTTCAAGAGGTTGTAAAATGGCGTTAATGAATACTGATAATGAATACAGATGTACCTATCTATGAATTGTGTGTGTACCTTGTTGATCCTTTAATCGGTATGCCTTGATCTGGGTTGACAGTTGCTGTAATTTTTGACTTGTCTGAACAAAAAAAAGGATACCATAATCATTAATTACAATCTTATATATATATATATATATATATCTAAAAGATAAAATAAAAAAGGCATATATACTACATATGCGCATATGTATATACACATAATCTAACCAAATATTGAATCCTGAATAATAGAATCACTATTTCGATTGTGAGAAAGTTCTGGTCTCCAGCTCGATGTTGTCGCACTACGAATATCTACAGGGCGTTGTCGCGGAAAGTATTGTGCAGTAGGTGTCTGGGTACCGGTGGGTGTGCTACTGTAGCTGTCCATAGCTTGGGATGCATCCCAGACAAGCAGACAGGGAAAGTTTCGTGCCTTTTCAAGTCCGGTTGCCAGCAAATTTGGATGCGATTTAGAAAACGATACGACATTGCATGGTCTGGACATCTTTGCACTCAATGTAGGATACTCTTGGGCACTTTGGTGGTTGTTATTGTTTGTAATCGGTCTAAATGCATTTGTTGGCGTGTGTGCACCCTCAGAGGCAGGATAGGTTTCTGGATGGACATTGTCTTGCATGCTAACCAACACAGTTTTTCCGGTGGTTAAGCCAACAGCGATCATGTCTGGACAGTTGGGATCAGGAGACCAATCTGCACACTAAAGACATGCTGGTTGGTTAGCTAGATCTCTTTCTCTCTCTTTCTCTCTTTTTTTTTGAGGTTTTAATAAATAAATAAATAAAAAAATGAGTTCGAGATAGTTGAACATATACCATCATAAGAGTCTCACTAGGGACACTGGAGATAAAGTGTGTCTTTGCAGGTTGATCATCCGTCTATAAATAAGGTACATAAAGAAATGAGTATAAGGGAATGACAAAAACAACACCAAAAAAGGGGGAGCTTGTTTACCTCTGGTATCCATTCATACAGCTTTAGTTCGGCACCACCAACCAAGAATTGGTTGCGATCAGGGTGTGGTGACCATGTGATGAATTTTGGAGTTGCCATTAGCACAGCAAAAGAAATACGGTTCGTTTTGGCTTCATTCTAAAAAAGAAAGAGTCCAGTCACGGAGAAAGAAAGAGATCAAACCCCTCTCTTTCTCTCTCTTTCTCGTTCTCTTTATTCTTGCAACTAACAATTTGCTTATCATTATGATTATCATATTTTATTTTGATATAGGTTTACCAATAGAAGTCCACTATAATTTTACCTTACATTTTATATGCATATATATATATATATGTGTGTATTGGGGATTACATTCTGTGTTATCTATAGATAACCACTAGAAAATCCTATTAGACCAGAAAACAAAATAAAATTAAAATTAAGCGAGTGTGGGGTGTTCTGATAATAATTGATGTATTGAGTCAAAAGAGCTGTTGATATATATATATTTAAAGAGAAATATAAAGGGTTCTACTATATCTATTAATGATAAAAAAATTGCATAGAATAATAATAAAAGCAAATAATTCTTCACTTTAGATATCTTACTCTGTAGCTGTCTTTTTTTTTATTAATACTCGAAACAAAAATCAATTAAAAATATAGCCCACACATTGTAAACATCGACCTGTGAGGTCTAGTTTAATAAACTAATGAAGTTTTGTGGCTATTAAAGCTAATTACAGTCAATCGGGACAGCTACCACTACCACTACTACTACTACTAATGAAAATGATAGTTAATTTATACCTAATTGAATCTCTTGCACATTGCTTTTGCTTCAAGTCAAAATGACAGAATAAAATGAATAATGTCAAGTGCAAAAAAAAGAAGAAAAATATATCTATATAGTTCACTTAATGAATTGTACATTATTCAATGTCGGCATAAAACTGACTTTATTTTTAAAAAAATGCATACACACATATATATATATATATTAAGAGAGAGAGGGAGAGAGAAATAGTTTCATAGAGCGCTCAGGGGATATGGGTTCATAACTGACAGCTATAGTCTTGTGGGGGTCTTTATAATTGACCATATCAATCTGTTATTTTGGGGTTAATCCATAACTTGATTTGCCCAAGAATTAAATTTTAGATATCAAATATATGACCTTTACTTTATAGAAATACTGGAGTTAGCTGGTACAAATGGTATTGTTTTTAAGAAAAACTAAATACCGAAAAGTAAAATGTAGGAGCACCATACTGGCTAAGAGAGAGAGAGAGAGAGAGAGAGAGAGAGCCAATGAGACCTATTAAATCTAATTCATTCATGCTACTATTGCAAAATCTTATGTGATCAAACTTGATAAAAGTGAATACAGGCAAAGCTCACATGCATGTTTTGGAATGACAGTGGAAACCCAATTGATCGCGCTTCATAATGCTTATCATAGTTGAAAGGAGAGATTGGAGAACTGAGAATTTAAAACCAAATATATATATATAATTATTATCAAATGAATTATATTGCAAAATGTATTAGCTGTGTACTGACTGTATTTCCTCTTTCTCTTTGGTTCTGTAATCAAGTACAAAAAAGAAAAATAACAATAGTAGAAAAAGAATTCATCGAAGAATGAGCCACACAAATTGATTTTTTTTCTCTTGGTAAAAAGGTACAATAGTACGGATCAGATACAAGAAAATAAAGAAAGAGAGACAAGGTTTCTCAAAAAGTAGGTTACGGTAAGACATGTAAGATATTATTTTTGTATATATATAGAAATGTATTCAGAAAGTAATATATTTGTGTTATCTTTGTATACGTTATTCGGCTGTGTCTCATGAATACAAGGCCGCGTAGCATTTAGAACCAGTCGATTTCAATGGTATTACGCATATGCTAATAATCCCAATCAATTATTCATCACTACACAAATGTATATATGCACTTGTTATTTGATCTTATTTCTTAGTAAAGCTAGTATATAGACACTTGATTGTCTTACGAGTTGGTTTATTCTATCCAGTATTTACAATCACTCGCTTGTAAACTGGTATTCTTCTTATACTATTATCCAAAGAGTCTATCCACAGTAACCATCCATTATTGACATTAGCATCATTTATTGTAATTTTACATCGCCATTTAAATATATATTCACAGACAGAATACAATTCGATTTCAGATTTTTTGAAAGGTGCACAGTGTGGTATATCAAATTGCTATTAACTAGCAAAATAAAAGTAATCAGTATCTTCACCATATATATATGGGTGTGTGTAAGTCAAGATAAAAAAGTATCGATTCATAGCTGAAATAGATAATAAGGGTTAGAGCTTAGCGTTCAAGACTAGCGTTAAAAAAGCAATCTCATATATATATATATGTATGTATGTATTTGAAACTAATAGTTTTATTTATTGAAACAAATTAGATGTATAAAAAAAAAGTAATTGGTGGAGTGATGACTTTTTTTATTTTTATATATAGACATTTTAGTCGGCGTAATAAAAGTACTTGGCTGTAAATATAAATTTAGTTAATCTGAGATAGAATTGTTTCTTGCTTTAAAAAAAGAAAAAAAAAGAAAAGCCATTAATGATGTGTGTGGATGGTAAAATAAAAGTAATAAAAATGAACTTTTAAGATTTCCGTTTTTGCACGCTCGTATATATATATATATAATAGATATATGCATATTCATATTCATGTTCATGTTCATATTCATATACGCATATACTTCTTCTATCCTCTCTATTCTCACTATACCTACTTTTTGTGGTACATTGAACTTGCTAGGATAACACAAATAAATAAATAAAAAATACAATAGAAAAAGAAGAGAGACAGATAGATAAAAGTAATTATCATTATTTGTGAGATTTTTATTTTTGTTACATTTATTTTTTCAGGTACACGTAGAACTCTAATAAATATATAAATATATCAGACTGAAGATAAATAATAAAACAAGGCATATTTAGTCAAAGAAGTAGAAAAAATATAAGAAGAGAAAGAGGGAGTAGGAGAAGATTGATCCCAATTAAAAGCCACCCTATTTTATATATATATACATATTATATTTAGTTAATGAGTATAGTGTATTTTATATATAATATAAATAATTTTTTTTTTAAAAAAAAGGGGAAATAAAAATTTAGTAATGTTATTTTTAATAGATTTCCTATACGCTTTTGACAAAAGACACAAGAAATAGAACAAAAGAATAAAGTCCCGGGATCTATTTTATAAAAAGAAAGTCTTTTGCTCACAAGAAAAATATATATATATATATAAAAGTAGAAGTCGAATTTAAAGAGGAGATAATTCTGTATCCAAAAAGGATAATTCTATTAATTTAATAGATAGATAAATATAAAGCTTGAAAGAACAAGGTACTTGGGGTATTACACAGTGATCTAAAGTGTTTTATAACATAAAGCAGCACATCGTCGCATAGCAAAATAATTATATAAAATAGAGTATACTCTAATGTAATGTAATATCATAAAGCAAGTAAGGAAGAAGTCTAAGGGATAAATATTGTAATAGTAAAGAATAATAATGAAAAATTGACTGTCACACACCAATCCTATACCATAGATACATACACTACTGCTTCGTTTCCTATACTGAATATGGAGCTGCACTATAGATCTTGGGATCTCTTGAAGTATTTATATATATATATGGAGGAGATATAAAGACATAGAGATAGACAAGTAAATATAAAAAGAGAGAAAGAGAGATAGTTGACTTGTAATTCACCAACTCAAAATTACTATAGACACACACACACACACACACACACATACGCACACGGTCCGAATAACCTTTGCGACACACACATATATTACTTCTTGTACTTCTTTCAGTCTTTTTCTTTTTTTTTTTTATATTGCGGATCATCCATCTTGGGTCAAAATCCCACCTAATTAAGTAAAGGAAAAAAAAAAGGGATCTAATATTCTACTTTTTTATTTTTGTTCTTCTTTGCCTCATTTTACTTCCTCTTCTTCTTCCTTTATTTTTCTTTACTTCTTTATACATATATTTATCCTGATTACCTATGCAATAGCAATGTCAACCGGATTGGCATTTCGTACCTTCACTATCCGTTGGGTTGTTCTGCTAGGTCTTGCATCTCTTTCTGTTAATGCCCTCACAGTCACCCACCCTTTTGCAAACACAAATATTGTCGCAGGCGAAGATACTCTGGTATCCTGGAGCGATGTGAATGCAGGAACAACCAGCGTCAATATCTACCTCAGCAAAGCCTCGGGTACATCCACCACTCTCATTTCCTCCACCCTTGCCACAAATGTCAACGCCACCAAGGGTTCGTCTACCGTAAAAGTCCCGACAAGTGTAGCATCAGGTTCATACTATATATTTGTCAGAAGCGCCAATGATATCACGGTTGGAGACACAGTTGGACCCATTACTCTCGCATCTTCTGTGGTCGTTGCACCTACACCCACACCCACAGCTTCAAAAGCCTCATCTGCCGTCGTCGTCACACCCACCAAAAGTCTCACAGCTTCTGGCGTCCTACCTTCCCTACAATCATCTGCCCCTATATCAGTATCATCAGCATCACCATTATCGAGCGCTGCGCCCAGCTCAGCCTCCAGTAGACCAGTATCATCTTTGATTTCTGCAGCCTCCGCCAGTTCTCGGGCTTCATCGGCGACAAGAACGTCTGCACAACCTACCTCATCCAGTACAGGCTCGCCTGCTGTAACTGGAGGAGGAGGAGGTCTCAGCTCTGGTCAGATTGGAGGAATTGCTGGTGGTGCCGCTGGTGGAGTTATTGTGGTATGGATCTATTTTTACTCTTTTTAATTTTTTTTTCTATTTCTTGAAACATTGCCTATAAACTCGAATGGTACCCTCTTATATATATATATATATATATATATATAACAACGTCTTTAATCTAATTTAATTTAATAATTTTTTTCTTAAAAAAAATACTAAAAATACTAATAACATTATCATTTATTACTATTTTTGAAACAAAATAATGCTATAGATCCTTGGCGCCATACTTTTGGTGAGACGATCAAAGAGGAAAAATGAGCCTGAACGAAATATCCAAAGAGCCTCCAACCTATTTAAAGATCCAAGCGGACACCACGGAACCGGAGGATTCGATGAAACTGATAATATCAAAGACGCACAACACCTCCATCATCAAAGCCAAATCCAAAACCAGAGCGGTGGTTACACAGATTACCGCCAGCCTCAATATCCGGCCTACGCAGAACCTAACAACAACTATGCCGACTATGGATACGGTGGAGACAATGGTGGCGGTTACTATCCTCCATCTGTACCGATCGGAAGGTTTGAAAACAGTGGATACCATCGGCAGAGTAATGTCGTGAGCCCTAGTCCTGGTCCCGGCCAGAACCAAGGCCAGAACCGAGGAATTCCATACTCTCCTCCAATGCAGACAATGCCAGCACCCATGCAAGAGTATAGTTCGAGTAGATACCAGTATACACCTCAACTGCAGTTCCAACCACAGTGGCAAGAACAGCAGAATTATTACGACTATCCAAACGACCCTACAGGAGGAATGAACGAAATGCCACCATCTCATAACCAACAAGGATTCTATTACCCTCAATACGACCAATACGACCCATACCTACAGCAGCAGCAACAACAACAGCCACCACTTCCACAGCATTCTGTAGTAAACCAACCAATGGCTATGCCAGGTTATGCACCTCAGCAACAACAATATCCTATTGATTCTAGATCTCCTGAACCTATTATTGTCTCCCAATCTCCTCCCCCACCCGGAGCCAATAGTAATATATCTGATGCAAGGCAGTCAAGGATGTCTTCTGATCAGAGAAATTCTTTTGACCAGAGAAATTCTTCTGAGCAGAGAACATCTATGCCCGAAGATCAAAGACGTGTAATGTCGCCAACACGAGCAGCACAGGACAGTTCTAAATTAGTTGTGTAAATATTAATCACACAAATCTCTCCTCCTTCTTATTACTATTATTCTTATTACTTCTTTTTCCTTCCTTTATCTTCCTTCCTCTTCTTCTTATAATATCTGTACTTATAAGTATATTTGCTGATTGTGTACAAAAAGAAAACAAAGCAAAATCAAGAGTAATATATATATATATAACATATACATTTATATAAAAAAATTGTATACATTTAATTTTGTTTTGTCTGCGTCTATCTTGTCTGTTTATATTTTGTATTTTTGCTTATATAAAGCACAATCATAATAATTATATTAATAATACTTTAATAACATATTTTCATTTTCGATTTTGTTTTGTTTCAATTATTTATACTCTTGTTTCGAGTGTTTTTACCATGACAGACATGATATCTCGATCAATATCAGTAAGGTCAATTTCAGGATGATCCATCTTGGCTGTCAACAAATTATTCTAAACGAGTAGAATAAATACATACAATTACATGCATTGAATTAATTATCATTTATCAGTGTTTTGGTTTAATATGCATATAAATGATCTATTCTATTGTACGTTTTATAGTTTAAACACTTTGGCTACCTTGCTTCTTCTTTTTTTTTTAAAGAAAAAAAAAACCAACAACTTACCAATTCATTTCTTAAGAATTTGATCAAAACTGCAGATCTGGCAAAGCATTTGAAGTAAATCCAATTATCCAACACAACCTGTCTTAATTTATGCTACAAAAAGAAATAGTGAATAAATGTACCTAAGCCAAAAATTCTCTTCCAACACCTCATCCCTTTTCTTCCTCCATTTTAGTTTATTTTATTTTGTTTTGTTTCTTACCTTGATCTCCATACGTGTGGCAAATAACATAATGGCTACCGAGTCCACCGAAGAAGCTTCCCACAAATAAACTTTATCGTTGCTCATGACAATCGTATTATAAACCAGGAATTCCGATTTGAGCTGCTTTTCGCGGCCAAACAGAGTTGAGGACGGATGTGTGTGCATTCCAAGCTTATCGGTCATAAATAGCCCCGTGTCGCGTGCACGGGCCGCTACTTTAGGGTACAAGCCTGCCACGATGGCTGCATTTACGACAGGAATCGAATCCGCATAGGTATTGTAGGCTGCCGGAATCTGGCATAGTTTGAAAGACTTCTTCAAGTCAAAATCCGACCCGGTGCTTTCGTCAAGAGGGTTGCTTGAGGTCTTTTTTGGGTCCACAAAGCCGATGCTGATCAATAGGCCAAGGTACTGTCTCTTCATGTCTTCGATCATCTCCAGGTTCTGCTGGCTAAGGAAGTGAGTGCTGCAGAACTCACGCATCTGGCGAATCCAACCAGGTTTTCCTTGAACCTGCAGTAGTTTTGCACGCCAAGCCTTGTACGCCATATAAATTGTCCAAAAGTCAGAATCAGCTACATGATTATTATTCATTATTATTAGTAATCATTGTGACAATAAGAGAGAAAAAAAGGTAATGCATATATACAGATATATAGTTTACCATGTTGGAAGCGCATCCGGGCAGTATCTGCTTCACTTTCCTTTCCAAAAGGACGCACAAACGGACTCTTGAAACTCAGGGAGGCCGCAATTGTAAGCACTGGATCCAAGCACTGGAAAATGGCACCAAATAGAATCATCTTTCCAACATGCACGTCAACAGGTAGATTTGAAAGATGAACGCCCAAAGGCGTCAGTGTTTCTACACCATCCACAGATAATGCTTGAACCTAGGAAATTACATATATATATATATATGTGTGTGTGTGTGTGTGTGTGTATGTGTGTAAGGAAGGGGAAGAAAGTATGGTATTAGATTGGAGGTGTTAGTGTGTGTGTGTGTATTAATATAAGCAAAACAGAAAGAAAGAATTACATCTTGCAGGGTTTGAACAGCGTTATCGATCATAGTCTTTGAAGGTGCATCAAGTGCCGAATCAAGCACATCACGAATAGAACCAAGCCCGCACACCTTGATTCTCAAACAGAGTTCTTCTAAAGGTAGCCTAAGGATCTCAGGGGTTTCATAATTTGCCATCTAAAATAAAACGATTAAATCGAATCAAATCAAATCAAATTGAACACAAAGATTGTATCATATGGTGTAAGATTAGATATATAGCATCATTAGTATACATAAGCACATAAATAATGTGTAATGCCAAAAAGGAATAAAAATAAACAATCTTACAAGCTCATATCTGTGCTGAGAAAACATGTGGAAACATATGCCTTCTTGAACACGACCTGCTCTTCCGCGTCTTTGGCGTGCATTTGCTTTGGCCACAAAGGTCTGTCGCAATCTGGTGATCTTTTTCTTTTCATCATAGCTAGACAAATCAAAATACCACAAGTATATATGTAAGCAAGTCGATTAAAGAATAATAGAAATACAGTAAATTTACAGCGACAGTTAATATAATGTGATGTAATGTAATGTAATGCAGCATAATATAAAAGGATTGTTGGGGGAGGTAAGAATAATACTAACTAGAGGTGGGATCAGAAGGTTATATATTTTTCTTTTCTTTTCTTGCCTTACTACTTTGGCCATGCCAGTGTCTACTACTACGGTTACATCACTGATGGTCACACCTGTTTCGGCAATATTTGTTGAGAGAACGATCTTTCGGATGCCATCAGGAGGGATGTCAAATGCACGCTCTTGGTGTTCCGAAGACAGGGCAGAGTGCAAGGCAATCAGCAAGAATTTCTGGGGATCTCCCAGCTGACTGTGACTTGAGACCAGATCGTACACCTTGCGGATTTCGGGCATACCGGGAAGGAAGACAAGAATTGCACCTGTACTAGGCACCTCGCTGTTACTATTCGCGTGAGATTCGATACAGATGTATTCTAGTAGCTCAACCATAATGTCATAGTTGATCTTGCTTTCGTCCATTCTACGCATCATCTTTGCTGTCTGTTTAGAGTATTTGATTTTTGGTTGTCCGAGTCTATCGCCCTCTGCTCCTGCTCCTTCATTTTCGGTTTCGGTTCCGTCTTCGATTTCGTTTGGATTCGAGATTACATTAAGCTTGGACTCGACGCGAGTAGGATCATATGGATCATCATCGTCTGAATCCTCGTACCATTCGATACGTACACGCTGAGAGTTTCCATGTTTTCCTGACACGGCTACACTTCCCTGATCTTTTATAATAGCAATACAATACAATGCAATAAAAGAAAAGAAAAGAAAAAAAGATGTTGTGTGTAAATTAGAGTGTGTGAATTAGAGTGTGATTTACTTGAAAAAAAAAGCAAATCTTTACCTTGTCGTACTCTTGTGCTTCGAAGAGCATAATGTGAATCTGCTTCCAATACATAACCTGAAACAAACAAACAAATAAGAATGGTCATGAGAATATGTGTTTTAGTACAACTTGTATTTTGTACCTTTTATATTTTGTATCTTACCTGTGGATTCAATTACATCTTCAAGATATCTTACATGAACAGGGAATGTTCTTCCTGGGACAGACACAACCGGACAATGACCAAAATAAGAAGAAAAACGATTGGCTTCAACAGTGGCACTCATCAGAATAACTCTAACAAAAAAAAGCGATCAATATACATAATAAGTAATTGAATATATATGTATTTACCTAAGGTCAGGGCGAGCGTGGCACAAACGGCGTAAGATGATTAGCAAGAAATCACTTTCGATGGTCCGCTCGTGTACTTCATCAACAATCACATGCGTAACGCCTTCAAGGTTCTTGTCACTTTCCAATCGACGTAATAAAATACCCTATTAAAAAGTAATACATAAATATATTATACAATTGATTCATTAATAAATTAATTACTTATTTGTATTAAGATAAAAAACAGAAACAGAAAATACAGCTATTCATTTATATATCTTTCCCTACCGTGGTGCAGAATACAAGCACGTTTTCAGGTGAGACTTTACTCTCCAAACGAATCTGGTAACCAACCATGGCTTCAGGAGTACCTGTTGCTCTTGGTCGATCACCCATTTCTACAGAAACACGGTGTGCGATGGACATTGCCGAAATTCTACGGGGCTAATAATATTACATTTTAAGATATATATATATATATATGTGTGTGTATGTATGTGAGTATGTAAGTATTTGTTTAGATCGATCAATTGAAATCAAATCAAATAAAATCAAATAAAGTAATCATAGTAATAATAGTAGCAGTAATAATGTCAATCTTCTTCTTTTCTGTTGCTATTACCTGTGTACAAACTACGGATCCAAAGCGTGTAAAGTCTTGAAGTAAACTTTCGGCAAGGAATTGAGGTACCTGAGTACTCTTGCCACTAAAGGAAGTAAAATTATGATAAGAAAGTAGTTTTGTGAAAAAAATATTTAATGCATTTATTTGCTATAGTAATCATTACACACCATCCAGTTTCACCTGAAATGATAATAACCTGGTTGTCTTGTACCAACTGAAGGATGTCTTCTCTATATGCAGCAATAGGCAATTCACTTCGTTTTCTCTAATAAACAGCAATATCAGTAACAGTATTATTAATATTAAAAAAAACAAAGAACCTTACTTTCATGTTGGCGTAGGCATTGGTCTTTAGGCGCTTCTCAAAAGAATGCTGGACTTTGCTAAATACACGACGTTTGGGAGAGGTATCTTTTGGGGTATAATTATCAGAGATGCTCTTGTCGATCTTTTCTTCACTCCCGACTGGCCCCTTTAGAATTATTTGATATTTATATTGAATTGGATGAGTAAAGAAGACACTAATACAGCTATTACTATTATTGTTGCTATGGCTATATCCAAGCTGGAATTTGTTTTTTTTTACTTACATTGGAAATAATATCCTTGTTATTTTGAGATTGATCCAAGAGATTTGTAAGAAAATCTAATCGTTTCTTGGCTGCTTCCAACTTTGGTTTCTCTTCTTCTAATCTCTAGATCAAGTTTGTTCGTTTGTTTGTTTTTTTTTTGGTTATCACATTTGATATCATTTAAGGATATCTATCTATATAATTATTGCTAATAAGCCAAAAAGGTCATTTGTACCTTTTCTTCTTTCCAGACTAACCATCTGTCCTTATAAGGAAGTGGCATTACTTGGAAAATAGAAGCTTCAGGGTCCAATTTGAATAACGCAGCAGTCTAAAGATATATAAAGCATAAAGTTCAACAAGTCAACAAAATTTTGTAATCAAAGAGATTTCAATTTATATATATAAAGCACTGGATAGTTAAACTTACGGCTACTAATTGCTCGGCTTCTTGCTTGTTAGATGCACCGAGTCCTGGTGGGAGTTCGAATTTTGTGGTCTCTCCAGATGATTTCTTTGGTGAGATGGTTACCGTTGAGCGCCAGAGACCTGCGCCTTCTGTTTTAGAAGAGTACGATTGTTTTCCGAAAGAGAGTTTTTTCTCATAGTCATGGAGTAGATCCTTTGGCATCTTTCCTTTCCATTTTGGACAACTTAGATCTAAGATTTCCCATTTGACAGAGGTTGTTACGGCTGATGGACCAGGACTGGCGTTTTCCATGTTTTCCATGTCTTCCATCATTCCACCAAACATAGTATCATCATCATAATCGTCATCATTGTCATTATGGTCGTCATTAATATTTTTACTATTGTCATCCTTCAAGGATGTTTCTTTATCCAAGTCTTTTGTGGATTCAGGAACACTGGTTGGTTCGACTGTAGGTTCGTTTGGTTTGTGTGCTTTTTTCATATGATCGATAAACAATTCGTTTGCCTTTTGCTTGTCGAATTCCCAATCGGTTTCAAGGTGTTTGAGAGACTGTTGGATATTTGAGATCTTTCGTTTGATGTTCTGGATTTCGTACTCGGACAGCTCTTGTTGCTGTTCGTCCGAGGACCTTTTGTTGTTGCCTTTTTTCTTTTTTGATTTCTTGTCAGGGATTTGTTTTTCAAGACTGGATAGCTCGACCATCAATGTGGCGTATTTCTCATTGATCGATTGTTCCTCTTCCTAAATAAAGATTTATGTGTAAATATGAGCAAAATTTGCAAGTAGATGTATTGGTAGCAATCTCTATATCTAGTTTTTATTGTGTGTACTTTCCCATGCTTTTTGTGCTGCTTCTAATATACGTGCTCTGTAGTCATTGTCAAGGGCTGCCTTTGGGTTTTGCTTCGGTTTTGTAACATGTTCTGGGTTGGATTCAACCTGACGTATTGATTCGGTCGATTCGGTTGATTTGGTTGAATCGGATGACTTTTTTTTTTGTATATATATATATTTATAGACCCATACACACACACAGAGAGAGAGAAAAAGATATATGTGATTTATTTAGGTTACAAGATAAGAATAGACTAATAGTGTTGTTATGGTGTTTGTTGTCTTTTATTATTGTTATTACTGTTTGAATTGTGTACCTCTTTTGTCTTTCGATAGCCAACAGAAATGGCAGTATCTTGTTCATTAAAGTACTTGTCAAAGAATCCGAGTGGCATACGTTCATAAGGTACATTGACACACAACTACAGCATAGTATATCATAATATGATATTGTATGATGATTGTTGGTCATTATTATTAAGAATATTCAGTCAAATTAAAACCGATAATATATTATCTTTATAGATAATTTGTTTCTAATATTTCACAACTCATCTTTATGCGCACAAACATACAGAAAATTATGTGTGTGATTTGATTGTAATATGTATTATTGAGTTTGATGCTGTAATGTATATAAAATTTACCCAATCCAGATGCTCTTCAATGGTCAATGCGAAAGTTGCTTCAAATGATCGTTCAATGTCAGTCACATCAAAGCTCAGCTTTTGTAGGACACGATACAAGACATCCAATTGTCCAATCATTTTTGCATCGTTCGGATGAGATCCGCAACGACCAAATGTAGCTATCAAAATTGACAAATCTGATTAATAATCCAAGAGCTTATGCATACATACAAACGAATATATCCTTAATTATATATATATATATATATATATATATGTTGATGGTGGTGGTAGTATTGCATAATAATAATAATAATAATAATAAAAAGAAACCTTTGTCGCGTTGACTTGTCTTTAATAATTCATGTTCAATGGTTGCTGGGATTCCGAAACCAAAGTTCTGTTCGAATGGTTCTTGATCTGCAACTGAGATGCGATCGAGGATTCTGAGTGCCTTTCGTTCGTTGAGATTAGAATCGATCAGTTGGTTTGTTGGATCGTGATGAGGCTGAGGATCTAATGATTCTGGTGGTTCTGTTTTTGGTGGTTCTTCTCGTTTTTGCTGTTCTGGTTCAGGTTCTGGTTCTGGTTGATTGACATTCTTTTCTGGAATTGTCTTTTTGGAAGGTGCTGACACTGTAGCGAACCCTCTGTTGGAGACTATTTTTTTACTCTTTTTTGCCATTCTAGTAATAACAATAGTATTATTATTATTTCTAAAAAAAAATTCAATTCAAATATATAATATAATTCAATAGATTCGATGCAATTCAATTTAATGATAATAAAATTGTTTAAATTATTACAGCCAATTTAGCATTATTTTTATTGGCTGTTGTGATATTGAAACGTCACTCTTTTTCTCTTTTTCTCTCTGTCTTTTATTTTATTTTCTGTAGTGTAAATCTATTCATTTCTCCACATAATTTATATATATCTGATTGATTGATTGATGAGTATTTTAGCCTTATGCAATTTAGGCCTAACTTGTATATAGTGTGTACGTAAGGTGTGTGCGTGTTTATGAATATAAATATGTACATAAAGTGTATGATGTGTGTTGATATTCGATTATGATTGGTTTATTGAAAAAAAAAAGCATGTACATAATATAAATATATAAACATATATAAAAAAGGGGAAAAAGATATATTGGATGAGGCTTTATTGGTTTATGTAAATCGAGTCATGATTTGTACTTTTTTTACTCATCCCCTTATTTCTCTAATTGTTATAATTCACACTAAGAAAAAAAAAAGAAAAAGATAAATCTATAACTTTGGGGGGAGGGGGGGATATTTTTATTTATATTGTAAATCTTTTATACTGTACATCAAAAATAAAATAAAAAATAAAAATCTTTATAGGATTTCGCATGTGTTCCCTTTTTATGACGTCCAAAGATTAAAATAAGATGCCAAACAAGAGACTAAATTTTTTATTTTTTTGTATAAAATTTTGATCCGGAATATAAACTTTTTCTTTTGTTTTTTTTTTTTATATAAATTGTAATTTATTTTTTTGCTTCTTTTCCTTTCTTTCTCTCTTTTATCTTTATCTTATATTTCTATATTATACATAGCTACATTTTATAAATATATTCTTTTTTTAATCAATTCATTAATACAATTTTAACCATGGTTTCTAATAATGTCGGCAAAGGTCCTATCTACGTCACTGGTGCTGATGGCCAGAAAGGAAGTGCAATTGTCAACCAACTGCTGGAACTTCCCAAGAAGTACAAACATATTGTCAACTACCCAATCTATGCCGCCGTACCGACCAGTAGCACAGCCCACGCACAATCCCTGGAAAAGAATGGTGCAACCGTGATTGCGGTCAATCTATTGGACCATCAGGCTACCGTCAGAGCACTCCAAGGCGTGGCCAAATTGTGTCTTGTTGTGGACCCACTCAGCACTCGATTGACTCGCGACAATATCTTTGACTATGCCAAGAGATACATCGACTGTGCCATCGAGGCAAATGTCAACCACATCGTCTTTCTCTCTCCATTCTCGCCTCTTCTAGTATCTCCCCCAACATCTCCTCAGCCCCAGACCACTATTCAAGACGATCCCACAAACCTATTCCGGACCCAATTTGGAATGATCGAAACCTACCTGCGTTCTCGCTTCACCAATGGCCGTGGTATCACCGTCCTCTATTATCCAGGCCTACTCCACCAACATCTGGTCGTCTTTGGAAACTACATCCGCAAACACAACGCATTCCCTCTGCCCAGCACCCTGTTGGAGAACACTGTCGAATCCTCAAATCTTCTGGACATCGCACGTGCCACGGCCACCGTTCTCTACTCCCCAACCTCTCGGTTTGCCAACAACGACTACAGAATCACAGGCCCCCAACTGCTCACTCTGCAGGAAGTCAGTGCCCGTGTGCTCAGCGGTCTCAAAAAGGACCACACGATTGACGGCATGGATGTCCAGAATCTGACCAATGTCCTACGTGAGAGTGTAGGCAACGACGAACATGTCCAGTTTCTGATGGAGATGTGGGGTCTGCAGCGCAAATTGGGCGGACGTCGGTTTGAAGTCACCCGTGATCTTGAAGCCTTGACGGGACAGAGTGGAAAGACTCTCAACGAATTCTTTGAGGATCAACACGTCATTGATTCCTTTATGGCACCTACCCAACCATTCCTCCTTGCTGCCCAAAACATCTAAAAAAAGAAAAAGTAGTTATACTTTAAACATCCCTTTTATTCATTCATTCATTCATTCATTCTCTCTTTTATATATATATATATATTATATAATGTACATAAACATAACATATTAAATAAACAACTTTGCAAATTTCAATAAATAAATAAATCAATTTTATTTGACTATATATACATATACAAATGATTCAAATTATAATAATGATCGATTAACATGTACGTGTCCGAGTATTGACCAATGATTGGATCCCCCTTTTTTGTAGATAACCTTTTTAACTTTTATTATTTTATTTTATTTATATTATTCAAGAAATTCCCAGAAGTTTCAGTGTTTGTTGGACGGTAAAATACGGGAATAATTTTTATTTTATTTTTTTGATAAAAAAAAAGTTCAATTTTTTTGTTCAGTAACACATTAAATAGAAATTCTGGTTGACAGACTTTGTTGAGAACCAATAATATTCTTGGCTTTTTTTTATTTTTATTATATATTTCTATAGTGATAACATATGTCTATATTAGAAAGAGAAACGAAATGGTACAACATGATGAAATAAATTCAACTGATACAAGTAAATTATTTTGTACATTCATAAAGGTATACAAACATGTGTACATAACTTATAGTTCAATTTTCTTGTTGAATTTCTTAAAAGTTGTAAAAAAAGAAAAAGAAAAAGAAAGCTATATTGACTGATAACAAAAAAAAACAACTGTCACTAGTACATTTGTACACAAGCACAAGCACAAGCACAAGCACAAGCACAAGCACAAGCACAAGCACAACTAACCCCATACATATCTGCATACATTCCTGCATGAATATACACATTCAAGAAAAATTATTCTAGAAGCTGTCATTATTACTATTTCTATTCTATAGCAAAAATTGACTTGACAATCTAAAAAAAAAAACAGAGGAGAAGAAGAGGGTTGAAAGGAGGGAAGAGTATAGGGGGGATAACCCTTTATGTAAATATATGTTTTGTCTAAAAGATCATTTAGAAGAAGAAAATGCAAATAGCATCATCTACCACATCAATCATTCTTTATTTTATATTTTATTTACAAAGCATTCAGCCACCTCCTTTTCTGTCTCATTACACCCTATTGAACCCCAAATAGAAATTTATTATTATCATTAAATACAAACCGTTGCCTTGACAACATTTAGTTATTTAAACTATTAGCTCTCTGTCTCTATGGTAAACATGTATTGTGACGGCCATTGAATACTCTTCCTTAACATTTAGTACAAATGCTAGAGATAATACATATGTGTGTACCAGCCAATGTATATTTAATTACCACAATAATTATAAACCTAACTTTTATATATACATATAGTTCTTTTAATTACACCTGCCACTTGATTGCCTACCAAAGAAAGAAAAGGAAGAAAAAAAAGGGAAACCTGATAACATTAGTAGTATAAAAAAATGCTAAAAAGACATAAAGGAACAGTAAAAGAAGGAAAGAAACGTCATATATATAGTTTAAAAAGATCATTTCAACCTTAACATACATAGCAGATGTAACTCCAAGGCTTGTTATTTAAAATCACCATCATTGTTATGTTTAATTTATTGGTTATAATGGCTTACTATCTTGCTTTTGGTTTTCATATTCATTTTTTGTTTAATTCACTTGAAATACATCTTTAAGCAGAAACTTGTTTGGCTAAATTACCACTCTCGATCAACTATTAGAAACCGTACTTATTTTGATATCTAATTAATATTAATATATATTTTGTAGTCAATAAAAAAAAAGAATGCATATTACTGAAATATTATAATTGGACATACAAAGCTAAAGGGTGTTTCTATTTTTATTATTATCGATTTGGTTGCATGCTTGTGCTTATTTATTTATTTAGTTATTAAAATAGATAAATAACAATATTAAAGCATAAACATAGAAGCAGCAGAAGCAGAAGAATCAGCAGAATCAGCACCAGTTATCAGCAGCAACAACAACAACAGCAACAGCAACAGCAATAGTAAAATACATACAGAGATACATAGATATGAAAAAAAAACTACGTCATCGGAGTTAAATGTAAAATGATGCCTCGGCTGTGTAACCCTCAAAGATGCGATCGCTGATTCACGTGACGTCTAGATCCTATTTGTTTCAATTTTTTATATATACAAGTAAGATGTATGTATAAATATATGAAATTTAAAAATTGTGCTTGTTAGATCTGAGTGGATAGGTATGAGCTACTTTAGCAGCTTAACTTTGTTGGTTTAAATGCACCTGTTAATAAGAGTCAGTTAAATGCCCTTATTCCCTTACCTGACTCTATCTATTATATACATATACATATATTATATATATCTTTTATCTTTTCTTTTCTTTTATAGTTGTGTATATACTTGATGTTTTATATTTTTAAAAAATAATATACAACTACACCTATAGACAGATAGACAGATAGAAAGGTATATAAGAAAGAACAACTCTTCATCTCTAGTAATCTCTGACGCGCAAAATTCTGCCGACTCTGTTACATTTGCAGAATAAGACAAAAAAAAACAAGTCTTCTGACATTAGACCCCATTGCTGATTACTACAAAACCACAATTGCTTTTCTTTACTTTGAACCCTTTTGTTTATATATTTATTTTATTTTATTTGTTTCTTATATCTTTCACTTTCTCTTGCTTTCTTTTGTTCCATTGCTTCATTACTTTGTTGTCATTCAACTACACCTTTCTCTTTTTTTTTATACATATCGATCTTGATTACCTCTTGTGCAATTAGATGATCGAACCTCTTGTACTTTATGGCCAAGCAGCCAACTTGTTTGAGGGTGGAAGTATAAAGGTAATATCCTATACATATAAATGTTCAAGGCAATTAATTCATTTTAAAATAATACTAATAATAATAATAATGTAGGAAGCATATTCTGCATTCTTGTCCGTTATCGAAACATCTACTCAAACACTACACTGCGTCAAATTTACTCCTCATAGTGTGTGATCATTCATTCAATAGACTTCACGTCTTTTAATTATAATACTAACAAACATTCTTGTAGTGCCAGTATCTAAACCAAGTGGATATATACAGTCCCTATCATTGATTCGGTCAAGCTTGGCCAGAATTGAAGAAATCACTCTAGGTCGACCTATCTCTCTACCTAGATCTCCTCAATCGTCCATATTCTCCACATCTGAATCAATGTCAGACGATCTGTCCCCAACGGACTCTGAACGACTTCCTCCAGCAGTTCCACCAAAGCCAATCGACATGCAGCACAAACCCTCAATTCCACCAAAACCAATAACAATCCTCGGCATATCAACCTCTACCTCAACCGTAGCCTCGGTATCAACCGCAACATCCACAGCATCTCCCCCACTCTCTCCAACCACAAGACCTGTCTCATCCTTGTCTTCCGGTCGCAGTCGAACACGAGGAAACTCCGTCAGTTTTGCTGCACCCGGTTGGATTTCTGGTCAAAAGGATCACGACACTCCACCATTACCTCCACCACGACGACCTCAACCAATAAACAACTCTAACTCTAACTCTAATCCTAATCCTAATCATAATCCTAATTCTGAATCGACGTTACTCTTGTCAGATATGGAAATCATCCGAACTGCATTATTAGATGTCCATCGAAACAATCGTCTAAACGCACCAAATCTAGACATCCTCACAGACTCGGTCGTCGATCCAACAATCCTCGTACCAGCCCGCACAGACTCTGGAGACAGCATGGCCCTACCATCTACAGAATCTCCTCTAGAATCGGTTCCCAGAATACCAGCCCTGCCTCTCTTAATCACCCACACGATTCTCCAACTCCAAATAGACCACTCAACCATCTCAGACAACCACCCAAACAACACTCAAGACATGATTACAAAAGTACGTAATCTTTACATGAGTGCAGCAACTATTCCCGATCTTATGCAGTTCAATCCCCACATGGTGGCTTACCAACTCACCCTCATCGATTCCGCCATCTTCCGTGCCATTCCCCAAACCGCCCTACTGTCTCATTCTCCAAAGTCACCCCATCCATGCATAGTTGCCTCCACAGATTTCTTTAATTACTTTACCCGCGCAATCGAACACTCGATTCTCTTACCACAAGAGGCCTCTAGGCGCGCAGAGCTGGTCAACCGCTGGATCAAGATCGCATCCTACTGTCTCAAACTCTTGAACTTCCAGACCCTCAAGGCAATCGTGTCTGCCCTTCACTCGCCGCCCGTCAGCAGGCTGCGACGCACCTGGGAGTGCATTCCAAAGAAAAGAATGCAAAGGCTGGACTTTCTGCACCAGCTCATGTCAGAAGCCAATAATTACGAAGCCTACAGACAGCGCCACATGAACCTCAACCAACACCAGTACCAACACCAAGCTCATGCTCAGGCTAATTGCAATAACAATTGTAACATTAGCAACAGAAAACCAGTTGTTCCATTTCTGGGTATCTTTCTGCATGACATTACGTACCTATTGGCTGCAACAAAAGGCGCAACCCAGGACCCTCGGATCCAAAGCCTGTTGGCTATCTTTCAGGACTTTCTGGCCTTGCCCGCCTACTCACAACGTCCGCCACCAGCTTACGTCAAGACCAGCAAGAAATATTCTTTCCGGCCCGGATCATTTACAAACGCATTCTATAACCGCTCACATTCATCATCATCAACAACAACCACAACAGCAGCATCATTAGCATCAACAGCATCAACAGCACTATCATTTAACAAAAACCAACACAACGATACCAACAACAACAATAACAACAACATTAATAACAGTAGTAACTGGGGATTTGTGGATGATGATCTAGGAAAAGAACAACAGGTGATTACACAGTACATCTTGATGCGGTCTTGGGTGACCCAGCCGATTATAGACGAACTCAGTCAATTACGCGAACCACCAAAGAATCCACGCCCAATGCAACATCAGCAAAACTCTTCTTACTCAAGTCATCATAGATCCAGCAGCCAATCGAGTGCATCGAATGGTATTCTTGGAGCTGGCCACTCTTTGTTTTCCTTGAACAGCAACCACAGCAATAACAACAACAATAATGGTAACATCCCTGTCAGGCTCACACCAACCACCAGCACACAGTCGGCAGATGATGATTGCGGCCGCAAGAGTAGTGGATATGGGTTCTGGCCATTCCATCGCAAGAGTAGTGATCTTCGTCACAACGAGACCTCTGCTGAAATGTGGAGTGAGGACGATGAGTTTGATGATGATGAATTGGAAGACGAGCAAACTGATCTCGTCAAAGTACAGTCAAGTATTAGTATGAGCCAGTCTATCAAACGAATGTCAGGACATTCACGTAGTTTCTCTCTTCCTTCTGTAAGAACCAATATTCTGCCAAAATAGAAATATATATGTATCTATATCTATATGGATATACCGTATAGACATACATATTTATATACATGTACATGTACACACCAACACCAACACCAACACCTCGTATATATACACACACACTCATACTCTCTCGCACTTTCACGCAAAAATAAATAAATAAATAAATAATCAACACAATACAATTATCTACATCTTTAGCAATGGGCAACAACATATTGTTCTATCTATACATATCTAATTTTTTAAAGTAAAATATTCTGGTAGTATCTTTCGAAGCACACCTACAGATAAAGATAATCAAGATTAATAACTTCTTTTCTTTGATTTCCTTTCGTTGTAGCTCTCTATCTCTTTATATATCTCTAAATTCACTATAGCAACAACAATAATATATATATATAAAGTTCAATTTACCGTCAAGAATGAAACTCGTTAATCCCCATATTTCTGTCTCTGACTCGATGGGTTGCGGTAAATGAAATACGGTATACTTGTGCGAAGTATCTCTAAACTGTCTCAATTCTCGAACAGAAGGCCGCAAGAGATATTCAAGGGGAAGACAGAATGCTTTTGCGACTTCCTCGGGATTATAATCCAAAAGGGCCGCATTGACGGGTTTTCGAACATAGCCCACAAAGGGGTGCACGCGTAGTGAACCCGACTGATTGGGAAGGCAGGAGAATTGTCCGAGGATATCAATGTCATGAGGACTGATTCCAATTTCCTCCATCGTCTCACGTAATGCTGTCTCTTGAACCGATGCATCAACAGGATCTAATCGATTGTAAATCATTTATATAATGTAAGATTAGCCTTTCTTCCTTCCTTCTTTGGCTTTTGTTTGGGAGTAAAGAAAAAACAAAAAGTAAATCATCTCTAGTATAGTTTTCTGACTTGCCTTGTTTACCACCTGGAAAACTAACATTATGTTGATTATTAGTACAAAAAAGAAAGAAAAGAAACAGTTGAATTTAACTTTATCATCATCACATGTATTACCTTACTTCTCCTTTGTGTGTTCTCATTTCTAGGTTGCGTACTGTAAAGAGAACACTGGGTTGGTTGTGCTCATTGTGACAAAGTGGGACCAAGACAGCAGCATTCTTGGCATCTGGTTTATACTTTAGACGATATGTAGGACAGTTGAGTAACCGACGACTGAATAAAGAGAGGGTCTGTGTATTTAAGGCAAAAGGTGTACGCGACATTGATTTTATGTATATAATATATATATATATATAAATGTATATAAATGTATATTTATGGATATTTATGGATATGTGGATATAATAGCTATATAGATAATATGTTTATGACTACTGTTGTTATTACAGTGAGAACGGTAATTTTTGTCACTTTGAGAAAATTAAATGTCCATAATCAAATAAATAAATAAATAATTAAATATCACTCCCAAAAATAATTGTCCCCAAAAAACAAATACATTTGTCCCAATAGGTTAAAGGTGCTCTTCACGACCTCAGACCTTACACAAAGATACATGATATATATATATATATATATAGTAATTATGTAACATAAAATTTCCAAAATGATAAGAAATCTTGTACGTCTGTTATATTTGTATGTGGAAAGGTGGAACGATAAGTACTTTGAGACTCTTTTTTATTGTGTTTATTAAAAGTTCAAGTCAAATCGAATTGTCTTAATAAAAGTTATTTTATCTATGATATTTATATTTATTGAGATATATCCAGTCACCCTGGATATGAGTCATCGTAACGGCTTTGCGATAATAGTTTAAGTACTTCTTGAAGATGATCCAATGATGGATCTGACACATTGCTCTTATGTTTCAGATAGGACTTCATATTGGATAATCATTTATAACGACCTCTTTGACAGGTACTTCTGTCTGGGTTCGTATATGATATCGGATATTAAAGTATCCCAAATACAACAACGTCTCAAAGGTGAAAATACACCTTCAACAGAAAGTAAGATGAGAAATAACGTCCCATATACACCATATTAAACAGCCATATTTACATAGCTACTTTCCATAAAAATAATAGTTATGTTAATATGTTATTCTATTCCTTTACTTCCACTTTATTGCCTTTTACAGTACAAATATATATATAATGAGCTATAGAACTGGTTGGATTCCTTCAATCGTGCAAGCTGGTAATGATATGATCCCACCAATTGCAGTTGTTGTCATTTGGATATCGACCATTAACTCGAACTTCCGTTAAAATTGACGGGTAATCCCAAGAGAAAAAAAAACATTGTAGATCCATATTAACATGTCAACTTTTTGAAAGTGCATATTGGGTCTATAAGTGAATAAATAATCGTTTGCAAAATGATAAATGTTCTTTTAAAGGAATTTGTTTGCTCTTCTGAGTCACTTGTCAATTGGGGAATTGAAGGGCAAGCGTTAGACAGGGATTGTGAAAATTTTTCTTCAACTCCTCTTTTTCCAAAAACAGTGTCAATAAGGTGGTTGGAGTTCATTGTTGCTTTGTTTTGTTTTAATCAAAATATTGGAAAATAAAGCAATAAATAATACAAAAGAATGCACACATCATGATGGGATTTTAGAGATCAAGTACTCCAGAGTATCTTGAGTAACATACAGCTCCAGAATTGTTTTGTGTAAGGTCTGAGGTCGTGAAGAGCACCTCTAAAACAAATTGTTTTAATTTAAGACGAATATTCGTAACACTTCCGTTGTATTGCCTTGAGTGTTTCCTGTAGTCCCTAGGATGACAGTGGTTGTAGTGATATCACACTTTACAAAGAGTTTATCTGAAGCAGAGTTGTATGAACCAAATGCCATGTCCACGGAAGAAGCTTTCATCAAAAAGACGAAGTATTGTTGTGGTTGATTCCTTTCCAGGCGATTTCCTTACATATCCGATAATTTTACACCCCTTGCTTATGAGATCGTGTAATCTGGCTTGATATGTTGCGCTAACATTTAGGGCTTATCTAGCCATTGATTCTATAGTAAAAAAGAGAGAGAGAGAGAGAAAAAAAACATTAAAATCAAAGGTATGGAAGTATCAATTTTATTGATTAGTATAATATACCTCGATGTATGCTTTTTAGAACCCAAAGGGAGCGGTATATTATCTTGGTTTTGGAGACATCGTTTTCTTTTTTTTTTGGAATTTTGCAGGTTTGATCAACAAGCGTTAAACCTGACTTGGCTGCGCTGTACCATGTGGAAAATGATCTCGATCTTTTCTCGTCAGATAGATCAATAATCACAGCAGATTCTGAGTAAATCTGCTTCATTGACATTTGCTTTTGTTCGTAAATGCCAATGTCCACCGGCTGGTGTGATCTATATACTTTGTTCAGGTATTGAATGTTATCTCTGGTTATCTAGTAAAGTCGTTAAACTAATGCATAACAAAGCACTCTTCTTTATCACTTACCTGGAATAATTTGTTCTTGAAGATTTGTTGATTTTTTGGGAAATCATATTTGTATCGATGGTAGTAGGATAGAAAACCATTTACTTTTAGCTTAGGTTGGAGCATGGGCTTACTGGGGTCATCTGTATAGCAAATCTCCAACCCGTTAAGTTTTTCAAAGTTTTCATTTGTAAATTCTTAGTTAAAAGACAGTGCATATAGTGTGTTTTTGTGTTATTGATATTTAAAAAGAAAAGGCTGACCCAGGTTGGTCCACATAAAAATATATGACTGGCTGTAATTTGGCATACCAGTGACTTGAAGGTTGAGGTTAGTTTTATGTTGTTAAGCCTAAGCATACCAATTCTTTTTTTTTTTGGAGGGAAGCAAAGTACCTTGATAATATAGTAAATTCAAAAACCGGGCCAGCAAATGTAAAATTTGTACTCCGCAACTTATATCTTCTTGAGTTCTTATTCTTTCGCGATAGTTTTAATACACTCTAGGACATCTGTTAAAGAGCTACAACATACTATGCTAGTATAGATATATATATAGTATTAATAAAAAGTTATATGAAAAAAGTGGAAATTTTCAGTGGCCCGGTTTTTTAGGTAAAGGTATCTTTTTTTATTTTTCATTAATAAGATACCCTTTCTTCAAAATGCATTTATGCACTCTGCTTTGCATGGATTCAATTAGATTCTTGCACATCTCCTCTGGGATACTATCCCACTCATTCTGGAAACGGGACCACAATTCCCTCATTGAGCTGGCTGGCTCTTCATATTGGTAGAGTTTGCCCTTTGTGTACGCCCAAAGGTTTTCGATGGGATTAAGGTCAGGCGAAAACGGTGGGAAATCAATGACCTCAATCCCCTCTGCCTTCAACCACTTTCTGGTATTGGCTGCAGTGTGTGACCAGGCGTTATCATGCAAAAACATGATATCGGACTTGATGAGATTCTGCTTCTTCAAGGTCTTCAGTAAGCCCTGCTCCAAAACTGTTACGTATTTTGGGCTTGTCATGGTTTCATTGATCTTGAGAAGCTCTCCGTGACCTCTGGACGAAAAGCATCCCCAAATCATAACGTGTCCTCCAGCATGAACAGGGGAAGTCTTACCCTTATATTTTTTAATTGCCGACTTCTTCAACTTCCACCTCCATCTCTTTCCATCCGAGCCAAAGCGATTCACCTTACATTCGTCTGAGAAGACAACACACTTCCAGTCCTCCACGGTGAAGTTGATATAGTTCCTTGCGAACTCCATATGCTGCTTGCGGATAGCGGGGTTTGTTTTTACCTTCGGAGGTGGTTCCAAGGTACAGATGAACCCAGATGCTTTTAGCAAGGTGCGGATTGCTGGAGCCTTGACAGCAAAACCTTCACCACATAGCCGTCTCTCTGCCTCTGTTGTTGTCATAAATTCCTCATTTAGGAATGCATAGATGATACGGTGGGCGAGCCTTTCATCGATTTGGGCAGGTCTACCCCCAGGAACTGAGGTAGAGATGTTCAATTTTCTTCGATATCTCTTGACAGAAGTCTGCGAAACACCAACAATCTTTGCTACCTCGGCTGTAGACTTTCCATGTCTAAGTTCAACTTCAATTGAGAGTATTTTGTCGCGTGAGATGGGAGACATTTTTGTTTTAAAGTTGAGCAAAGGAACAAGGAAAACTCTGAAAAATTCAATATAATATATCTATTTTGTTTGCATGATTGTGATGTAATGACAAGACACACTCTGTATAAAAATTATCATAAAGCAGTTCTGCATTGAAAGTAAAGAAATAATGCTTTACTCTATTTTTTGGCCCATACCTAAAAAACCGGGCCACTGAAAATTTCCACTTTTTTTCATATAACTTTTTATTAATACTATATATATATCTATACTAGCATAGTATGTTGTAGCTCTTTAACAGATGTCCTAGAGTGTATTAAAACTATCGCGAAAGAATAAGAACTCAAGAAGATATAAGTTGCGGAGTACAAATTTTACATTTGCTGGCCCGGTTTTTGAATTTACTATACATAATGGCATAATGTAAAGTGTAAAATGTAAAATGTAATCATAAAATACAAGACAAATTAAGGGGAACCTTACGGACAGCCCGGACAGCCTGGACAGCCTGGGCGCTAATTTTAGGGAGATGACATTTCTTGTTGGGGGAGCAAAATTCTGGTTCTACTGGTCCACAAATCGTGACCTTCTTGCCGGTATAGAATGACTCTATCTGGTCCGTAAGGATCCATTCTTACTATAATAAGAAATACCAGCCAGGATACAAAATATTCATAAAAATTCCTTTTGTATTTTGCAAAAAAAAAGAGTGGATGGAGGATTATTTATCAGTTGGTACTGTTCGATTCTGGTAATATGGAGGTGAAAGAAAGAGAAAGACAGTATAGGCGTAAGAAGGCCAATAAATAGTGAAATATTCAACAAGATTGCGTCACAATCTAATGCTGACAACCCTTTATGATCTTCTGCATAACTGGCTATTTGTATAGTGTATATGTGCCTAATAACTATTTCTTTATTGTCAAGACTAAATTTAAGGTGCAAACGTCTATTAATTAAATACACAGGAGTTGCTTTTTGTATGAGACAGCATTTTATTATTAAGTTGTCCAAATACAGATTGTGCCTCTAAAAAGAATGAGAGTTAGGTGCCTGGGATAGATAGATTAACACAAAGCAGTAAAGCTAATGCATACAGTGAATATATTGTATTTTTTAGGACACGCCATTTTGCCCTGAAGGATTAGAGAAAGACACCAGCCCGGACATGTAGCCACAATTTACCGTTCTCACTGTATATCCAAAAAAGAGAATAAAATAGAAAGTCAAATTAGGGTCAAAGATTTGCCTTTTTTGGGGCAAAGGATAACAACCATTTTGCCTGTTTTAATTGAACTAAATAAAATAAACTAATAATCAACAAATTGTACCTTTTTATATAACAAAGGAAACTTGAAGAGGCATTTCTTACTTTTGATTATTTTTGGGTATTGTTATCATTATTATTATTATTATTTAGTGTAAAGAGCAAGACTTTCTCCCTCCTTCTCTCTCTTTCTCTTTATTTCGTACCTTAATCAATACCACCACTACCACTACCACTATGAATGTCTATCCTTTGGAAGGCTATCGTCCACAAAGACAAGCTCACATCAGATATCCTTCACTTATCAAATGCTGTGGATGCATTCATCTTAGAACAGGAGCAGGATTTGCAGGTCTATTGTGGGCTGTAAGTATACAATTGATTGATTGATTTTTATTTGAATTTTGATATAAATCTACTTATGGTACATATACACAACAAAAGCAGGGGAAAATCTAATGATAATGCTTTACCCACCTGCATGCATACCTATCTATATACATATAGGGTCTTTCAATGTATTTTGCAGTCCTTTCATTTCAATACAAAAGCCGTAGGTGTTTTTATTTATTTTAAAAAAAAATACTAAATAGACTAATAATTCAACTTTATGTATAGCGTTTTACTCGTATCTACTCCAAGCTCCCCTTTTAGTATTTGGGGTGGCAAATCTCATTCTATCTTGTGTGGGACTAGGTGTATTATTTGCCGTCTATGTGGTTAGTTAGATATATAAAATCAAATAAAAAAAAAATTATTTATTTATTCAAGGTACTTGTGACGATTAATATTGTTATTATAGAATAGGTGGCATGCTATCAGAACTGCATCAAGTGCAGTATTTGTGTCAACCTTTTTAGTGGCAGGAGACGCGATTGCCAATACAATCCTGTTTATCGCTACAAAGTCAAGTTACATTGGCTGGTGTATTTCTAGTTCATCCGGTGCATTAGATGCCGGTGTAAATAGTGCTCTGAATGGAACACAGACTATTGATAGTAATAGCAATAATACTATATCATCGTCATCACCATCATCATCATCATCGACATTTGGCTTTCAAACCGTAGACTATTACAACTGTAACAAGACATGGGAAAACGAATTAAAGTTTGGAATTCTTTCGGCAATAATGCTGTCTACTCTCTATGTAAGTATATAGAAAACATTTAATAATAATAAATTTAACTTCTTTATATTTAATGTTGTTATATATTAAGCTTTACTGGGCAATGTGTATTTATTCGTACGCAGTCAAAAAAGGACATCTCTTCTTTCAGGACATGGACATGGCACAGCCGTTCCAGCCCGAGATTCACCCCATCTATACTCCTGTTCACCCTCAGCCTATCCAACCTATTCAGCCTATGCCACCCGTTCCACCCAACATAATCATTCTCAACAACCAGAAACCATCCAAGTATTCCAACAAGAAGACGGCTGCCTTGGTCGATCGGGAGTCCGACTCTGTACCTCCAAGGTCAAAGTCAGCCCTTCTTGTCTTACCTGATGAGCCAACTATGTACAACAAATCACCAGTCTGGCATTCTAGCTGATCGATATATTTATATTTACATTAATATTAATATTAACATTAATAAACACACTACACGCACACACAATACATATACACTTAATACATAATACATAATACATAATATAAAATAATAAAATAATATAATTAAAAAAAAAGATTTACAGTATTAGATCATGGTTACCACATATATATATATATATATATATATATTGTAGGTACTATATCAAAAACCAGAAAAAATATTTTCCCCTTTTTTCCCCCTCTATTTTTGTTTAAATCTTTAATATTTGTACCTTTTTCATGCTCCCAATGACACTTTCCAATAATTATAATAATTAGGAAATACAAGGAAAAGATCAAAAGCATTCAATAGAAAACAGCCAATAAAATATACTTCTTTTATAGCATTCTTTTTATTTTTATTATATGCACATATGATTCTTTTCAAAGAAGTATAATTTTGCACTAACCTTTTTACTTTTACTGGTTGATCTGGATCCTTTTTTTCTTTTTTTTTTAGGGGATCATATTGATCCAGATTTCGTTCAATATTACAGACAATTCCTTTTACTCTTTTCATATACATATAAGAGAGAGAGAAAAGTGATTATAAATTTAGTGTCCTTTTTTTTAAAGTGTAGAAAATTCTAGTAGTTATATATAAATCATAATGGCCAAACATATGTTTTTATACAATATACTTTGGCCAACAGATGGTATGTCATAGCATACTTGTTTGGTTAGCTAATAAATACACTTAAATACATACATAGAAATATATATAAAGTCTAAATATTTTTATTATAAAAAATATAAGGAAATAATTTACCAAGAAAAAAAAATAGATAGGATATCAGGATCGTATTTTGATTTCTCTTTACTTCTCCCTTCTTTTCCCTTCTTCTTCTTCTTCTTCTTCTTCTACTACTTATTCTATTTAATACTTTTTTTAAAGAAGTAAAAAAAAAAAAACTAAAAAATATATATATAATATATATATATATATATATATATATATTTATGAAAGTATTTAATTCTCATACTCGTCCAATGCCTCACTTTAAGACAGAAAAGTCTCATAAACGCAAACACTCTCAACATACCAATCCACTATTACCTCGACCGAGTTTCCAAGGAAACCACAACATCAACTATGGAGCCTACACCATACGAATACCAAACTACACATTCGATCAACCAAAACTACTTTTAGGTACAGGTGGACACATGGCAATTGCTCATGGCACAAGGCAAGCCTAGACTTCCAACATATCATAAAGTAAAATAAATAAATAAATTAACGTATCCATCAATCCAGAACATCCGATCAGCTCTCTGTGTTCGTCAAACTATCTCCTTATGCCCTAAGACTCGAGCGAGAATATTACATGGCACGTCGGCTGTACACATTACCCGATGGTCCTCATTACCTCTCAAATGTCATTGAAATGGTTTCCTTGGCTCACGATGGTCTTGCAGCGCTCATCTACACTGCCGAAACCCCGAATCTCGAACTACCAACCACATTTGAAAATATCGAAAGCTTCATGACATTTGCAATCTTTGCCTGTAGATCACTTCATTTCCTTCACGCAAACAATATAATCCATGGCGAGCTACGACCCTCGTCTTTTCAGACAAATAATAGTAAAGATATCACAAGGATCTGGAACTTTGGTTCGGGTATGAGATCATACGAAGATATCTTGCTCACCGGACCAGGTTGGAAAAGAAGTGCGGCAACAGCTACATCATCAACAGCGACAACAGGAACAACAACAGCAGTGATATCAGAAACCGAACCCGAAATTGAAACAGAAACAGAGATAGAAACAGAAACATCAAAAACATCATCATTATTATTATCATCATCATCATCAACAACAACAACAACAACAACAACAACAGCAGCAGCAGCAGCAGCAGCAACAGCAACAGCAGCAGCAACAGCAACAGCAACAGCAACAGCAACAACAATAATAAAGAAAAAATCCGTAAAAAAAGCATCAAATGTAATAAAACACCAGCAACCAAATCAAATAGAGGATCCAATCGAACCAAGAACCTTTGCTAGATTAGCAGCATCCAAAAGTGTTCAGCACACACTTGCCTATCTTAGTCCAGTACGTAATTCAAACCTTCTTTTCTTGTACTTTTATTATTATAATCATTATCATCATTTTCTGTACCCATAAACAAACAACCATATATACACACATACATCTACATATTGACTAAGGGAAGTGAGTTAGTAAGCAAGTGAGCTAGTTAGTAAGCAGGTGGAATTTTTACACCCATTACTATTATACGGTCATAAATAAATTATTGTCATTATTATAATCACATTATTTCTAGTACGGCTAATATCAATATAACACGTCGAATTATTCTCTGGTCATTTAATCTTTTATGTCTTTCTCTTTGTAGGAACAAACAGGAAGAACATCAACCGTGGTCGATCATCGAACAGATCTTTATTCTCTTGGTATTGTCTTTTTTGTGCTTTTGACAGGTCAAATGCCATTCGAAGGATCAGCCGTCGATATCCTCCAGGCCGTCCTTACACGCAATGTTCCGCCTGCACACACAATTCGAATAGGAGTCCCACCAGTGATGAGTCTGATGATAGATAAACTGACACGAAAGGTAAATAAATAAAGTGTATGTATTCATGTCTTCATGTACTTATACATGCTTATCTATATATCTGAAATATAAAGGTAGTCGATGAACGATACAATAGTGCGTATGGCTTACTTGAAGACCTACTTGAATGTCAACGTCGAATGAAGTGCCCAGATCCAGCAGAGGTAAACTGTTCTTTATCATTTACTCTATTTACTCTAATTACTCTTAATACCTTAATATTCTATTTTCATTTCTTTAAATAATAATATATAAAATCAAAAAGTCTTTAGTCTTCTTTCCACTCGGACTACACGACATCTACTCAATATTCCAATTTCCTAGCCACTTGTTTGGTCGAGATCATGAAATCGAAACTGTGCGCCTCATAACTCGAAGAGTAAGCTGCACCCACGCCTTGGAAATGGAGAAACGCTCGGCCACAACCGTAGCTGAAAAAGACAAGAAAGAAAAAGACGAAGAAAGAGGCCAAGATGACAAAGACAAAGACAAAGACAAAGAAGAAGAAAAGGTTTTGTGTATTCCACGCCAAGCCATGAGAGACACAAAGACGGCCAGTGAAGTGATCGTGATTATGGGCCCCGGTGGTGTGGGAAAGTCTGTGCTGGTCACTATGATGCACACCCAGGCACGCCAGCATGGATATCTAGCCTCATCAAAATTCGACTCTAACCAAAAGAGGCCCTACAACGGCCTCCTGCGCTGTCTGTCGTCTATCCTGAGACAGCTCTTGACCGAACCAGAGTCAGTCATCCGAGATTTCTATACGGATCTCAAAGAACAACTCGGACCACAGTTTTGCAATGTGTGGTTAATGGTTGACAGGGTACCTGAGCTAAAGCCTATTTTCAACGGAGAAGAACCTGACATGCCTCAAGATGATATGCTTGGAGGAAACAGCGAATCTCGTTTTCATGCTGTAAGTAACATTTATTCTTAATTTTTTTATTTATTTTTAATAATTGTTTGTCTGTGCTATTTATTTTTTGTATTCTTATTATTCTTTATAGGTTTTTCTTAGTATCATTCGTACCATTGCAGCCACAAAGATGATTACACTGGTAACAAACCAACTCTACATATACATAAATGCTCGTCTTGATTTAACCAAATATTAATCATATTAACAATAATGTTTTTCTATTACCTACCAGTGCTTGGATGATTTGCATGAGGCAGGTAAGAAAACTCGGTTTTTGTTCTTCTTCTTTTGCACAGATATATATATATATATATATATATATAAGCAATTATATAGTTCACGACGCGCACACAAAAATGTTATAAAAAAATTAATAAATATATTTTATGTATATTAGATGAACCATCTCTTCATCTCATATCCACACTCATTGCCTCTCGAATTACTCTCTTGATCATATTAACCTGTCGAGACAACCACGACCTACCGCAGTCTGTACTGAACATCATTCAATGTACAGCGGACGAAGCCCAGAGAATCCGTATCAACCTCGGGCCTTTACCCCGAAATGCTGTGACCAAACTTGTGAGCCAGACCTTGCATCGTGAACCTGAGGATGTTGAACAACTATCCGAATTGATATTCCGTCGCACTCGAGGTAACCCTTTCTTCGCCCGACAGTTTATGATGATGATGAAACGGCGGGAGGACATTTGGTTCAACTGGGACGCAAAGCAATGGCAATTTAGACTTGACCACGCTACCCAAAATTTATATCCACAGCAGCAACAATTACAAGAACAGCAATTGCAACAACAACAACAACAACAACAAAAGGGTGAAGGGTCCAAGATAAATAGCAAAGAAATATGTCATTTGGTGTCTCATCTAAAAGATATGGACCCACATGCTCAGCAATTTATTATGTGGGCTAGCTTGCTCGGAAGTCTATTTGATTTTAGACAGGTACAGTGGTTGATGATGACGGTTGATCTGTCAGGTGATGAAGCAGACCAAGCCGGAACATCAACACCAACATCAACATCAACCCCAACGCCGACACCGACAACATCAGTAGCGGTGGTTTCGGGACCATCTTCAGCATCTTCACTTGAAGAAGATCTTCCGTTCTTGTTTGTGGATCCCGCCATTGATTTACACCAAGACGATCCCCGCGGAGGTCAGGCCATGACAGGTCTTCAAGTTGCTCTTCAGGAGAATATCATTGTACCAAAGCTTGGAAGCGAATTCCAATTTATCCACGATCGCTATTACCAAGCTGCGGCCATGTTGGTGAACCCGGACCATGTCGAGCACATGCATCTTCGAATCGCCCAAATGCTTCTAGTCGACCCGGCTGCAGACATCTTCCTGACAGCTGATCATGTGGTCAAGAGTCTGGAGTTGGTAAAACTCCTGCCAGACCGGAGCAAATACCGTCAGATCCTAATGAAGGCCGGCGACGAAGGATATCGGTCCGGTGCACTCCAGATGTCTAGCATTTACTACAACACTACCCTCCAGCTGCTTTCCGAGACACCCTGGAAGCAAGATGGCCCTGACGCAACCTATGAAGAGACCCTGTCTCTCTACATGAAGCTCACCGAGATGAGCTGGCGCAACTCCGAGCGGGACCAAGCCTCTTGCTTCCTCCAGACAATCATGCACGAGACTGACAACCGACCGATCGATGGAGCGTATGCGCTGAGATTCCAGGCACGGATGTACTTTGAGCAACAGAGACACCACGATGGCATCGGCACAATTCTCAAGGCCCTTGGGGCCCTTGGCATCACATACATTACCTCAGACCATCTGTCCGAGTCCCAAGTCCTTGAGCTTTACACAAAAGTGCGCAGCTCGATCGAAGAACTAGGCGACAATCTGATGACCATCGGACCTTGCACAGACCCACGCATGCTGGCCGCCATGGCTCTACTATATGAAGCATGCACCGGAGCATACTGGATCAGCCCACTGTTGGTAGACTTTATGGCCTTGTGTCTGGTCCGCATCTCGCTCAGATATGGATTTGGAATGGCTAGTGGCGGTGGCTTGATTGGGGTTGGATGTACGGCCGCCCGTCTGCTGCAAGTCCAATTCGGTGCTCGGCTTGGCCAGCTTGGTATGGCTATCAGTGAGAAATATGCAGGAAATTCGGAAATTGCACGGGGTATAATTACCTATCATGTAATTCTTGCACAGTGGACTACAGGATGTCATTATCGAGATCTTATTTATCAGTTCCAAAGAGCCTACAAATTTGCTATTGCTGGTGGTGACAAGGTAAAAAAAACAAAAGGGGGAATCTTACGCTTTATATAAATATACTTATATATATATATATATTATAAAGATGCATTCGGCATTGGCTCTGTTCCATGCCTCGAGTACTCTTCTCTACACAAGTTTCAATTTGTCTGAAATCAACTTCCACATTCACCGCAGCATTGAGGAGTGCCTCGATGACAGTTCACAAGATGCCTACACTCTCAATATTTCATTGTGGCGCACAATCTTGGCATTCCAAGGAAAGACCACAGTGTCAGAACCAGGCTGTCAATTGGATGATCCTCCCCACAAGAAGAATCCCTTTAGAGAGGAAGCTTTTGTTGCCAATGTCTATAGAAAAAGTGTTAATCCAGGAAGCCCAATGAATTGGTAAATTGATTAGTCTTATATCTATAAGCTACATATATGCATATACACACATATATTTTTCAAACAATATTCATTGTATATTTAAATATGGTGTACCCACCTTTTTATTATTATTATTACTTTTAATAGGCATTGGAGTTTCAAGATCATTATTCTATTTCATTTTGGTCATTTTCAAGAAGCAGCCGATACTGGATTCAAGATTCTTGAGACTTCTTTAAATCACCCAAGGTAAGCAAAATTCTCTGCCATGTATATATATATATATATATATTCGATGAAAAAAAGAAATGTTGATATTTATTATTATTGTTATTATTACTTATAGCCATAGGCACATTGGTATCGCACTTTACTACCACTCATTATCAATGATCGCATGTATACGTGACACTGAAATCGATGATTCAGTACGCAAGATGTACCTTGATCAAGTTGCTAAAAACCAGACCATTCTATCCTCTTGGGCCGATCATTCAGAAGTCAATTATCGCATGTATTACAAAGTTGTGGTAAGTAAATTCACGGTATCTTTTTTAGAAAGAAAGAAAGAAATAAAAACAACTTCCTATCATTCTCTCTATTCTAATTTTGTACATATTACAGGAAGCTGAAAGATCTACACTCGATAATGACATGGAAAGGACCTGTCGTTTGTTTAATGCTGTTATCGAGATTGGCCTTAAAGGTCAGTGGTATTCTTTCCTTGGCTTAACATATCAGCTCCTTGCAGAGTACTACGTTAGAGCCAAGATCAATATGTTGGCTCTACCGATGTTGAACCAATCGATCGAATTTTATGAATGCTGGGGAGCATATGGCAAAATGCAGTACATGTCCGAGAGATATGGACATATCATCAATAGCAACAAAGCCATGACTCGTAAAGTTGATGCGTCTACCCAGACTGAAGAACAAGACATGACCAATGGATTCTGGCAAGACGAGGACTCTTCTCCTGAACCGTCGTTTAGAGAATTGTATGGGGACGAGTCTATTCCGGGTTTATTGGATACAGAAACGGCCTTATTCTCGCTTGATATTATGGATCTTACATCTATTATTAAGAGTTCTCAAGGTAAATATATATAAATATATATATTCGCTTTTACACACAAGAAAGAAACAATGACAAAGAATTAAATCACAAATATCTTCAGTGATCTCCAACGAAATGAATTCGTTTGATGAGCTCTTAAAAAAGATGATGGGGATCATCATGGCCAACGCAAGCGCCAATGTCGGAGCCATTATCATCAAAGAAGGCGAGTTTGGTATTGCTGCTCACTCAACAAAGGATGAAGGATGCCGAACTTGCTATCCTCCGATGCGCCTCGACGACGGGACAGATCTTATTTCAACGCTGGTGGTCCACTACGTGATCCACACCCAGACCGTACTGTTTATTCCAAACATGCAAGAAGACACTCGATTCGCGACCGGAACTTGGCTGCTTCGTGCCGAGGCTGTCTCGGTCATCTGCTTGCCTATAATGCACAAAAACAAACTCGTCGGCGTACTCTATCTGGAAGCAAACCTCAGTACCTTTACACGCAAACATGTTACGGTTCTGTCGTTACTATGTGACCAGATTGGTATCTCGGTAACAAATGCGTTATTGTTCAAGTCGGTTCAGGAAGCTACGACTGCAAATGCAATCATGATCACGAAACAACAATGTGCTCTTGAGGAGGCTCGCAAGAGTAAAGAACAGGCACTCAAGGCAACTGAATTAAAGTCAAATTTCTTGGCTAATATGTGTAAGTTACATGTGTGTGTGTGTGTTTATAAATTTGTATATATATAAAAGAGATGCGTGAAATTTCTAATGTGTGTGTTTTTATATATAAATATATAAAAAAAATAAGCCCATGAGCTTAGAACACCATTTTCGGGCTTCTATGGTATGATATCCTTGCTGAGTGAAACTCGCCTGGATGCAGAACAGCGTGAATTTGTGTCGATTGCAAAACAGAGTTGTGAAATGCTTCTTCAGATTATTGGTAAGCTGTATATATATGTATTTATAAAGTAGCCTTGTTTTTATTTATTTATTTTTTATTTTTTGAATGGTAGATGATCTATTGGATTTCTCAAAGCTAGAAGCACGCAAAGTCAAGATTCAATACGGACTGTTCTATATCGAGGATCTCATTGCAGATCGAATTGAATTGCTTATTAACCTTGCTTCTAAAAAGAATCTTGAATTGACATATTTTATCAACCAAGATGTCCCACCTATTGTGTATGCCGATGGACATCGTATTGGCCAGTAAGTTGAAAGAAAGGAAATTACTACCTTTCAATATCCTTAGTAACAATAATCAAAATACGTACATTAAATTTATTGATCAATGCATTTACTTTGACCTTTTACATATTTTTTTCTTATACAAAAACAAACAGAGTTTTGATGAATTTGATCGGTAAGGATTTTTATATAAAAAAAAAGGAAACAAAGGAAGATGTATTAATGCATTTGTTATGTGTTCGCTTATATGTATATACAGGCAATGCGATAAAGTTTACGCATGTGGGAGAGGTTGTTGTACGATGTGAAATTGACAATGACACCGATGACTTGAAAATCCCGCTTAAAGAAAATGAAATGATGCTAAGGTTTTCTGTGCAAGATACTGGTATCGGTGAGTGAGATAATATATATATATAGAAGAGTAACTGTATTTCTTGTGCTCACTCAAATTTCGATATATGTATGTATATGATATTCTAGGCATGACTAAGGAAGAAACCAAATGTCTTTTCTTACCATTCAGTCAAGTAGACGGATCAACTACAAGGTATTAATTTTGCTTTTTTTGTTTTTGCTTTGTTTTTCAAATAAAAACAATATAGAGTGTAGTGTGGTGTAGTGTAAAAGGAACAAACCAAAACGAATATGAGTTTCTGTGTATGAAGCTTAATCATTTTGTCTACTATTTTTTTTTGGGTGGGATCTTTCTGTTTGGTAGAAACTTTGGTGGAACTGGTTTAGGACTTTCTATCTGTCTTGAGCTTGTAAGCCTGATGGGTGGAAACATTTGGGTGGAGTCACATGGAGGCTCTGGATCAACGTTTGTCTTCCGGGTGAGAGTCATGAAGGTTGCGTCTGTAGCTGAACCTGGTATCGAAATCGATCCAAGAAACAGTGAAGCTTTGGAGTATACCAAAAAACTTGGAGAGCCTCGCATCTTGCTCGCAACTTCAAAGAGAGTGAGCGACATGATCAAAACCGTCATCCCATTCGATGTCAGTACAATCGAGTCTCCCGAAAAGGCCATCGAAGTTTTCAAGAGCATCGCCGACATTAGCCAAGAAATTGCAGGACTACCATCACCACCATTGCCAACAACAGCTGCGTACGACTGTGTAATTCTAGATATGCCGCCCACAAGAACGGTCCAAAATTTGCTGGATACTATCGAATCTACCGAGGAACTGAAAAATATCCACATAATCATGCTCTATGCTCCTACTGTCGACAATATCAAACGACAGATCGGAAATGCTAATCCCAATACCTCACTGCGCCCTGATGCAGTCAATCCAATGTTCCATCCCAGGGTTACGCGTCTCTCAAAGCCTATCCGTAAACTTAAACTTCTCGGCGCACTACTTCAGTCGGTCAATTCTAACACCCCATTCCCTAAAAACCCTTGTCAAGAAGTATGTAAAAATACCACAGCATGTATTAATGAGGCAGGAAAACAGATTGACCATGTTGAGCCTTCCTTTTCATATGCCCACAAACACCGCGAGGGATTCGCACCGGAAGAATTGGCCGTTTTTCAGCAACAGAAGATTCTTGTGGCTGAAGGTATTTTTTTATATAAAAACAACTCTTGCTTGATTGCTTTTAGTTAGTTAGTAGTAAGTATTAAACCTGTGTGTGTGTGTATTTTTTGTTGGAATTAAAATCATAATAGATAATCCTGTTGCTCAGAAATTGATTGTGAAACAAATGACTCGCCTTGGTTTCTCGGTTGAAACCTGTAATAATGGGTTCGAATGTATAGAAACCTGGAAGAGTCGGGGCCCAGGTTACTTTTCACTTGCATGGATTGATCACCATATGCCAGGATGTGATGGTTTGGAGGCGACTGTTAAAATTCGAGCCTTGGAAGCAGATATGGATGTAGCAATAACACTACCAATCATTGCTCTCACAGGTAAATATTACATATATACTGTTGTGCTTATACTAATTCAAATAATGCACGCATATATTGTATGTAAATGCTTGTACTATTATATTTTTGTAGCCGATATTCAAAAGACTGCCCAACAGAACTGCTTGGATGCAGGAATGAACGATTATCTCACAAAACCGTTGATGCAGAAGGACCTTGCGGCAGTTTTGCGCCGTTATTGCTTCCATCCTAATGGTGGAAGTACATCAACATCAAGTTTATCCTGATGTATTGTAGATAGAATTTACCATCTTAGCATTCTAGCCAAATATTCTTTACACATTAAAAAACATAATAAAAAAAATGTGAAAATGAAAGTGAAAATAAAGAAGAATGAAAAAAGGAAAAGCTGAATTGACCTTGGATTATCTCTCCAAGGCTTGTTAATCAGCGAATAATAATCATAATTACAATGTTTATCACAAGGGAAGTCTATTTGGTGTATATCCCATGCCAACAAATCTTGATATTGATCTTGATATTTACATATTAGCTTAATTATAACAAGTATTACTTATAGCAGAAATATAGACCCAATAGTGTTGTACATGTAAAAGAAGAAGAAAATCCTTGGCGAAATGATGAATAGTATCATTATTTTGGTTGGATAAACCTCCTTTAAAAACATCAACATACAAACCAAATATCTTATAAATACCAGCAAGAACAACACATTTTGAAGAAGAACAAGAACTCACCGTCTACAAACCTTCAATGAAGCTCAATCTCTTTATCGCACTTGGTCTTTTGGCTTCCGTTATGCTCGTTGCTGCCGATGACAAGAGCGGCTACAGCGACAAGGACAAAAAGGACAACAAGGATGTCAAGGATTACAAGGATGACAAAGACTACAAGGACCACAAGGGCAAGTATTATTACCATGACAAGGACGACAAGGACAAGAAGGATGACAAGGACAAGAAGGATGACAAGGACAAGAAGAATGGCAAGGACAAGAGAGATGATAAAGACAAGAAGGAAGACAAGCACGATAAAGACAAGAAGGATGATAAACATGATAAAGACAAAAAGGACGACAAGCACGATAAATACAAGAAGGGTGGTAAACACTATAAGAAGGATGATGACAAGGATGACAAGCACAAGAAGGATGACAAGGATTATAAGCACAAGAAGTATGATGACAAGGATGACAAGGATGATAAGCACAAGAAGGATGATGACAAGGACGACAAGGACGACAAGGACAAGAAGGATGACAAGTGGTGGAATTACAAAGACAATATCTTGAAGAAGTCTGACTTTGGAAAGTAGAAATCTATTGATATGCTTTGTCTTCAGAAGTATGAGTCCTGTATAAAGAAATCAAAGAGTTGGAGTCCAAAGTAGTACTACTTTAGTCGATTGGTTTGAGAGCTGTACCTCCCCTCACCCTCCTATTTCTCTTTTACATTTCTTTTTCTTTCTTTTTTTTCTTTCAAATAATAATTTCATATATCTTTTATTATGCTGCTTGCTGTAATGATTTTCTATCATAAATAAATTGGATATATACATAATATCGAGACTGCCTTTAAGACATCTTTAAAAAAGATCCCAAGTATGTATATATATAATGGTTTTGCTAGGTCAGATTACTCAAGGTGTTACATATGTTTGCATTATCTACTTTTAGATATAGAGTACAAGTATTCCAGTAAATAAATCAAATGTGGTACATAGGTAAATGACCATTGCGTAAGTGTGGCGAAATAGACCATAGGATATTTAAATAGAGGTTCATTGTGTATAATTGTGGAGGTTACAAAATGGGTGGCGCTATCAAAGTTCTTGTCATACAGATTCTGGCGGGTTTGCCTATTCTGAAGTCGATTAGCGGATCACAGTCCTATATATATATATATATATATCTATGAGGCACAAGTTACAGTTCCAGAACCTAAGGTCACTCAAAGATAAAGAAAGAAAAGGCTGGTTAAATATTCTCACGCAGAAACTCCTCTAAGAAACAGAAATGTTGATTTTAAGATCCCAAAATACTTTATGCATGAAAAGACAACAAGCATGAACAAAAAGAGGAAAAACACTGCCTTTAAAAGCCCTTACCTTAAAAAACAAACAAACAAATACACCCTTAAATCCCCCCCCCGCGCCTTTCTTTTATTTTTATTTTTTACCATAGTATATAATATAGAAATAAATACTAAAGGACCTGAATGAATGAATGATGTATCATATATAGGTATGCATGTATGTATGTCTGTTATGCAGTGATGTAAGTTAGAGTGCATAAATCTGCATTTTGCTATATAAAAGATAGCCATACAAATGTTACATCTGTAGTGAAACAATATAGCCTTAGAGTTGGCGTATATGTATATAGCAATTAAAGCAGAAATAGCCGCAATGCTGCATTATCAAGCACAATCGCCGTTAGACACATATCTATAATCAAAAATGATTCAGTTGAATATCCTGGGCATCCACAAAAGCTGCAGGTATTTTCCATTTGATTGTGTATTTTAGGGAGTCCAAAGTAAAATAGGATTGGAAACCAACTATAAGATAAACAAGTTTCCTTCCCCTTGATTTCTTTCTTTCTTTGATTGGCTAATGTTATTAAAGATATCTTTATAGTAAAAGTATAAATCTAAATAAGTCTATACATCTACTAATAAAAAATAAAATCTTAATTTCTCTTATTTTTCTTCATAATTAAACGCCATTCTGTATGACTTTTAGAAATATATTGTTAGGCACACAACTTGGCTTTTATAGTGCAATAAAATCATATATATATTCAGGTGTTTTGCCTTGCAACCATTAGTTTCGGTCCAAGATTATAGATGACTGGAATTTGACTTTAACGAAAGGATGATTTCATGCATGAAATTTTTGTTTGTTTTTCTTTCTTTCTTTTCAAAACCAAAGATAAAGCAATGCCCAGACCAGCAGTAATAGGGTACTCTGGAATGTTCTGGCAAAGCTATTATAGCAAATATTAACTCGGCATTGTCTAGTTATTAATTAGGTATTGAGTATTGGGTATTGGGTAATGATGAAGAAGATCTCTTGAAAATATGCAAATGGCTGCGTATCTATCCTGGACAGGCCAGGTATATTTTATTGTTAAAAAATAATAATACTTCAACGCACAAAATAGCAGTTATTCTGAAAGTAGTTGTTTGCCACAGACATATGACTTTTGGTTTTATTATTGGGTTTGTCCTTTTTCGGTCTCTCTCTCTATATATATATATTCCACCCCTTGATTAGTGATGACTAGAAGTTAAACAAAACAATACCCAAAGTACTTCTTGTCAAAAATTAAAGCTAGCTTTGAGGATTCTTACGCAAGGACTTGCATAGCCGGATATTTAATAAACTTATAATATCATTATACGCCACCGAAATCTTCGGTTCTTTCCCTTCATATTGTTTTCCCTTTTCTCCTAGGCCGTTCAACACAGAGTAAAGTACAAAAAAAAGATTGTATTAATGAGTTCTCCTTACATTTATTTTATACAGACAGATAATTCTCTCATCAAGATACATCTCCTTTTCCTTTTACAGAGAAAGAGAGGCCTTATCCTCCAATGAGTTATATGATATAGAAAATGTCCATAGATCCAACTCATACGCTCATCAGCAGAAATATTTTTGCTAATCTTAATAAAATTAAATAATAGAGTTTAACTAGACTTTTTTTCTGGTTTTGGGCCACATACAGATACAAACATACATCAAATTTTGAAACAGTAACTTGTACTTGTTGGCATTAGTTATGTGGTACATTTGTTCCAAAAGAGATACCAAAGGGCATCTCTCTGAATTTGGTAGTATTTTGGCATGCTGTCTCGCTTGTCCCACAATGATTTCTACACACACACACACGCAGAGAGAGAGATAGTTTTTTTTTTTAAAAAAAAAGTCTATAGCTTTGTTTCAACCCCTAAAATTAGAGACCTTAACGGGTATTGAAACCAAACGCTGGGTTAGCAGGTTTGCAGCCTTTTGGTTACTTGTTTATGACACATAAATACACACATAGAGTATAACTTATGTAATGGGATACAATCAATTGATATGGATATAATAGTACAAGGGTAAAATTGGAGTTGTTTAGTTCTTGTACAAAGTATTTTTTTTCACATTCACACACACACACAAACTTAACAAAAATATACTACCCTCACAGTATTGTTGTTGTTGCTGTTGCTGTGATTTTTTATAACAAACATTCTTTCGAATATCATCGCATTTTAACAAAATATTAAGAAAAATATCAATTTTTTCTCTTTAGATTGTAAAGAGGTATGGTCTATATATCTGAAGCGCCCTATATAACGTATCATTCACAGCCATTTCGGAAAAGACCAAAAAAAAAAAGTAAACAAAGGCACAGATATAACAGAATCACAAAAGGACATTTGTAAATCCTGAACACGAGAGTTTGGTGTCTTCTTGATGAAGAAGCACAAGATATAGTGTGGTTCTAGTTTGCTATAAAGAGAGAAAGGGGAAAAAAAAGGTCCAGAATGTACCAGTGGATGTATATGACCACTAATTAGCCCCTCTCCCTACAAGGTTTCAATCCCATTGAGAGTTTGTTGAGTTTGTCCGAATTGCATGATAATGCCAAATCACACAACTCAAATGATTAGGAAGAGCACTTTGCGGATCTTTCTAAAGACGTTTCAATAACCAGTACTTCTACTTCTATATATATATATACATACATATATTTATATATTAAAAAGGTTAAATTTTTATTCTATTATTTTCAGAGACGTTCTATCAAGCTAAGAACCAATGCAAACCATACAGAGAAACTTTAAGAAGCTAATATCTTATTTTGACGGAAACTCAAAAAAAAAAGAAAAGTCTTTGGGAGGAGTCCATATATATGTATGTAAAGCACAAATGAAAGAGAATCAAGCACATGCCTTTAATTTTTTTTCTTCTTTTCTTTATTCCTTTCTAAGCCAATTCTTTTTGTGTGTGGCTCTTATGCATACTCCTTCACAGGATCACTTTTTTGTGATACATTCAATTTTGTTATGCTGTGATAGTTGTACTTGTAGCTTCACTGTTGTTGGTTCCTTGACTCGAAATTGAATAATAGATAATTAAACAAAAAAAAAAGGGGGGGGGGAATCGATCGCAAATTTCAATTGTATGGATGAATAGATGCTTCAAGGCCTTTGAACCTTTCAACAATTGGGTAAAATAAAATAACGAGAAATTCATTTACAGCAAGTATTTTTTTACCGGGATATTTCCCAGTAAATATAATATATAAAAAGAATCTGCGGTTCAATGTATTATTCAATATATTAAAAAGGCTTTAGTTTCTGTACAAAGGTCATTATTACCAAAGTCTTTTGTACCAAACCATTAAGATGGAAGACTGTTTTAGCTTTAGTTTAGACACTAAAATAATAATAATAATTTTTTTGTAGTGTATTATAGTGCATTGTCTCGCCTTGAATACAAACAGTCTAAAATATACATATATTCTTTATATTACAATCGTCTCATTTGGCAGTTTATCCTATCAGCCTCCTTTTCCTTCATTTCTTCTTTCTTTCTTCTTTTGTTGCAATAAGCGGATCATGGCTTAATAGGAAATACAAAAAAAAATATACATATGCATATTATAGTTCTATTTTTATATAGATATAAAAGAATGTGCTTTGTATTACATTACACAATCCATATCTGATGAGCAAGTCAGCCACAGCTCAAAAAAGAAATAAATTATATATGTACCTAATAGGCTCCAATGATAATAGGTTATTATTATACCTGTGTCCGTGTAACTATCCAAGAGTTTCTTTTTATGAAATTGTGAACAAAAAAGAAAGAAAGAAAAAAAATTAGTTTGGTAGCATTCTGATCTTTGTGTAAAGGCTATCTAGATTGCTAATAGAATACGGAATCATAAAAAACCTCCAGCTTTACACACACATAAGAAAATACCAAAGTATCTTCTTTTTTTTGGAATTTTTACTTACTTTACAGCTTCAATTGGTTTGGAATCTTTATATACAAATTTGTCTTTACAGCCTGTACAAGACCTATCCAGTTTTGTATTCGGCTATTGCTGTGATCATTATATTATCCTATTTTTCTGACAACACGGAAAAGCAATTATATATATAGGAGTCAAGATATCAAGGTTTCACAAGCTCCGTCCACCTGTTCTATATTCTATATATATTTATATTTATATTGGCAGGGTAGGAACAAATGGGGAACGTTCCGAAAGAACGGTGCTTGTAAGCCATATGTAAAAGATCAACAGAATCGTATGAGTGAATATAGTAATTGATATTGATTTTCTTATATACAATAAAATTCTAGGTTTTTTTTTCTTTGAAGAGAAAAAAAGAGAAAAATAGAAGGACACGTCAAGGCATTTCATTATTAATACTCATAGTCTAAAGTCTGATAATATATATATATATTACATAGATAAATTTCACAAATATATACACACACATGAATAAATGAAGAAAGCTGCTACTGTAGCTGTAACTATAGAAACAGAATGCCTATGTATTGTTTTTTTTTTTTGGTTTTGGATATTTAGACAATGCTATGATTTATTTGTGATTTAATTCACTAAAAAGGAAGTACAATGATAGAGGGAAAGGGGGAAAGAGAGAGAGTTACAAATTTTTGTTTTTGTTTTTGTTTTTGTTTTTGTTTAAAAAAAAACAGAATTAAGGGCAGCGTCTGCAGTCGTGGTGGTGATGGTGAGTAGGGATCATGGCAAGGTACTTGGCGGCAAACTTGGACTTGGCCAACTCCAACTCAGCGTGAGTCTTCCAGATCTCGCACCAGAGAACTCTGTTTCTGTCAATGACAGCCTATAAGATAAAAGCAAGAGTAAGTAACTTTGTTAAGTGTAGAATCGAATCGAATCGAATCAAGAAATCATAATACATACAGTGACATCGGCATTTGCAGATGCAGTGGTGAAGAGGTTGACCCATCGTCTCTTCATATCCTCCTCATTGGCGTAGACAATGTTCTCGGAACATACAAGGGCACCAACGTTGTTGGCAATGAAGGTGGAAAGCTTGGCCTCGACACACTTGTGCTCGCAATCCTTGAAGAAAGCCTCGAGAAGAACGTTGAAAGTCATGTTTGGTATGAAGAGAATAAGAGAAGATGATGAGAATATTGATTGTTGAATGGACTTTGTAGAAGTATATATACTAATTTTTTATTTTTATTTTTATCTTTTAGTAGAAAACACAGTCTTAGATTGAACCAATTAGGTAATTTTTATTTTGCAGTAGAGAAATATATATATATATTGCTTTTGTTAACATTAACATTTTTGTCATGACAACGTGTATGTGTGTGTGTGTGTGTGTGTGTATTTTTTTTTTCTTTTTTTTTTCCTTTCAATATTCAAACTCATGAAACCTTGTGTATATGTCTGTATGTGTATCAATTCTTGTTGTCCAGAAAGTCTATAAGTTATCGGAACAAAAAAAAAGCAAAAGCAAAAGCAAAAGCCAAAAATAAAATCTAAAATAAGGCTACCAAATTACCAAGCAGGAAAAAGGCAGGTCTGTGCCACACAAGGTTATAAAGCATCCCCCTGTTTTTTTTTTCTTTGATTGCTTCAAGTATAATATGTATACACACATGCATGTATAAATATACATACAGTATATATATTTATATATTGTTCTTAAAAAAAAAGGAAGGTCCCTGAGTTCCCAAGCCTCGATATCTATGAGGAATATATTCTAACAGGGATTAATTAATTCCGTTCTTCCGTATATATGTATACGTGCCTGTGTATATTTGACATAGAGCTGCTGCTACTGTTATTAAAGGAGTAAGTTGTAGGGGATCAATGTACACCTTTTGCCAAAACGATGTCCCAAGAAAAAAAAATTAAAATGTCGCACTGTTACAAAAACCAGTGTCGTATGTTTTTAGAAAAGAGTACCGCACAATTCAGAGAAATACACTCGAGTGTAATAGGTCATTAGTCGGTCACAGAATTTTTAATTTTTTTTTTAATTTTTTTTATGCATTATCAAAATACTCTTTTCTCTGTAAAACCACCAAAACCTCTTAAACAAATAAAACAAAAGCACAAAATGACTCCACAAACATCTAGCATCACAGAACCCAAAAGACAAGAGTTAGATGCGTTCATTAGGGGCCGAATTATAGGTCAATGGGAAAAGGACGCTACATATAGAGAAATCTCTAAAGCTCTTGATATTCCGAAGAGCACTGTTGGAAATGTAGTGAAAGTCTTCCGAGATAAAGGTGTTTCCAAGCCCTTGACCCGTCTAGTAAGGGAACCAAACGTTACAAAGAGAACACAATCTGCCATGGTGCGCTTATTTCATAGCGAACTATTCTTGTCAATTGCGGCTCAGCATCAGAGATTAGTCGATGCGAAAATCTCCATCTGCATGACCATATTCCATAAGAACATGGAACTTCTTGGCTTCAATTCTCATTTAGCAGCTCCCAAGTCAGGGTTTATCGAAAAACATAAGAAAACCAGGCTGAAATGGTGCCTTTACAAAGTGAATTGGACCGTTGAGCAGTGGAAGTCGGTTGTCTGGTCAGACGAGTCCAGATTCATGGTAGTTGGCAATGATGGAAAATTCAGAGTCATCAGAAAGACCGGCGAGAGGTTTGACAAGAACCACATTGTCCAAACATACACGTTTGGTAAGGGTTCTGTCATGATTTGGGGTTGTTTCTGGGGTGGGGGTCTTGGCCCTTTGGTAACATTGAAATGAAACATCGACCAAGACAAGTACATCGACTATTTGGCACAGTACTTTCTTCCATGGTACGAGGAACTGTCTAGAGATAAAAAAAACAGTTTTTATTTCAAGAGGATGGTGCACCATGCCACACGGTATAAAAAAGAGAGGTGTCTAATAGATAACATTGGTTTTTGGCCTGCCCAGAGCCCGGATCTTAATCCTATTTAGCATATTTGGGCTCATCTTGCGAAGAAACTTCGCAAGAATAGAGCACAAGTAGCCAATGTGGAAGAACTTGAAGCGGTAATCCATAAGACATGATTGGAGATACCACTTCAAGTTCTGGAAACTTTGGTAGCCAGCATGCCAGATAGGTTTAAAGAAGTAATCGAGAGAGGTGGTGACACAACTCATTACTAGAGCTTTGTACTTCTTCTCTTAAATATATATATATATATATATATAATAAACTATGTTTTCTCTAAGTTTTGCTTTATTCTGAGCACATTTTATTATCAACATTATTGAAAAGAAAATATCGTCCATAATATGTTTGAAAAATAATTTTGAAAATTAGAAAACCGACCAATGACCTATTACACTCGAGCGTATATGCTAGATTGCGTTTTGTGTGTGTGTGTGTGTGTAGGCCAAGGCTTTTTATTTTTGTATATATATATACTCACACACAAAACATAAGACACAAAACAAATAAAAGCCAATATAGTATTTCTATGAACACTATTTTCTCAGGGGTAAGAAGCTAATTCAAAAGAAGAAGTATAGGAATCACTAACAACAAAGGAAGGTTTTACGACATGAGTGTATGAAACGATTGGCAGGGTACTGGGTACTGGGTACTAAGTACTGGGAACTTCTCTCAACATCGACAACGATCAATGTATTTTTACGGCATTTAATTAGTTCTGTTGCCCTTGAAATATCTTATGGCATGATTTGTAACGATCGATTTATGAATAAACAACTTTTTATATAGTAGCAAAACATGTAACTCTTTGGCTTATAAACCTAATATTTCAAATGTAAACGTATGTACGGAATAGTTCAAGTAGAAAAAATATTCGCTATTTATTTGTATATATAATAAAATAAAGTATCTTGTACATTAGGTTTATTCAGAGGTAGAATATACAGAAAATTGTTTACATTGCTATTATTATAGAGAGACATAAAGATTACGCCTTAGCCATTACGCCTTATGTCTTTGGGTGCCACAAGTTAATCCCCATGCTTTAATCTTACAAGGTTCTAAGCATATTTCAAGATAGTTTTCCTTTGCTCATCTTTATATACACATAAATTGGGTTTGATTTTATACCAAGCATGAGCTTTGCAATTCTTGTTAATTATTTAGGTTTAGAAACTGTTCGAATTATAGACTAGTATTATTTGTTTTACGCCAATTGCTCTACTTTAGGACTCTAATTTGCATGATAATTTATTATTGGTAGCCATAGGAATACATATCTACATACATGCATACATACATAGATATCTACAGCTGTATAAATATTCCCATGGTTTGATCCAAGAGAAATAGTTTATTGGTCTCACGTGTATTATGAGGAAAATAATAATAAAACAATTACTTGTGTGAATATTGGAAATCGAGCAGCTTAAAAATAGGGAAAGTGTGGTACACTGTCTCTCTGTCTCGATATGTATTTAATTTTTTTTAAAGAAGTAATGCCCCGTTTACCAAACGGAACAAACCCAAGATGGAAACACAAAAAATAAAAACATCTGTACATGGTCTCAATACGGGATTTATTGTCTCTAATTTACCTTTCACCTTTTATCTTACATGCTGTAAACTTATTAATAATAATAATAATAATGTAACAAGTATATAAAAAAAGTCTCCGTAACCATAGCTTTTGATATATACATCTTGAAAAGTATTGGTTCTTGTAAATACCACCTGTATGGTTTTTCTTTGTTTTTCTTTTTGGTCACCTTTTCCCACAGAAATTTGGACCACGGAAGCTTGGATATAAGTTAAGATCAATAATTATGCGTATAGTGAGATGGTTGCCATGACAAACAGATTCTTTATTCTTATATATATATGCAGTGTTTTGCGTTTGAGAAGATAGAGAATCTTCGGAAATTCAAAATAGAGTTTTTTTTTGCTTGGTCAATAGTATCTTTTAAAACCCAGTTTAAGTTATTGATCATTGGTAGAAGAGATGTTTTGACCTATCAATATATGATTCAATTTACAACAGTAATAGTAATAAAAAAAAGGTAAGTAAATATACCTCTATTACTTTTTTTCTTTTACCAAATCTCGAATTTATATCGGGAGTATGTATGGGCTAATCGTCTATAACAGCGTTAAAATTGTCATTTGATTCAAAGGCTTATAAAGTTGATATGAAGGCCAGTTTATCTATAATTCTTTGGCTTATATGCCTTGAATTCGGCTGGTTTCTTTTCTTGTGTTTCAGAGGAATTTTTGAGCATATACATCCTATAGCACTTAAAAGATAACATTACTCCAAGAATAGTATAAAATAACAGCTTTTTTTTATCTTTCGATCGATTGACTAGTTATTATAAGGTCTCGATGTCAATTGCTTAAGGTGCTCTCGGAATGTTACTACGAAGTAAAAAAAAACTCCTATCGATAGCAAAAAATGTTCAGTTTCTAGAAGTTTAATCCTTTCAAAAAAGGAACAATATCTTAAAATTCCAAAAAAAACATACATGCTAGAGAGCAGGTATAAAATATTTCTAATACCTATATATAGAAGTATATTTTGACTACTATCAGCACTGCCTGTGAGAATAATTTTTATTTTATTGCCCAGTGTTATTTTTTGGGCTTTTGTTCGCTCTATGAACTGGTATCTCTTTTATTCAAAGTAGAATAAAACATGGCACAGTTGGTAAAAACTCATTTTTTTGTTATAATATATTTGTAATTCATTAACAATAAATGCAAAATAAATGACTTTTTATTTGCAATACTTTCAAGCAAGGTTTTATCTTTGGAGTATGGCGTTTTCTACAACATCGATTCATAATTATGTACGCAATACCCATACATGCCATTTTGCACTATGTTCAAATTAGGAACACTTTCTGTTATCGATATGAGTTTTCTTTTACTTCGTAGCAACATTCCGAGAGTATCTTTAGACTTTGTTTTTGAAACAGTGACTTTTTTTTATGATTTTTGGTTCAAGTGTTTTTCTTTTATCTTCAAGATTTATTTCAGGAACTTTTTATATCTCGGCTAATCTTCAATTACTCATCCACTCATACCGAGACGGTGTGGAGTGGTGTTCGGTGATAGGCACCACCTTGCGGAGAAAGGAGCGAAGTAATGTAAGGAGATTGAAGTGAATGTGAAGTAGAAGGAGAGTAGTTGGCAGTAAGAGTATCAGAGAAAGTTTAATAAGGAAAAGAATAAAGCAAACGATTTTTCCATTTCTATGTTTTGACAACCAATTCTTATCCCCACCCACCTAATCATAAATACCATTTGACTCTTCTTTATTAATTAATGTACAGTTCTATTGTTTTGAGAGCTTATCCCCTTAAGGAGCAGTTTATTGTCCCTTGTTATCTATATCTTCAATTGGAATAATAACCTTTGCTAGCTAGTAATCCCAGACGTAAACGCTATATACCTAGAGCAGTCCTTGCTCATGATAAAACTGAAAGCTAATTACTTGTGACTCACTCAAGGTTTTCTCTGTATTGTTTATTGGAAAGTAAATCAATAATAAAGTTTATATATATAGTTAAATGAGAAGAGCTAGGAACGCTTCCGCTTCAACACCTCGAATAGCTAAGGTGACCATTGTGGGAGTACTGTTGGCGTTGAGTGGAATATCCCCAGAAAGTAATCTAAAGTGAGCGGACCAGGTAGCGCTCAGTGTGCAGGAAAGTACAATATGTATGTTAGCAGTTGTGTTGGTGAGATGGAGAGAGATTGGGGGGCAAAGTAGAGTAAGGTGGTCAAATTGTAATATATCAGGGTTAGAGAGAAATCTGTTGGAAATAGCATATCACACTGGTTTTTTTGGCAGGACAATCCCAAAAGAGGTGGCGATCATCCTCGGGGCTGTTGCAAAGTACGCAGTCAGGATTGCCTCACTCAAGTACCCTTGCCTGTCACTATGGCAACCTATTTTCAGTAAAATCTGCGTTATACTGTAGTAGTCTCTAACGCAAAAATTAATGTTATTGCGATACTTTGACAATATAGTGTAACATAAAGGCCACCCAATTATGTTTGTTTGTTTTATACACGTGTTTTTTTTTCTACTCTTCTTCTTTTTCTTTCTTTCTCTGAAAAATCAATGCAGTTGTACTTTTTTTTTCGGACCGTAACTATTGATGATCCAAAACCTGGAATAAGCTTATAAAACATCTAAGATATAAGGAACTTGTGCCTGGATTTTCTGGTAGCATGAATGAATTACCATTCTTCTTTTTAGCTTTAATTATCCTGAACTCATGCGTATTTGATGTCAAGGATCTGGAGTCCAAGGTAACAAATGAAACAGCCACAATTAACCTAAAGACACACGTATATATGTACAGGAGAATGATTTGACTTGTTTGTAGGCTATAACTATTATTTAACACTAAAAGGCTTGATACACACTTGCACTTGATTACTGAACAATACATAAACACCATTTTGTTTTTTTATACTATTATTATTATTCTTATATATATTTTATTTTAGTGGGTTTAGTCAGCATTATTCATGTGTGGGAGTAGAGGAAGATGAAGATGTGGACATGGAAGTTGATGTTGATGGTTGTGCATTTTCAGAGACAGGTAATGTAGCAGACACAGGCATAGGCACAGGTGGAGACATGAGCATGGATATGGGTGTAGAATCTGGTGAGGATCCTGGTGGGCTTTCGTAGGACAGGAGGCCGAGCTCGTACAACCGCTTTCGCACAGTCGCTGGACTAATTGACCTGCCTTTCAAATCGCAGACCTTTTTTGTAATATCGGTCAAAGTCTGTTGGGGGTCTTCGTTCAAAATCTCCCTCAGACAGTCTACGTCATCTTCCTGGATGATTTTTGGTCTGCCTGAGCTTTTGCGGTCGGTTACTGAGCCAGTGTGAAGGTACTTGTTGATGATACGGTTGACTGTCTCTCGAGGCACACCCTCTGCTTCAGAGATATCTGTGATGGTCATGTTGCACTTGAACCTTCCGATAATCATTCCTCTCTCAAACTCGGTCGTCTTTCTGATTTTCCGGATAGGCTTTGGAGGATAGATAACTGGCATAGGCGGTCTTATGTAGTTATATTCCATATTGTTAAAGAAGTAAAAAAGTTATACGGAAAAATAGATATTATATTTGTATTTTCTATCTATATTTTCAAGGAATATATAAAATAAATAAATAAATAGACTGAAAAAAAAAGAATGGGTGAAAGCAGGGAAACAAAGACTGGGTTTACATTATTGAAATTTAAATGTGTTGTTTCTTAAGCTAAAATACGCGCCGACTAAAATACCATGCTTTCGTAAGATCTTCTTTATCCTTTTCTTATTTTTTTCTCACGTAATTTGACAGCCTTATTTTACGTGATATATATATATATGTTTTGTAAAAGACTCTATCTCTCTTTTAATGCCTTTTTCTTTCAAGTAGTATATTGACACCTTTTAAAGCACCAATGTCTATAGTAGATTAGAGTTTGATATAAAAGTTACTTTTGCCAGTCCTTATCATTTTTAACTATAAATGGCAAGAATCTGCAACCCAGAAAATAAAGTAAAAGTTATTTTCTTCATTTTTCTCTGTCTCTCTGTCTCTCTCTCTATTTTTAAAGAATGTGATTTTGATATCCAGATGATTTTGTATTTGGTTTTCTGGAAGTACGCACAAAATAGCTAATAGCCTACCTTATTCTAACCTAGAAACATACACATAATATACATTACATCGTTACATCGTTACATGCTTTTCTTCAAAGTAAACTAGGCAACAAAAAAAAATGGATGGCTTGGAAATTACTTGTTCAAGAAATTATATATATATTGCGGGTAAATAATGTCCCGAAAAAGCCTTGTCCAGACTTCTAGATGCCTACAATATAGATACATTCCATCAACACAATTACCATTCATTAAAGCATTAATTCAATCACATTCTATTTGCTTGTACACAAAAAAACGACTATAATATGTATATATATATATACACGCAGTTTTTATTTGTAATAAAGCTACTCTAATAATCTAACATGGCAAAGTAATTAGCAATAGATGTTGCATTTAGATGCGAGAAATCAACAAGGCATAACATTAATATTAGACTCTAGTCAAATAATCAGATTTGTTAATAAGATAATTAAAACTTTTTTAAGAGAAAAATACAAAGGTAAGCCAGATAGACTGTATTATTTGAAATCAACTGGTCAATTGCATCTATATATTCTTTTCTTTGACGGTAGCAAAAATAAAAATGGCAGGTTTAATAATAATAATAATAATAGTTATAAATCTAGTTGTCATAAATCAAAAGCCTTAGAATGTCTATATACATAGATAAATACACACATTTGACTGAATAAACAAAAACAAAACAAAAAAAGAAGTCTCTTGCTCAATCAGATTTGTGTCTCTGTACTGATTTGATTTGAATACTCCATCTGTGGCTTCAAAGTGTTTCAGGTCTTGTACTATCCTGTCGAAAACTTTACTTTGATTTCACTTATATACATACATACTTTGTAATAAATAGGTAGTGTTTTTATGTATAAATAAATATGAATATTACAAAGGTTGCTTTGAAGCCAAAAAGAAAAACCCCTTGGAACTTATTATTCTGACCAAGTGTGAACAGTAATAAAAAGAAAAAGAAACCCAGTATTGAATTTGTTTGTTCATTTTAGGAATAAAAGGTAGAATAATAAAGATGTCTCATGGTTTAGAGCTTGTTTGTGCTATAAAGAAAAGATGAATATATATATATATATAAAGACTTTCAAAAGGCTTGTATTGTTGCTGTCTAGTATCTACTGAAGAGTTTTGATTGTGAATCAATTTTATTACCAAAAACACTTTGTACATTTTCCTCCTCAATCCTCTTTATGAAATTCTGGAATCATTTGAAAATATATATATGCTTCTATTTTACCCAACATATTAAAAATCTGTCTTGTTAATCTACACACACACAAAGTTAATAGAATCGAAATGGTTGTCTTTAATACTATACTATATAATGTTTACAATGAACTACTACTACCACCACTAGTATTATTTATCCGAGGGGTTAATATATGATATGATATAAATAATTGTTCGCGAGTTTTTTTTTTTTTTGAAGAAAAATATGGAAAAACATTAGAGTTTGCTTAATGAAAACCCAGGATCTTTTGTGCCAGTAAGAGACTCTAACAAGTGTTTGTTCTTTTGCTGCACTATATCGTACCCATTAAGCCACAGTTCCATCTCTTCATGTGTACTGGGTACGATTTTCTTGATCTCCACAGACTGGCTGACCGACACAAAAGAGATATGCATTATTACAGCCGGCTTGTAGTCCGAAGATTCTATACTTCTCTTATCTACTTCAACCCGTACGACAAAATCTCCGCTCAAAGGACTGTTGGAATAGATCACTCGGGCACTTGTTCGAATGTGATCCCCTGTGAGTATCGGTGACAGGAAACTGATATCGTTTATTTTTAGGGTCTCGAATTCGGGAGAGAGAAGAAAGAGAGCTGCCTCGGTAGTCGCAAGCTCAAAGGCGTCTCGCATAATGTATCCTCCAAAAATTGTTCCATTTCCATTCATCTGTTGAGGGGTTGTGGTGGCGTTGTTTTCGATCCGTGTATCCGATATGGACACACCTCCAGATGTGAGTCGATCGTCAATAACTCCCTTGCCAATATCTCGAGTGGATATGCTCCTGAATATGTGGTTGTTGTCGAGGTGGATTTTCTGTCTATCCCGTCTTTTCTTTACAATCTCTCGTCTGGAATCGTGTATTGAGCCTGTCTTGTCAAACAACCACTGTTCATGAAACGTCGTTAATTTCAATTGTACAACAGGAATGGCTTTCTTAGTGAAACTATCGATGTGGATAGAGACTACCGAAAACTCTGCGACTGCATTTGGGTTTGAAACACCAAGGCTTGGTATATTTGACGGATGAAATATTCCAGCGTTATCTGGTATCTGCTCGTCCTTGACTACCTCCAATGTAATAACCCCTGAAAAAAAATAGTTCAATGGTTAGATTAGGATACTAATTTTGTATAATCAATATGCTGTGTATAAACTCTTTTTATTTTTGTTTTACCAATAAGCAGCGAGTCTTTGGTATAAGCAATGTGCCCCGTAAGCTTGTAGTCCTCTATGGTATCTGGAATGTTCATGTATGTTTGTTCCATCCCAACCGTAAAATTGGCGCAGATATCGCTTGGACCCATGCGTTCAATATGTCTAGCCGCAATCGCTCCACCAATATCGTCAATGTCTTTTTCAAAGAGAAATCAAAACATTTGAATTTAGATATAGATATACATAAGCATTAACACGTACCTTCCAATAGCCTTCCGATACGAATTTTTTTATTGAAAGATACATATTCTTCATAACATCTTACTGAAGACTTGAATGGAATGTACTTTACTAAAAAACTATGTGACATCTGCAAAAAAATAGATATTTAAAAAAAACTATTATATTTTGTTGCCAAGGAAATAAAATAATAAAAACAAAATTAAACTATTTACCGTCTGTTCGGCCATAGGTTGTTTTCTGTATTCAATTGCAAACTGTCGAACGGCAGGATCAATTTGGCCATCTTTTCCAGAACGACGTTTAGATGTGTATAAGTAGTTTGGGGTTTTAGCTATAGGAATATCACAAAAAGAAGGAAAGAACAATTCAAAGACACAGACCAGAGGTATTTTATAGTTTAGACACTATATTAATTGGAAATAATATCGGCTGTTTTTGCCTTTTATTATTATTAATATATTCTTACATGGGATATCAATCTTTCTCGGTATGTCTTTTTCTGCCGTATTTTTAACAGTGACATCGTTAGTAGAGCTGCTCTTGGAAAAAACCATTAAAATTAAATGAAGGATTGACTTGAGAAGAATAAGAGGAAGAGGATTAGTACAAGGTTCTAGGTGCCTATACATTTATATATGTAAATAGGTATGTGTTTTGTTTGTATGCATGTATGCATGTATGTATGCATAGATTTGACTCCTGATTTCTATAATATTATCATATGCATAATATATTATGCTATTTTCAAAGAGAAAAAAGAAAGGTTTATTAACTACAGATATAGTATCCAACAATAATCTCATCTTACTATCAAATATGGCTTATATATATATCAAATAATCCATAACTGTCGGAACTCCCTTTAATTTTGGTATACTATTTCTTACAATTACTGTTATGCATTTTTGTGCATAAACTCTGCATATTTTATTGCATACAACGGATATTAGGCGTGAATACTCTTTGCGAATTCTAATATAGGCTTTATTAGTGTATTTTGTATACCATCCAAGAAAGAGATGGAGAGAGAGACAAAAAGTAAATACGCTTATAATTACTACCAGAAACGATTTTACTAACACCCAAGGCAGATGGTAGCCTTTATAAAAATTTGAATAGAACCAATATTATGCTTCATAATAAAGCTTGTACCTTGACTGATCAAATGTATTTATCAAGTATCATTAAATGAATCATATCTAGCTTTCATATTCTCCTTTTTTGTGGCACTTTTAACACACGCACACACAGTAAACGCTCTATATCTTAATAGGATTTTGTTACTTACAGAAACAAATAAAGAAAAGAAACAAATAAACATTCGTTTTGTTAAGGTACTATATACTGTGCTTGTAGGTGTATTGTGCCTCATATCTAGCTAACTAGCTGAAGAATAACAAATAATACAAATAAACAATCTTGAGCATGCTCACAGCTTACAGAAATTGAACCCAATATATCTTATTTCATTGATATACTCTGAAAGATATTCGTTTCTGGTTTGTACGATATCGTGACCTCTCTGCCAAAGTATGCTCTCCTTGCGTGTCTTTGGCAGAACAGTTTTTCTCTGCACAGTCTGATCAGTCGGAACAAAAGTGATATGCATGATAAAGGCTGACTTGAAATCCAGATCCTTGGGACTTCTCGCCTCGACCACAACGCGCGTGACAAAACCTTTATTCAAGGGATCACTTGAATAAATTATTTCTGCTTTTGAACGGACATGATCACCTATCTCTATAGGCAATAAGAATGTAATATCATTTAATTGTGAAGCTCGGAATTCAGAAGAACGCAGGAAGTAGGAGGCCCCTACGCAAGCGAGCTCATAAGAGGCTCGTGCAACATAACCGCCAAACATGACTCCATAGCTATTTCTTTGTTGTGGCGTTGGAACGTAATTACTTTTGACCAATGTATCTGAAATAAACACAAACTCCTGGCTTCCACCATCTGGCACAAAAGATAGCTGTTGGACTCTTGAGCCGACGTTATTGACCAGCTCATTGCCATAGAGACACAGCTGTTCCTGTGCCTTGTTCATATTAATGATCTGCTTCCTGGCAGAGTGAATTGCCTCAAACTGACTATGTATATATTCTTCTTGAGCCGTAACGCATTCTATCTGGCTGACCGGGGATAGCCTTTTCGTCAATTTATCGAAAAAAAGCATGGTGACTGAAAATATTGCCACAGTTCTGGAATTTGATACGCCTATGGGTGGGACTCTTTTTGGGTGTAATATTCTGGTGTCTATCGAAGCATGCTTTCCCCAAAAAGTTTCCAAGCTAACAAAACCTGAGAAAATAAAAAATGTACTATAGGTTTTTTTGTATGATCTCGCAGATAAAATTTTGCTGTGTACAAAATACTTACAAACCATCAAAGCACCCTTTGTGTACGCAACGTGCCCTACAAGTTTGTAATCATCAGCCGAGTTTTGTGTATTTCCATATATCTGCTCGGTTCCAACGGTACAAGGCGTAAATATGTCGCTGGGTCCTAGCCATTCTGTATGCCTTGTAGCAACCACCCCACCGATATCATCGACGTCTGTGTTTGAGTTTCAAGCACCCGAAATTTAGATCAGAAAAAATGTGCAAATATATATATATTGTGTATTTTTGCAGGTTTCGTAAATACCTTCCAGAAGCATTCCATAATTGATACCTCCCTCGGAATTCACGTACTTTGAATTGAATTTTGGAGATGATTCGAGTGGTAGATATTTCTCAACATAACTATGTTGCATCTGAAGCTAATTAAGTACATATGATTTCTGTTTTTTTTTTAGAAAAAATCCTTGTTTAAGCTTACTGTTTTTTTAGATGGAGGCTGTTTCCTATACTCTGTTGAGAATTCGTGGATAGCTTGGGATAATGCAGGGCTTTCATTATGAGGCGTACGTGCTGAATGTACAAAATCAGAATTTTTAGCTAAATATATACACATATGAAGAAATGAATGTTAATAAAATACTACATGGGACTTTATAAAAATAAATGAATATTGAGTAATACTTGGAAGCACAATATGTATCTGTCCATGCTCTACAGGCTGATTATAGCTAATAGACTGAGGTTCTAAAAGCTTGCTAGACGACATTTGTTCAAGTATATCAAATTATTTGGTAAGACTCAATAATAAAAAGTATTGAAAAGAAACCACAAGAAATACGAACACGCACAAATATATATTTCGTCTTTTATTGTGTAACACCATGTATATTTAAGGTTTATATCTAGGATTAATGTTTTTTAATGGACATGCTTTTTCCCTTGTATATATATATATATACGGAGATAACACTAGAATAGTTATATAATATAGCTGATAATACATATAAAGTCTCAATAGAGAAAAAAACAAAAGACTAAATTTTCATATATCGTATCCAGACATTATATTATACTATATTTTTGTTTTGTTTTGGTTTTGGTTTGATAACGGTATGTGTTGCCATGACAAAAAGTTTATTGGAAGACTTGCACAGATCTGTAAAATATGTGACACTAGAGCAAAACATCTTGCCAGCCAAAAAATCTAAAATGATATCTTTTGTTTTGTTTTTGAGTTTTGAAGCAGCATTATAAAAAACATTAAATAGAAATAGAAATAAAAATAGAACTATCAAAGAGTTTTAATCATAAAAATATATTGTTCTCAGAAGGAAACATCAAGTAAAGCATAAAATAGGATAAAAAAGAGGGGTTATATTGTCAATGTTTTGAATCTCTCTCTCCCTCTCTCTTTACGCCAGACCTTCAGATTTTTATATATATTGATCTGATATTTGAGGGACACCCTATTTTCATTCATGATCGGCCTTTGAGTTAAAGAAAATATTGTGTATAAGGTAATTAGAGCTTATATTTGAGTAGCTCAAATAAATAAATTAATCAAAATATCTTTTTTATTATGAAACAATGTAGTCTGAAGGTTAATTGATAGTAAGTTCTATTTTATCTTACTTAATTCCATATATTCACAATTATACTGTATGTATATGTGTTTTCATTGACCTACTCGATCATTATATCATACATATAAAAAAAAGCAGAATATATGTTTTGCAGGATTTTTATTTCAATCATAATAAAGTGTAGATATTATATTGACTTTCTTATCATCCCAGTTTGCTCACCAATTTATTAGAATCATATTTGTTTCCATAGCAATTCATTATCAGCCATAGTATGAACTATATCATTTCTAAGAAGAGAGAAACAAAGGAGGATAAAAATAAAATCTTTGAATAGTTTGTTTAGAAGTGTGACAAAAAGAGGATTCGACTAATGATATTCTTCCTTTGTGGGCTGCAGAAAACCCAATTCCAAAAACCAAATCCGAAAATCCGGTATTTCTTTTTGTATTTACCTCTAAAGTATCAAAGGGGGTTTTTTTTGGTATAATAATAAAAAGTGCAATTCAATTCAAATTAAACTGAACTCGCAGCTTAAGATTTAATGATTAATGTGAAATAAAGAATTATACAAAGTATTAAATGTATATATTATTGTGTGCATATTATGCTATTAAATTAGTTTTTTACAACGATAGTTCCAGTCTGGAAAGTCTCCCAGTCTTTGGAGTTCTTGGGGTTACCAAAGAGCTTAAGAGCTCTCAAGTTGAGGATGTAGTTTCCGGAAGGAACAGGGATTCCAGAGGAGATATCAGAGAAGCCTGTAGGAACGTAGGTGGCATCCCAGACCGCACCAGAGATGTAGTTGTCTGCCTCAAAGGTGTTACGAGAAAGATAGACATAGTCAGTAAAAGTCTTTCCGATCGACTTCTTGGTCTTGGCATTCAAGACGTCAACATCAAATTTGGCAGTAGGGGTGAGGAGGCGGTATACAATTGTGGGGGCAGTGGAAGACTTGGTGCGATCGTAGGTGTATGTCTCGTTCTTGAGATAAACTGGGCCACCAGTGGGGTCAGAAAGGTAAGGAGTTTCGGCATCAAAGATAGGAAGTTCAATTTGCTTGCCAACAACACCAAAGTAAGGAACAGTGGCATCAATAGCAGCCTTTTGGTTGCCAGACTTGAAGTGAATGAAACCACCATACATGATGTGGTCCTTGGGGTCAGTATTGGGAGGAACAACGGTGACGCGGATAGTCTTCTTCTCGCCAGCGTTGAGAGTAATGGATGTCTTGGAGAAAACGAGCTTTGCCTTGGCACTAGAAAAGCCGGTAGGAGCGAGGGGAGCGTAGCCTTGGGCGGCACGATCGTAAGGAGCAACAGCAATGGAAGGCTCATTAATAATCTTGAAGGTAGTGCGAACCTTTCCAGAGTTGTAGATGCTCAAAGTTTGGGTCTTGTATTTGGTAGAGGAGGTATCGTTAAAGCTGAGTTGAGTAGGAGAAATACGGACTTTGGCAGAAATGGCATCGTAGACCTGGACAAGACCGGCACCCTGAAGAAGAGGGTTCTCGGTGGAAGTCTTGACCTGGGTGTTGGCAAGCTGAAGAGCGTAGTTCTTGAATTGCTCGGATATAACCTGATTCTTCTTCTTGAGACCTCTAGCTTCAATGAACAAAGCAACGGAACCAGAAACGTAGGGTGCAGCCATGGATGTTCCAGACATCATACCCCAGCTACCGAGGAAGCGAGGAAGAGTAGAGAAAACCTGACCACCAATACCAGCAACATTAGGCTTAAGGTCGAGCTCATAAGAAGCACCAACGCTAGAGAAATCAGAGACTGTATTTCCACTAATCAAAGGGTACAGAGATTGGGCAGTGTCAAACTTCAATGTTGTAGTTCCGGCCTTAATGGCATCCAAAAGGGCGAGACCATCAGCAGTCGAGATACCAGCGACGGGAATAGGAGAAGTGGGGTTGGAGGGAGTGAAAGAATCACCATTAGCGCTGTTGTAAACAATAAGACCAATGGCGCCAGCCTTGGCGACGTTGGTAGCTTTGTCGTCGAAGGTGCAGGAACCACGTTGAACGATAGCAATCTTTCCGGTGAGATCAGGAATAGTAGCAGTAGAGCAAGCATCACTACCACTCCCGACATTCTTGTCACCGGCAGCAATTGTACCATCGGGGATCTTGGAAGACGAGGAGGTCAAGTAGGCTAAGTAGAGGCAAACAAACAAATAAATAAACTAAATACAACTTGTTACTTTGTGCAAATTTGCTAAACTTACGGATCTTATCAGCGATAGTGCTGGCTTTGAATAAGTCAACCAGGTAGTAGTTGTTATCAACAGAAGCAACAGACCAGACATCCTTAGCAGTACTGGGCATACCAACAGTAAAGGCTCCATCTGCACCAGAATTACTGGCAGAAACGATAACTAAAATTAAACAAAATTAAATTAAATTAAAAAGTGGCTCAGGTTAGCAAAATAATCTAATGTAATACATATTTCTTTTTAATTTAAATTACGGCTTTTGTCTTACATGGAATTCCATCTTCAGCAATACGTTGGGCAACAATGGTATCAGGACCATCAGTCCAAGCGCTTGCCTCACCAATGGATACAGAAATCACATCCATGCCAGCATCATAGGCCATCAAGAAAGCCTTGACAAGGACATCACCGCCAGTGCTTCCAGTGCAGCCGAATACACGCCACATACCAAGGGTAGCTTGAGGAGCAACACCAGTGAAATTCTAGGATATTCAATTAGTTACAGCCTTTCTTTTTATATTGTTGTTTAGTTTTGTCTAAGGAGTACTCACTGTTTGGGCATCGTAACCAGCAATAATACCGCTAACGTGAGTTCCATGACCTGTTTTTATTTCAATTGTGTTAGTATTAGGTGTTAAAAGGCTAGCTAAGAAGAAATGAACGTACCACTTGCACCAGACTCAGCTGTGCAGCTGTCAATAGGATCAGAGTCAGGAACAGGAGTGTTGTAACCAGTGTAGGCGTTGCCAACAAGATCGTATCCGTATTGGACCTTAAAACCCTCTCCGAAACCTCCTCCAAGAGCAGGGTGAAGATAATCGACACCTAATTATGCAACATCATAACATTGTTGTGAATAAAAAAAATCCTCCTTTTATAAAAGTATATATATATATATTAGGAAAGAAAAAACTTACCAGTATCAACGACACCAACCTTGACGCCTTTACCAAACTTCTTGAGTTCAGAATGAACACGGTCGACTTGAGTCATTGCGTGGGGAAGGATAGATGGGGCCTTTGTACTAGCGGGAACCGATTTGAAGGTAACATCGGGACGCTTAATGAGATTGACAGGATAGACTGCCTTGACGGTATTCTGATCAAGAACAGACTTGAGAGCAGCGTTGTGGTCCTCTTCATCAAGACCTTCGAGGCCAAACGAAATACCGCTGAAGATCTTGTGCTCAAACTGCTCGGCGACATGGACCTTAGCCTTCTTATACTTGCTTTTAACAGAGTTAACAAAGGTGGTGGCAGATTGAGAATCTCCGTAATTGAATTCTACAACGTAGCGGTTGGGGATGACTTCCTTGGTGGATGGCTTGTACTTGGAATGAGAAACTGCTTCTGAGGGAGCGATTAAGATGAGAACAGCAAGGCAGACACCTGCTGTGAAAAGGGGAAGGACAGAGAAGGATCGTCGCTTCATGATGGAAGGGGTGAAAAGGAAAGGAAGTGTTTGAGAGAACTGATGAGCAAGGACTTGGGCCTTAAATCTCTTTTATAGCTTTCTCACAAGCCCATGTTTACATACTACTGTCTAGACTTGCACAATAATTACGTTGGTGAATAAACATACCATTTAATATCCATTTTAGACAACTTGTCAATGCGTGCGTGTATTGAGGTTGCACAGACGAGCACTAGGCTGTTAGTGATAGACAGTTATCCAGGAAGGCGCGTGTAAAAACGCTTTATCTGGGAAACTACCAAATTTGATTTGGGAAAGAAGTCCTAAGTATAGAGATCTCACCTTGTCGCTGTAGCTTGCACAACACTGCGTAGGATTTAACAAATATTGGAATTGAATGGCCGTGAACTTCACAATTTTATAATCGTAATTGTACTTCCGCCCAAATTAGTAAGTTTTCACTCGACTTGGAAACATGTGTCGTTTTATTCTACTCTTCGTGTACTTTTGAAGAATATGCCCGGAGAATTACAGGTATTGAGTTAACTAGATTGATCATTGGAATATGTTATATCTATGCATACTCTCCGATCAAGGGACTCAATGAGAACCCAAGTTTTCAACAACAGCAACAACAAAGGTCCAAAACTTGTAGATAAATGAATTACATTGTGCCTTTTAAAAAGTCGTAATGGGTATAAATGATTCACGTACTCAAAAACCGTTCTATGATAGCCAAGTACTTTAAAGGTACATAAGATCAAAGTAACTGTATACTATTTGCCATATCTTAGAACAATAACGCAATGTATACTTGTGCAAAAAGACAAAAGCAGGTCCAAAGGCAACGCACAAAGCATTTTGTTTTTTGCAATATCAAATGTACTGTGTCTCCAATACATAGTTTCACTTTTGTCGTGTCCGAATTACATGTAACACTCAAAATACGATTTGTAATGAACTCAATGCATACATATACTATGTAATCTATAGTTTATCCACACTAATAAAGGCTCTAATGAAGGGACCTCACCTCCTGCTTAATTCTTTTATTTTTATTTATCTTTCTGTAGTCCAAGGTCAAAAATGATTAGTTAAAATAAGAAATCAGAAATATATATATATAATTATATAGTTATATAAACTAAAAAGGAAGCGCAGTAACTTTTTATTCTTAAAAAAATCAACTCTTATTGGTTAATAATTAATTCCTAGAAAAGTAAAATAAAATATTAAAAAGAAAACATCAATGTACATTTTCAAGCTTGTCTTAGCCTATCATTCTGCTGTCTCTGGTAAAAATCCCATCTGATAAGGCTATTAGACTTGAAAAAGGTACCGGATCTAAGGCATGCATTTATTAAACACTCTAAAGAGGATTTGAGGAAACCCAATATTAACAGCTGCCTAAGAAATCCAGGAGAGTTGTCCTTTTCATCTTTACCGATACGCATATCTTTTAGGAAGTATAACAAAAACCCTGCACTTCTTGCTGATGATACTCTGTCATATCTTGAACGATTTGTTAAAGGTTGGAATTAATTTGGTAGGCTCATAGGATGGGTGAGATGAGATGAGATGCGGTGCGGTGTGGTGTGGCTGTGAAATTAGATCGGTACTTGACGTACCTGTATTTGATGGGCCGCCTTTATGGACCATAAAATAAACCTCCCCCTTCACTCCCGTTTTGGATATTTGTGTGAACAAGTTATATTTGACGATATGTATAATGATTATTCTTCTTCTCATATCGGCTCTGATAATAATCAAATAATATACAAAAAATTGGCAAGACCATCAAATAGAAGCTTATTACTTTTTATAATAGACATGTCAAAGATGTTTCATTTTGATAAATTTAATCGGACAAAAGAAGTATCAATGTTACTATTAATTTTCTTCATTCTGCCTACCTCTATGCTGAACTGGCATGTTGAACAGCAAGCTCAAGATAAACTTTTTAAGCCCTGAGTTCGTTTTTGCTGTAATAAAATGTTTATTTCTGCTACCATAAGCACCTTATTTTTTTTGTACCAGTTTTTATATCTACTAGAAAACATGAAGCCGTTGTAAACAAGCACGTAATAGAACAAGTTGCCAGCAAACACCAATTGCTTAAGCCATTAACATTTATACTTTGAATATACCCAGGTATAAAAGAGAGATCTACTACTAGAAATGGAAATGAGTATTTTAGTATGCAATTGCTTAATTGTGAAGCTTGTACTCATCGATTCTGAGCAGCACAAACAATCGATTTTCTTTTCAAAGGCTTTTAATACTCTCTTATGGTACTAAACCTTCTTTCTTCAATTTACTAGAAAGAATGGGCACCTCCTAAAGCCTATTAGCGAGATGCGATCGTTATTCAAGATTTTTGTGTAAATTAGTGCTGGAGGTACTGTAACAACAAAAAAAACACTAAATATGGAATGATCTACGCTACACTCAAGTAACACAGACAAATCTTGTATCCATTGCACAGAAAATAAAATATACATATCGATGATAATTAAATTACCATAATAAACTAGCTATCAACTTACCAAAGGGTATTGTGTGAAAAAATTAAAAACAAGAATTCTTTCAAGACCTAGGCATTAAAGAAGGAACTATATGTTTGAGAACTGGAATATCCCTATACAAAATGTATACGTTAGACCAGGTTAAATGGCCTCTCTGATTTATATCCATCTTTTCTTTCTTTCTTTCTACTTTAGGTAATTTCCATAGCATACAGCAAAGCAATTATTAATAAAATTAACTTGGGAAAGGTGTTTGAATATAAGGTTGTTCCTCATGGTTTATATCAATATTTGCGCAAGTAGACCCAGAGACTTTAAATGTATTACCTACCTTATAACCCATTTATTGAATAATTATCTCCTTTCACAGAAGGCTTTTGTAAACATATTACATACCTATATAAATAACTTAAAAGTAAGAAAGTCAGTATACGTTATCTCAGGGACTATATGATTTCGAACAGTACGAGTCTTCAAGAAGTAATATATCACAAGCAAAAATATTCTAGTGTCTCCATAAATGGATTGAGACCTATAAGCGGAGATATATATTTTATAGATCTACACCCAAGTATAACATACTACAGGTAGAATTTTCCTTTGCTCTTCTTCTTTCTCTCAGTAATATTATCTATGGTGTTTTCTCACCGATACTTTCTTCTTCGTCTTTTGTACTTAAAGGTGCTAAAAACAAGAGCAGAAATTATAAAGAAAACACTACTTTAAATAAGAATAATATTAAATCAAGCTATTTATTTTTGGGATCATTTCCTAAACTCTGTTTGAGTTATTGGCCACCAAAAATTTCTATAATTGTAAATACATTTCCTAAAGAGTTGCCTTTAATTCATCCTCACTTTTCATGTACTTTTGACTCATCCATAAGTCTTGAATTATTTAAGTCCAAAAAGATTTAAGAGGATCAAAGTTTAGGTTATTTAAATAATATATATATATAAAACATTTGCCAAGATTATATGCCTCAATAATGTGATTAAAGAAATCCAAATTCCAAGCTCTATTGATTTACGATGTTGAATATCAATTGACATGAATGTTTTCCTGTAAATAGAGTATACTAATGATGCCTAGATGTATATAGTAGTCTTTTATTTTATCCTTATGCTATGTTATGGCTTAACGGCATCGTCTTCTATATAGACCCTTGCTCCATCTTAAATAGTACTCTTTGGAAATTCGAGGTGCTGTAAGAAGCGCTGAATGTTTAACTTTTCTCTCCCATTGAGCTATAAAATAGCCCATAATAACCGCATCAAACTTCTGTCTGTTTGGACTCCTGTTTAAAGAGGGCGTTGAAGCAGTTATTTGCGTTTTCTTTTTATTTAAACGAACGAGTTAAATAGGCTTATAATTATGCGCTTTAACTATTTTCTAATAATGACTGGTATTCCTTAAATTTGTTGTTAAAATATAAGCTCGTATCAGTAGCAATTATATTTTCTATATTCTGACCATTCAAGAGTACAGCCTCTTTAAATATCTTATACCAGTTTATTTGGTTTCCTTTGGTATTATATTTCTAAAAAGTATAACGGCAATAAAAAAGATAAATATTTTGAGATAGCAAGGCATATGTTCGTTAAAGAAAAGGATACTATGTAGGTTTTCCACGCTCGTATTCCATTTGGAGCGTGGATTTGCGCATAGATACAAAATGCCTTTCGCACACTTTGACCGGAATATTTTTCTGCTTCTTAATGAATAGCTGTATCCAGTCCTTTTCAACCTTTCTTTTAGTCAGTGGTCTTACTCTCCACATGTGCTTAAAATATAACTCATATATATATTAATCAAGTATCTTCTCAATTGTTTTCAAAGTACCTAGCTTTTTTGTCTATACTTACAGCCCCAAGCCATAATTGAACCTTTATTAATGTACATATCTTGGTTTTATGCAGCATTTTTTCTGTATCATTTTAGAGGTGTCACCATACTATTTTATTTCTATGTTTGGGTAAATATATAAACCTCGACTCATCACTCAAAATGATATGATCCCACCTTTGAGTAGCACCCCTAAAATGATAGACAAAGGACAATTATATTTTTTTTCTGTACGCTTCTGATGGTAGTGGTTTGTACTCAGTATGACAGAAAAATGTTCTTATTCAGCAAATACTTGTAATCTGGCAAATGATTGAATTTGTAATAAAATTTCCTAATTTATTTGTGATAAAAAGCTGTAAGACCTTCAAGTACTACACTACAATCTCTCTTCAGTTTATGACACATTGCATTGATTTCTTTTTGTTCGTTCATTCATTCATTCATTCATTCATTCATTATTATTATTACTACTACTACAGTGACCATTCTTCTTTACTTCCCCGGAAAATTAATGACAATATATACTTTATCTTTTTATTGTATTATATTTCATTTTGTAGAGATATACTATTTTTTATTTAAAAATTAGCAGGTGATTTATTTACAGGATTGTCACTATCGGTTCTCTGTGATAATAGCAAAGTTCTTTATATTTTCCAAAAGTTTTTCTGTTCATGTAATGAAATATACACTATTGTGAAAAAGAAGAGAGAGATAGAGAGAGAGACTTTAGTAAGAGACTTTTGCAAGTTCCTCTAAAGAATTTTGGATTCCTACAACGAGAATAGTTTATAAGGGTATTAATAATAGAGAAATAAAGGTTAATTGTAATATTATGCTAGGAAAACATGGAAGGTTCCATTTGATGTTTGAGAGCGGCTTTATGGAGACAGTGATTAGGAGCTTGCAGAAAGATGGGCATTGATGTGGCAGAAGATGAGCTCATGCCTCAGTCTTGCTTTTTTTTTATCGTTTGGTAGTAGACATTGTGACATTAAATTACTGAAAAAAAAAACACCACAAAAAAAAGCTTGATTAATCTACCCATATAGGCCAAAGTACATTTTGTGGGCCAAATATCCAAGGAAGGTGTATTCGCCAAGTGCGAAGGTTTCTGTGTATGTTTTTGTGTGTGCAGTAATTATATGCACTTTTGAAACCAAATCTTATAGTTATCCAAGGAGCTCCGGAATTTACCCGATTGCTTGTATTTATGTATTTTTTTAAGGACTCGGGTTTGGGTAGTTCCGTTAATCGGTTTCGGATCCTTAAAGGACTATAGATAGAAAATTAGCTTGGTCAGCACTTTCATTATGACAATTGATAGGAGTAGTATACCAAAAGATTGCGCGGATTTATATACTGTATATCAATCAAGGAAGTACTTTAAAGAGCAAAAGATAAAAGTTTGGAAATACTAGACTTCTTGTTCTTTAATGGTACTGACTTTTATAGATTTTATTTGCATCATATGTGACTCGGATACATAATAATTTAGTATTTAATTAACCAGATAAATATATTGATAAATGAATATAAAGGAAATTGTGTTTAAAGATGTTGACCCATTTGATTATTTGATTATTATACAATTAAAGCCGCAAATGGACCGAGATATCTCATCTAATATCAACAAATTAGTTCTTTACAACAACAGGACCAGTCTGAAAAGTCTCCCAGTCCTTGGGATCTTTAGGATTACCGAGGAGCTTGAGGGCTCTCAGGTTGAGGATATAAGTTCCTGAAGGTACAGGAATTTTGGCTGGAATACCAGAGAAAGTGTTAAATACATATGTGGTATCCCAGGTAACCTTGGAGCTATATCCATCTTCAAATAAGCTGTTGCGAGCAAGGTAAACAGAATCAGTCATGGTTTTTCTAATTGACTTTTTGGTCTTGGCATTCAAGACGTCAACATCAAACTTGGCTGTAGGAGTCAGAAGGCGGTAGACAATGTTTGGGATGGTCTTGCAATTACTGCGGTCATAGATATATGTTTGGCTTTTGGAGTAAACTTTTGTACCATTGGTGTCAGAGAGATATGGATATTTGGCATCAAAAAGAGAAAGTTCACGCTGCTTGCCAACGACACCAAAGTAAGGAACAGTAGCATCAAGAGCAGACTTGCGGTTGCTAGACTTAAAATGAATGTAACCACCACACATTATGTGATCCTTGGGGTTAGTCTTGGGAGGAACAACAGTGATACGAACAATAGTCTTTTGGCCAGCGCTGAGAGTGACAGATGTCTTGAAAATATAATCTTGGTCTTGGCATTTGAGTACCCAGTAGGACTAGTCGTTGTATATCATTGGGCTGAACGGTTGTAAGGAGCAACGGCGACTGAAGGCTCGTTAATGACCTTGAAAACAACACGAGCCTTGCCAGTATTGTGTACAGTCAAAGTTTGTGTCTTGTACTTGGCAAATGAGGAAGTGTCGTTGAAACTAATCTGGGTGGGAGAAACATTGACTTTACCAGAAATAGCATCGTAGACCTGAACCAAACCAGCTCCCTGAAGAAGAGGACTTTCAATTTCATTCTTACCCTTGGTGTGGGTAAGCTTGAGGGCGTAGTTTTTTAATTGCTGGGAAATTACTAAGTTCTTCTTCTTGAGACCTCTGGCTTCAATCAAGAGAGCAACAGAACCAGAAACATAAGGAGCAGCCATTGAAGTACTGGACATAAAACCCCAGCTTTGAAAATTACGGGGAAGAGTAGAGTATATTCCACCACCAACGCGAGCAAGGCTGGGCTTAAGATCAAGCTCATAAGAAGCACCAATACTGGAGAAACCAGAAATATGGCCTCCGTTTTTTGTGGGAATTATAGTTGGAGCGAGATCAAATTTCAAAGTCTCGGCACCAGACTTGATGCCGTCCAAAAGAGTAAGACCGTCAGCAGCCGAGATACCAATAGCTGGAATGGTAGCCTTGGGATTGATGGGAGTGAATACACTGCCAGATTTGTCATAAATAATCAAACCAATTGCACCAGCTTTGGCAACGTTGGCAGCCTTATCGTCAAAGTTACAGCCACCGCGCTGAGTAATAGCAAGCTTGACCTTAAGGTCAGGGGTAGTTGAAGCATCACAAGCATCCTTATCACTGCCAATATTCTTATCACCAGAAACAACGATTCCATTGGGGATTTGAGATGTCGAAGAGTTCATGTATTCTACACATACATGCATGCACACAAAAAAATACGAGAGAATGAATATATGGATCCTGCTTATATATATATATATATATGTAGATTGTCTAGCATTGTTAAATATACCCATTTTTTTGGATGCGGAACAGGCCTTGAAGGTTTTAATCATATTATTGTCGTTTTCAACGGATGCAATTGACCAGACATCTTTAGCGGTACTGGGCATACCAACAGTAAATACATCACTGCTGTCAGAGTTACCAGCAGAAACAATGACTAAGATTAACAGAGTTTAATGAGTTTGCTTGAGATTCTAACAAGCAAAAATAAATAAATAATCTAAGCCAGACTAGACTAGGCTAGGCTCTTGTCTCTTCTTTGCTGTTTAGTTTGAACAATTTTTACAGTTATCTTACATGGAATTCCCTTTTCGGCAATCGGCTGAGCGACAATTGTATCAGAACCACTGCTCCAAGCGTTGTCCTCGCCAATAGATACAGACATAACATCCATTCCAGCATCGTATGCCATCAAGTAAGCTTTGGTGAGAACATCACTTCCAGTGAATCCGTCACAGCCAAACACACGTCACATGCCAAGAGTAGCTTGAGGTGCAACACCAGTAAAGTTCTGTATTTTTCCCAAAGATAATATTTAATTCAATAAAATAAATAAATAAAGGAATAAAGAAAAACTTGGATTTAAAGATTTTCTTCTTTTTTTTTTTATTTAGTAAGGCGCATAAAGATAACTCACGGTTTGGCAGCATAACCGGCAATGATTCCACTGGCATGGGTTCCATGTCCTAAGAATAATGATAAAAAATCATTTATTTTTGAATTTTATTGTATTAGTTTCAACTTTTTGAAGAGCAAGAACAATGCATATATATATATATGTATACCGTACCACCAGACTCAGTATCAGCTGGACAGTTGTCGAGAGGGTCAGAGTCAGGAGCAGGAGAGTTTTCGCCAGTGTAGGCACTACCAACGAGATCATACCCGTACTGAACCTTGAAACCCTTGCCAAAGCCTCCTCCAAGAGCAGGATGAAAATAATCGACGCCTAATTATCCAATGATGTATATTATTATCGTTAGTAGTAGTAGTAGTAGTAGTAAACCACTGGTAAAATAGACTCTTTTTTTCTTCATATTATATAAGAAAAGTTACCAAAATCAATGACACCAACTTTGATGTCCTTGCCAAATTTCTTGAGTTCAGAATGAACATGGTCCGCTTGGGTCATTGCGTGGGGTAAGATAGAGGCCTCTTTTCCCTTGGACGAAGCTTTCTCGACTGTAACTTTGGGACGCCTGACTACTCTAACAGGATAGACTGCCTTGACATGACTGTAATCAAGAACGGTCTTGAGAGCAGTATTATGTTCTATTTCGTCGAGATCGTTCAGACCAAAAGAAAAACCGTTGAAGATATTGTGCTCATATTGCTCGGCAATATGGGTCTTGGCCTTTTTGAACTTGCTTTGGACTGAGTGGACAAAGCTGTTGGCAGATTTTGAATCCCCGTAATCGAACTCTACAACGTAGCGGCTGGGAACAACATCCTTACCGGATACTTTGTATTTAGTATGCGAGATGGCTTCTGAAGGAGCAACTATGACAAGGACTACAAGACAGACACCTGCTACAAAAAGGGGAAGGACAGAGAAGGATCTTCGCTTCATGATTGAATTGAAGATAATAGGGAAGGAGAATGAAAGGAAGTGTGTATATTGTTTTTGTTTTTTTTTTGCTTAGAGAACTGATGTGTAGATATTAGTTTGTCAAGTCTCTTTTATAGATTTTCTTTTTAAAAAAAACCAAAATAGCTTGTAAGCTTGTGGATATGTATTGCCATGTGTACCTGTTAACTATTACATTTTGTGTAATATTGCTTGTCCTGTTTTTTCTTGACAGATATTTTTAACAACATGTCAATGTAAATGCTTGATTAATGTGACACGCGCAAATGTTAAGAAAAAGGTTAAAATTGACACATAATTAACCCAGGATAAGCGCCAGTAAGTCCCTTTTCAAGAAGAATTACCAAATTGTGATTTACTTACTTGATTTAAACAAACAAAAAAAGAACAAGTTTATTGGACAGTGTAGCTTACACATGATTTCATTTAAATTATTTAGGGAAATATTTGAAGTGCAATGACATTGACTCTTTCTGAAGAGAATAAGAAACTCTTTACATCGATAATTTTTATTTGGTCTATATAAGTAAGTTCTGACTGTACTTGGTAACAAATGACGTCTTTTTTTTTGTGTATTGGCTACATTTTTGAATGAATAGGCTTCGGATAATGACGGCGATCTGGCAGACCACATTGATCTGTCTATCTTTCATTACCATACTTATATATCTACTTATACATTCATATTAATCATAATGATTATGTATTACAAATTGTGAAGTGTGATCTATTTTATAGATTAATTGAACCTGAACAATAGCAAATTATCGAAAAAAAATTTCAAAGAGTATATATATATATATAAATGTGAGAGTGTAGGAGGACTTTTTTTAGCAATTTGATGAGAAATATGTACAAGTCTACAATTCCTTTAATGTTATAATTATTGAGACCAATGTAGTGATTGGCCTTCGGTTTAAATAAATACATCTTCTTTAACAAAAAAGGCTTAATCAATCATATTTAATAATATTTCGGTTCCTGGGTTTTACCTTTAAAGAAGAAGATAAAATGTATTAAGAGCATCTTCAGCAGTGAGATAACTTTTAATTTATCTAAAGTTAAACACCGCTACTTTAGCTAAAGAAAAGATCAAGTTTTCCAGCAGTTCGATTTATCTTTTTCTTTAAATAGATTTTGAGAGCATTCTCATCAATAAATTTTATCTTCTTATCAAATTTAATAGGAAGATAAAGAAAAGGAACGGTCTTTTATATTTATAGTGAATTTAATCGAACTGCTGGGAGGACAAACTTGAGCTAAATCTTTAAATTTAATGTAAAAGTGGAGATAAAGTGGACTGCTGAAGATGCTCTAATACAGTCCTTTCAAAAAAAAGTAAAGTCGCTGATTTTGAATTTGATGTCGTGCAAAAATTTCTCGTGTCCAATAATGATGTCGGCCGATCCAAAAAATAAAATCGTGTTCATATGTCATTGCACTTGGCTGCACACTGAGCACCATCTGGTCCGCTCACTTTAGATTAGTTTTTGAGGATATTCCACTCAACGCCAACAGTACTGCCGCAATGGCCACCCTAGCTATTTGACGTGTTGAAGCGGAAGCGTCACTAGATCATCTCATTTAAGCTCTTAGATGATGTATTTAATAAAACGTACTTTGAATATCTAAATATATTTTTATATGCCAGAATAAAGTGAATAAGTGACTTATGCTATCACTTGAATATATATAAATATAATTGGAATTTCTGTTAATAAGTTTTTGAGGTTACAGAATATAAAAGCCACATAAAAGAGATATGGAATGGAAGTTCCCAAGTTACCAAAAAAGAAGAAGAAAGAAGAAAAGAATCAAAAGCTACCAATTGGTGTGAACAGACTAGAAAAATCAAGTAGAGCTGAAACAAAGATCAAAAAAATAAATATAAATTAAACAAGTCTGATTTGCTAAAATTATATTTATCATTGTTCAATTTTAGTATTGAACTTTCTAGTATGTCCACCCCATTTGTTTTGAAAGTTCAAAATCTTGAACTTCTTTTTGAAAGCCCTGGTATAATAATACGGTTTAATTATTTGATCTCTGCCTGAACGTTCACGTCTGTCCATACCGACTATAAAAAAAACAACAACAAAAGATTGATTTTTTTTTTAGAAATAAGATCGGTGGACAAGTTTGTTTCCATAGTGATATTCAACTCAAATACAGAGATCTCCTGTAGTACACACTATATATTCTACATCTTCCCCTAATTCACACATTACAATCGATCAACACTTGTGTACATTAGAGTATTTCGAACTTTGTCTAGATTCTGTGTGTCTATCCACAAAAGATGACTGGCATTGAGTTTATTTCTCATATCACCCCTCCCTTTGTTTTAAAGAGACTTCTTTTGTTCATCAAACAAGGGCTATATAAGATACTTGATAAATCCAAGACCAGGTCTTGATTACAGTTTACCACACAATTTTTACTTTATTTATTTTTTGGCTTTAAAAATAATATGATCTTTCTACTGTACCTTGAAATAATAATAATATATATACATATATATCTTTATTCATTCCCATATTTCTTTATATATCTTTTGTTGCTATTGATTGTGATGTATATATTTGGAGGTTTAATGTATAGATATTGAATTGTATAAAGAAAATATGCACCAGCTTGTAGTATATGATTATTGAAGAACAAAAAAAAACAATGGTAGTAATGATGTACATTTTGTTGGTTTTCTTTGTTTCTCTGTCTCACACGATTTATCGATCTAACCTATCTATTACTGGAGTCATTATGGATCCTTGACGGACTAAACCAACCGCACCCCCTCCTACTCCTTGTCCTCCTGTCTTCCCCTTTATAATTTATTTATATACTTATATTGTTACTTATTACTTATTACTTGAGTTGTGGCGGGCAGAATTGTTATGATAGTACATCGATCTCTTGAAATTTTCTTTCTTTATTTTTTATTTTTCTTGCAAAAAATAAAGAAATATATAGCCTCTTTATATATTTATATTGGTCATTGACGTGGAATTTACACTGCAACTCTGCATAGACTGCATTTTCGAAATTATTATTTCTGTAAAGATGATAGACGATAATGATCACCATTACTATTCTTAAATCATCAAATCATCAAATTGAATATTTGGATTTGAGACCATGAGAAATTGGACTATTAAAAAAATTAGTTTTCATTAGAACTCGTTTATTGCGGTTTACAAACAAAACAAAACAAAACAAAAAAATTACAAATATATATATACAATGATACAAAATCAGCCTTGAGAAAATTGATATCAATAAGCACTTGTCTCTCTTATCATTATTCTTCGTTGCTTTACTTATTTCTTACAAGATTCAAGGCATGAAAATCACAGAGCTGATTAGATACCAAAACAAAACTACAAAGATAAAAGTATATGACCATTTATCTTTCTTCTTCTTATTCCCTTTTACTTTTACTTTAGTATCTCCTTCAAACCCCCTCTTCCATTCTTTCTTTCTTTCCTTCTCCTTGGTATTCTTTCTTTTTTTTGGTTTATTTCAGGTACGAAAATTCCTTCTAAAGGGACGAAATTTATTTAGTTATTTTTACATGTACATATGTGTGTTTAATGAATAAAAATATGTAACTAATGCTTATAACTGTATTATGCTAAATTGAATTGAATGTTTATATTACGGCTAATACAGTTATAAGAAATACCAATAAGATAATACATATATGTTGTACAGCTTATAAGGTCATCATCTTAACAAAGATTGTAAAGCCAACCCAAATCCCAAATTAATTTCAATTGATGTGTAGTATGTGATGAGGGGTGGTGGTAATAATGGGGATTGTGATGGTGTGTTTGTAGTACCTTTTTTTCTCTTTGGTAAATGTGTCATACTGGACCTAGTTTCTGTAATGAATTTTTTTTTATACAGTGAGAACGGTAAACTTTGTCACTTTGAGAAAATTGAATGTCACTTTCCAAAAAAATAAATATCACTTTCCAAAAATGATTGTCCCTTTATGTCAAGAAGTTTTGTCTCTTTGAAGTAAGAGAAATGTCACAATAAGTTAAATCAAATTGACCTAAAAATGATATTTATTTTTTGACCTCAAAACAATTAGAATGAAGCTTTATTATAACATTGAATGATTTGTCGTTTAGAATGACTGGCAAAGATGTATAGAATTTCAGCAGGTATGCCGTTACATGCCTCAGCAATTCTATCAGACATTTTTTCTTCAGTCAATAGTTTGTGGCGTTTCAATTTTCCTTTTAAGATTGCCCAAAACTGTTCAATTGGGTTTAATTCAAGTGACTTTCATCCATCTTTCATCCATCTTTTCCCTTACAAAAATGCTCCCAAAAAACGAAGCCATTTGTGCGTTTTTCTATGTCGATTTTACTGAGGAAAACGTCAATACTTATAGAAAAAAATCGAAGAATTTGAAGATTCTGAAACATGTTGGAATATTAGAGAGCAAGATCCCATTTTGGTTTTGAAACAAAGAATAAGAGGCGATTCATTGACTTATAAAAAATATCTTGATGAAACTCCTGAAGAGGAAAAAGTCAATAAGAGAGAAAGCGTTGAATTAGTTACTGAGGCACAAGCCAAGCAATTTATCAACGAAGTCTATTGTCCGTCTCAGCCAAAAAACGATGTAATCTACGTCAAGGGAATTATTTCTACCAAGAAGATTTATGAATTAGTCAAGACTTTTACCACTGTTTTTCGTGAAAAACCAGCTCAGTCATTTGCAGCCTGGTGTCGTAATCAAAAGTTGAATTTTTTTACTTGCAAAAGAAAAAAAATCCCGAAGTATCACCAGAGAGTTATATATTTTGGAAGACATTTATTATGGTAAACCAAGATAAGACGAAATTAAAATGGTCGCTAACGTATTTAATTATAGACGACCTTATCAATTCCATTTGCATTTACTTACCGAAGTACCAAGAATCATTGAAAAACCACAAGAAGAATGGATATGAAATTATAGGTTATGCTCGAAAATCACCAACAAGTGAAGACGTTACTTCTAGAACAAGACTTTTGAAATCCATGGTATCAAATTTGAAAGAACGGTCTTTTGCAACCAAAATATTCGTTTCACCTTGTAGCTGGGCCTCCTCGCCACTTATATCGCGTGATTTACAAGGCAATTCATAAGTTATTATGGACGAGTTAAGTGTTGATGGTAACACGCAAGACTTGCTTGTCTACCTTAAGTCTTTTCATCATGATGTTTGCTTGGTTACCATTGACTTTGCTGGTATAACAACAAGAAGTGAAGATATTGTTAACTTGGTTGAGGCAAATCCCTCTTTAAAAAGGATTGCAGTTGAAACCTTTGCCCAATGCAATGAGGTGTTTCTTTTTGACACCGAGAGATTAGTTAAAGATAATGGTCTATTACAAAAATTTGAGAATAGAAATTATTGCATTCAAAGATCAAAATAAATTAGCAATTGTCAGCGTTACAAGAAAGGGTTTTTTATAAAAAAAAAAGATATAAAATAAAGTAAAAGGAGATCAGTTATGATCGAGTTTAGTGAGCACCACGCTATAAGTTGCGAACTTAGAATGAGAAAATATAATAAAGATAAAGATCAAATCAAATCACAATGAATATTATGCTATCCAAGGGATTATTTTCCAATAGATAATATAAAATGTATCAGACAAGATGGCGAAGGTAGAAATAATGGGGTGTGAGTTAGAGTGCTCAGAGGCCAGAAAGAGAACAACAGAGAGAGACAAAAAGGGAAGAACAGACAAAAGAAAGGGAGGAGAACAAAAGAGACACCAAGAGCTACTGGGAGATCCCAGGCGTAACATCAGAATATAAATGATAGCTTTCAGGATCATTATGGATTCGTTTCATTGAGACCAAGATGGGTTGATTTGGTTCCGTGCTGTAGCAAATTTCAACGTCACCAAGATCTTTAAGTCGATTTATGTATTTTTTAACGTTTTCATCAGTATAGTCTACATAAAAAAACATGCATATTGCTAAATTCCTTGAGATTTCCATGACTAGGTAAATGGTTTTTTGGTCTAGGCCAGAATTACGATGTGGGAAAGATGGATGAAAGTCACTTGAATTAAACCCAATTGAACAGTTTTGGGCAATCTTAAAAGGAAAATTGAAACGCCACAAACTATTGACTGAAGAAAAAATGTCTGATAGAATTGCTGAGGCATGTAACGGCATACCTGCTGAAATTCTATACATCTTTGCCAGTCATTCTAAACGACAAATCATTCAATGTTATAATAAAGCCTCATTCTAATTGTTTTGAGGTCAAAAAATAAATATCATTTTTAGGTCAATTTGATTTAACTTATTGTGACATTTCTCTTACTTCAAAGAGACAAAACTTCTTGACATAAAGGGACAATCATTTTTGGAAAGTGATATTTATTTTTTTGGAAAGTGACATTCAATTTTCTCAAAGTGACAAAGTTTACCGTTCTCACTGTATATTTACAATTCTTATTATTCTTCTTCTTTTGGTATGACAATATCCATTTACAGTATCCATTAGATTGATTAATTATCCTCACTACACCGCACTTCATCTTTCTTTCTTTCTTTATTTATTTCTTTAGCTGTATTGGTATTGTACTACTACTATTACCATTGCCATTATTATTTTAACTCCTCAAAACATAAGGGTCAGATAAAGCAGACCGAATATTCATATCATGTTCGGTCGATTACTCTATTATATATTCAACTAAATCAAAATTATCAATCACCGTCATACAAAACAATACCACTATTAGAAGACATTACTATTATTATCTAAAGAGAAGATATATATATATATGCATATAGACCTGTCAATATATCTTGATTAAAAGAGAGAGAGAGAGAGAGCGAAAATCATTGGGTGTGTATGGTAATATAGATATTTATATGTTCAAACCTTTCTGTAACCACACGATTTTTATTTATTAGTTATTGGTATTTAATCCTTGCTATACGGGGACACAAGGAGTCCAATTCCGTTTGATTGCAAGAAAGAAAAGAAGGTGAAAAGGGATCATTTTACTTTTTTTTAAAAAAATAATAATAATAATATTTTCGATACTAAATCCCACGTCTTTAATAGTAATAATAAAAAAACCGATTGAAATGAAATTAGTCGAGAGAGTTAGACAACAGCAATAAAATAATAGACCCTGTACATTCTTTAATATTATTAATATTAAATATTATTAGTGTTATTTTTTTTTATAAGCTATTACTGAATTGTCATGGTAACATATGTGGATATGTTTATCAATATATATATTTGTATATTCATACATATGTTTTATTGAAAGAAATAAAAATACCCATACTCTTTTTGTGATAAGAATAGCTGCAATAATTATACAGATCAATTCATTCAGCATATGATCACTCGCACAAATGTGTATAATAATAGTATTACTACATGCTCTATTATCAAATATCAATTTACAATTTACAAAATCATTCGTATTCTTCATAGTATCGGTATAAAGATTTATATATATATAATATATTTTTGATTTGGCCATTTATTGTCTCCTAATATTACAAAGAAGAGGATAATAACCACGGTACTAATTGCCCTGCAGGGTTATAATCCTTTGATTTCTAATACAATATCTTACCTTATAATTTTAATTCACCTCAACAAGCCTAAATCACTAATAAAATTATAATTATTAGTAAAAGTATAATAAAGCGAGACAGAATTCCCCCCCCCCCCCCCC